CTCCGACCTCTAATTTTAGAAATGAAGGACCAGAGTTCTTCTGTAAATTGTCCAGGGACTGTGTGAATCAATGTGTGTTGCTTTAAATGTATTATCTATAGTATTGGTATGGTTAGTAAAAATCCACTTATTCTTTCTAGAACTTAGTTTCTTTTCTGGAAAGTGAGGAATTTCACTCAGATGATCCCTGTAGTTCCTTCTGTTTCTGTTTAAGATTGTATCATCCTGTCAGTTGGCTTCAAGAGGATTATGACATGTGTAAGAGGGAGATTGTTGATCTATACAGACAAGCAGTTCTAGGATCTTTGATTACATTGTCTTACACTTAGTTTCTTAATTTGTTGATTTATTAAAAGAAATTTGATTTACCTGAGATTTCTCTCATCCACACCTCCAGTGGTTTTCTGTTTTGAATTTGCTTCATAATATGGTAAAATTTACTCTGGCTGGTGGCAAAATATTATAGCTAAGCTTATGGGGAAACAATACATTGTTACCTCTTTATAATTTTAAGGATATTATTTGGTTTGGGTTATTGTCATTAGAGGCTTTTTATCCTTGTATTGAATCTGATATGTTGAATACTGTGCCTTAGTCACAAAGAAGTTACTTTAGAATTACGTGTGACCAGGAACTTCCAGTTGCAATAGGTATACAGCTGCTCCCCCATGTGGTTGTGGATCCAAAGAGCTTGTGGAGCTTGTATTAAGAACACAACACCATTGCATTTTGTGACAAATTAGCATCATTCTATATATATACACTTTAAGTTCCAGAGTACGTGTGCACAACATGCAAGTTTGTTACATATGTATACATGTGCCGTGTTGGTGTGCTGCACCCATTAACTGGTCATTTATATTAGGTATATCACCTAATACTATCCCTCCCTCCTCCCCCCCACATCACCACAGGTCCCCGGTGTGTGATGTTCCCCACCCTGTGTCCAAGTGTTCTCATTGTTCAATTCGCACCTATGAGTGAGAACATGCGGTGTTTGGTTTTCTGTCCTTGTGATAGTTTGCTCAGAATGATGTGACAAGTTAGCATCATTCTTGAGAAGCACGACTAAAAGTTTAGATCTAGAATTTTATGGCACATCAAACTCTAATGATTATATAATAATATTATTGTATTTTCTAACCTATTTTTGTAATATACAATGCTCAGTTGTACATATCCAACTTTACCATGGCAAACCAGGAGGATATATTTTTGGTACCACAGTAACAGAGGAAGTTGGAGAAGTAGAAAGGACATAGAAAAGAAAGTGCAATAAAGAATGATGGAATATTTTGGCTTTTTGCTTCTTTATTCCCCTGTCTTCGGTAGATGAAACTAGAGTGCTAATCCACATCAAGTTTTATTTTCAGGTTTCATGTAACTAAAAATGTACATGTATAAGATGGCAAAGCAGGGTTAGGGATATAATAATCGATGATGGAATCATTTTTCTGAATTTGCTTCCAAGCAAGTGACGTCTATTTCCAATGCTTTTGTCATGGTTAGTCCTTTTGGGACAAAATTCATGTTTGCTTCTGGGATCACTTAGAGTCCATTTGTTGGGGTAGCAGCAGACAGCTTGATCATAATCTGACACTGAGTTTTAGGCCCAACTAAGAAGACTATGATACATAAGAGGACTATGATACAGTGGTATTCTGTTCTTATATCTCTTTGACTCATACTTACCATGGATATGTCAGCCAGAATCTTGAACTATTAAATCTTAGTATGAAGAAAAAACATTACTAAGGACTGAATATGCTAGCTTTACATTGATTGCTCATTGTCATACAGTTTCAGGTATATGAATAGATAATATGTTATTCAAGAGATAGGGAATGCTGTTACTCACTCATATATTCTATTAGTGGAGTGTGCTACATGTGGAGTTGAAAAATAATATAAACCATAGGTTTTGCCAGCCAGAGGGCCTCTTGTCTAGTGTGGGAGAAATGTAGTCACAGAATATACGTAGCAGGGAGTGGTAAGACTTTTAATTGCAGTAAGTTTGAAAGAAGGTTAGGAGTCAGGGTAGGATAGGTTTGCCAGAGGAATTGGAACTTCTGATGGAAAGACAGAAAGGAGAGGGAAAGTATCTTTAAAGGAGTTCTTGAAGAAATACCTCAAGAATACTCTGGCTCACATATTCAAATACAGTGGTCATCTTTTAGCTCTAAATCGACTCAAAGAACTACAGAAAGATTAGGCTGGAATAAACTTATAGTACAGTAGTTCTTTTGGAGAAAAGGGTTTTCACTGAATATGAGACTAGAGTCAAATCTCAAGTAAAGACAAGCTTCCCAAAGAGCTAGTACAGCTACCCACAGAGATGAGCAGGGTGATAGAATGGAAAGACCACCTGAATTAAGAATCAGGAAGCCTAGATTTTAGTTTGGGCTCTGACACTAATTCCATGGCTGGAGCACATCCGTTAACCTCCCCGAGACTCCACTTCCTTTATTATAAAATTAGATTTTGGACCAGTTGGCCTCTAAATGTCTTCCATCTTTGACTCTTTGTCTTTTCTGTGCACATAAACATCAGATCTAATCCTTGTTAGTGGCATTATTTTGAAAACATGGGACAGAAACATAGGAACAATATTCTTTATTGAAAAAAAAAGAAAAGCAACTTTTATAATATTTTTAGGATTTACTGATTAAACATAGTTTTGGAAGTGTGATAAGAGGAAGGAATCTATTTGTATAGATGCTTAATTATTAAAACAAATTTTTTTGAGAACATGCCCAAATAAGGGCTGTATTCCTTTCCTGAAGCATTATGTTGATTCTTTTTTATTGCATTGAGAGGGAGATTTTAGGATAAGAGTCAGAGACCAATCAAAGAGTTCTGGACCCTCCCAATTTCTTATCAAATGCAATGCCTAAATAATATTCCTATATAAACTGTCCTCTTCTAAGCTCCTACCTGAAAGTGGAACTCTAATCACTTAGAAGGTCCTGTACCTCACAGTTGGTATAATTGGAGTCTCCTTTATTGGAGGAAACCATAAGGTAATGTTGTCCTCACCTTACAGGCAAGCCATCATGAGGAGGGATGTGTTGGATAAACAAAGACTATCCTACAGCAGAAGCTGTGGAACCAGGGAAAAATTTAATTACAACTAAGTTTTACCTTATGACTTTTATCTTTGGGGGATAATTTTCTAATTTATCTGTAGGAAAACAAACATTAAAAACAACAAGCTAGATACAGAATTCCTTGAGAAAAGTAGAGCTTTAATAAAACGAGATTTTGCCAATGTTATGCTCTCCCTATCTTTCGGGAGATGGTGCAGCCTCCTTAGCTTATTTTGCTTGAGAAAAAAGTTCCAAATGTGTTTGTTTCCTAATATCCCATTGCAAAAGAGAAATAATTGCATGACTGTCCCAGAGGTTTCAGGCTCATTTTGGGGTATTTCTAAAGATTCCCTATAGCCCATATTTTATTTGTGTTTTAAACATTTCTTTGATGGTATCCCAGCAAGAAATAATTTATTATTCCTGGAAATATAATACTACTATAACATTTCTGACTAGGATGATTTTCTGTTTCTAAAATCTTTAAATTTTATAATGCTTGTAATGCATGCTTAGTACAAGTTTTTAAAAAGCATGAAATTATAATTTTTTTATAAAATGAAATTAACCTGCATAGCTTTCCCCTGCCTTTCCCTCCCCTTTTGAATAATTGAATCTAAAAGACATTAAGTAGGACTGAGTAAGGTAGGAGTCTACATGACATCAAACCTAGAAGCCATAAGAGAATAGATGGATAATTTAGTTATATGATAATAGAAAATTTCTACATGGAAAAAATTAAGCCATCACAAATAGGAAAAACTATTTGCATCACTTATTTTCAAAGGGCCAATTTTGGGTTTTTTTGTATGTAAAGAGCGTATACAAAGCAATTAGAAAAAGAGCAACAACCCAATGGGAAATCTACAAAGGAAGGGAACAAACTGTTCGTAGAAAATTATGCAGTTTGTTCCTTTCCTTTATATAAAAATGAGAAATTTTCTTAAGTATATGAGAAAATGCCTAAATTCTCATTCATAAGAAAAATGTAATTTAAAAGTATTTTGAGATACTACATTTTACCTATTAAATTGACAGAGATCCACCATTAAAATATTTTTCGAAATGCCTGTGAAAAAGCAAGCACTTTCAAAAATTGCTGATGGAATTACAAATTAATACAACATGTGGGGGGCACAGTTTGGGAATATCCAGCAAATTTACTAATACACATTCCCTTTGACCCAGCAATTTTACTTCTGGGAATTTAGCTTACTGATACACTTCCACACAAACTGACAAATTTATAAACGTATTTATTGCAGCATAGTTGGCAACAGCAAAAGATGGTAAGCAATACAAATGTCCACGCATATAGGGAACTGGTTAAATAAATTATAGTGCATCCATAAAATGGAATACTATGCAGACATTAAAAAGAATAAAGAAACTTCATATGGAAGTGGAATGAAGTCTAAGGAATATGTTAAGAGAAAAAAGCGAAGTATAGAAATATGTATATATTATGCTACTATTCTTGTAAGAAAAAGTGAGGAAAAGGGTAGTAAATGTGCATGAAGCATCTCTGGAAATACACATAAGAACTGATTGCATTGTCTCTAGAGTTAACAACTAGATGGCTAGAGTACAAGAGTATAAGAGACTTTTCAAAGAACACCTTTTTATAGCTGTTGAATTTTTAACCATGGGAATTTACCTATACAATACGTAAATGTCTAATGAAAAAAGAAAACACCTGTCGCCCAGGTTGGAGTGCAGTGGCGCGATCTCAGCTCACTGCAAGCTCCGCCTCCTGGGTTCACGATCTTTGATAAGGAATATTATGAAAGTGTATGAGAATTGGAAATACTTCCTTTTCTTTTTTTTCTTCCCCCTCACCCCTTGAGGCAGGCAAGCTGAGTTTGAATACTCTTGGTATTTTTGCATATGCAGTAATTGTAGTTTTACCCACAGGAAGAAGAAGGAAATACTTGCAAAACACAAAAAACTTCCTGGCTCCAAGATTGTGTTTTATCCTTATCTCCAACCAATGATCTTATGGTAATAGCTCGAGAGCAAAAAGCTGTATTTCTAGTGCGTGAGTATCCTATTCTTTTCAGCGACCTTTATTTTGATGCATTGGATAGAAGAGAAAATGGATTAAGTGAAAAGAATATAACACTTTATCTCCCCCCCACCCCCATTTCCCTCTTTTTCCCCCTTGCATTCTGTTTGTTTTCTCCCTTTTTTCTGTCTTGGCTGTAGCTACCTTAGCTTATGATACTGCAGGGGCAGTACTGTGCATTGCTCAATTCTTGCAAGGGACAGTCAGAGCTAAAAAGGTCATTGACCTTTTCTTAGTAACAATGTGAGTGAGGTGATTTTCAACTCTTAATTTGAAAACTCATAATATTATCGATTTCTGTTTTGGGCATAGCATTTTAACTCATAATTTTTTTTTTAAGATTAAAAATTGAGGTTTTTTTCATACCTTGTAGATTTCCAAACCTTACTGATCAAAGTAAGATTATGTGTAAAATGTGTATAGAATGGTCTTACAAAGCAAATTTACCCTCAAGTAGCAAAGGTCTAGTAGAAAAATTTTCTCTGTCATCTGAAGATAAAAGTAGTCTTAAACTAGGCAGGGTGGGCACAGGAATTAGTAACTTTATTCTATAAGAACTATGACAACATTATACAAGTTGAATTGGGGGAAGGAGAGGCTGAAGGCCAGGAGACTAGGTGTATTATAAGAATCTATTATAGATATTTTTATCTTATATTTACCTATAAAAAGACCCAAGTCAGTTAACATACAACTGTTAAATTTTGTAATCATATTTTAAGGAGAAAGAGCAAAATTTATAAATTACCTTTTTAGTATATTATAGCTAAAATTATTTTATATGATATCTTCATTCTTTCAGCAAAGTGGAAATATAGTGATAAAGGAAAGGAAGAAATGCAATTTGCTGTTGGCTGGAGTGGTTCTTTAAATGTTGAAGAAGGGTAGGTGCCAATTAATTTTTGTTTCTCTGTGTGTTACATGTATATATGAAATTGTTTGACTTGTAAGTGAATCTATTAAAAAGTTTCATTATTTGGTTGGGCTCAGTCTTTCACATCTGTAATCCTAGCACTTTGGGAGGCCAAGGCAGGAAGGTCATTTGAGCCCAGGAGTTCAAGATCACCCTGGGCAACATAGTAAGACCCTGTCTCTACAAAAAATTTAAAAATTAGCTGGACATGGTACACACACCTGTAGTCCCAGCTACTCGAGAGGCTGAGGCAGGAGGATTGCTTGAACCCAGGAGTTTGAGGCTGCAGTGAGCTATGATCATGCCCTGCATTCTAGCCAGTGCAACAGAGTGACACCCTGTCTCTTAAAAGAAAACAATTTTTTAAAATAAGAAAGAAATTTCATTATTTGAAATGTTTAGTGAATGTATATGTATCCTAACTTTATAGGTTGTAGAGAATGATTTGATCAGCAAATTTTATGTATCAAGTAATTTTTTTTTAAATTCTGTTGGAAGATTTAAGGAAGAATTCAAAAAGAATCTCATAAAATCCTTTTTAATTTTGTCTTTTCCCTCTGTTCTCCATTACTAATTTTATTCATCCAAAAAATCAGGGGCAATTATTGTCTTCTCTGCTTTGCTGATATTGGGCTTATACTTGAAGGGTACAGTACTACATTAATTCTTAAAACTCATAAATACTTCAGAAATGCAAGTTGGTACATCAGTTTCGTGCTGACCCAGTAAAACTTTTATAACTATGACCAGTGTGACTACATGATGGAGCTGCTAGCCTAGAACCTTGAACCCAAAACTGGTTTTCAATTAAATTTTTATGACTGAAAACTGTCTGATCAGAATGAGTAAAAAAATCCTCCAGACTTTGAATTCAGATAAAAGACAACCAAGTAGAAGTGCCTAGAACATAGCCTGGCACATTGTAGATATTTGAAATATTCTCTACTATTATCAAAATAAATGGTAATATTTCTCCTTACACCATTTAGCCTAAGTGTCAGAAATGCAAAGCAAACATAATGCTTTAAAAACAGCGAACGAACATGAAGATGAATTTTGTTCATGGATTACCTAGTATGATGTATGGCGTAGAAGTGTTTGTAGTTTCTTGGATAAGCTGGTGATGATCCTCACGTTTGACAGATTTAATAAAAGTCAGTGGGTAGGAGTTGTTTTGATTTTGAGACTTAGTTTCTGAGCTCCTGACAAATATTTCAAGTCTACGTGTCAGAAAAAAATGTATGTATCTTTTTTATGGAACATCACACCTAACATGTGCTTAGAAATGGATGATCAGAGTAGTTTCTGCAAAATAGAAAAGCCAGCAAGTTGAAATACGTAAGTTCCTAAAATAATGTACCCTGCAGAAATACGGTTTGCATATAACGTGACTGGCAGTTCCTCAACCATTTTCCCAGCTCCTGATCTCAAACAACGAGGCAGGCTGAAGTTCTTAGCTGAAGCAGAGGAGAGGGAGGGACATAGTAGGAAATGGCTGCATGGGGATCGTTTAAGCTTTGCTCAGTTCTGTGTACAGTCAGTTGTGTAAGTAAAGTTTTGCTTTCTGTACTTTCATGTTTTTCATGACAAGAAGAGTGAAAAATTCTGTTTTTTATTAACCTCAAATGCATGTGGCATTATATTTTGCGTGAATGAATTTTATGGACCTTACTGGTAGTAGAGTTTTACTGTATTTTTACTTATGCATCAAATAAAACTGGTTCACAGAAGTCATCTTCCAGTTATTGACCTTTAACATCCAATTATAAAGAAATAAAAGTAATTGGTAAGTTCGGTGGGTAAGCATATGATTTTGTTTTTGTTTTTAGGGAATGTGTAACCAGTGCTCTATGTATCCCACTAGCAAGCCAAAAGAGGTAAGGATAAATAAGAGTTATCTGTTTCCTTTGCTTTGATTTATGAGTTGTTAAGATAATAAATTTTGTTTGTAACAGGAGTTCCACTGGGCGTCCTGACTGGACCTGCATTGTGGTGGGTTTTACTTCAGGTTATGTACGCTTCTACACTGAGGTGAGTTGAGTTTTCAACAGCTAGGAAACACTAGTTGACTACAATATCTGGTTGTGCATCCCCTTTATACTAGTTTGTGACTTTATTACCTGCTGCCTGAAAATGTGTAGTTGATGCTTTATTGGGGTAGAGGCCGGGATAGGCCATGGTAAGTTCTGGTAGAAGATACAGAGAAGAGGAGCTGTATTCTGAAAAGAGTGTACCTGGTATCTCTGGAAAACTGTTGGGGAAATGGTACTCTTTGCCTGGCCATACCTGTTCAGGTATATTGGTAAGAAAACAAGCAGGGACCTTCTCTGTGCTTCCTCCTAGAATGGTGTGCTCTTGCTTGCACAGCTTTTGAATGAGGACCCAGTACTTCAACTTAAATGCAGAACCTATGAAATACCACGACATCCCGGGGTGACTGAGCAGGTAGTGTAAAAAATTGTGTTCCAACAGTAATAGTGGCATTACTTTGAAGCAGTTTCTCTCTTCGTTTTTGGGTGGAAACTTAAAAGATATCTTTGTCTTGTGGCACAGTTAACTCTGCTATCATAGTCTAGAAATATAATCTATTTGTAGTGGAGTAAAGAATACCAGTCTTGCTTTTACTTATTTAATGAAATATTCTATGTTTCATTCTACAACAAAGTAAAACCCTTTAGTTAGAAGCCAAGAAAATTTCTTATTTTTAGAATTTAATAGTGACTTAAGGCAAAAATATGATATTCTATAACTTTATATCTTTTTTTTATTTGGATTTAGGTGCCAAAATTACCTAGAGTAAAAGAAAAAAAAATTGGCCTTCTTGTTACTAGTGATACTATCTTGTACTTAACTGTTTCTCAGAAAAGGGGTTACTAAGTTTTTGTTCATAGTGGAAAATACATACATTCATTGAAGATTTCAACTGAGAAGATAATACTGCTTAGTATCTAAGGCTCTAACCTCTTAGGTGCCTTGTAACATTTTGGTTGTCTTAGTCAAAAAATAATTATAGGGCTATTTAAACCAATATGCTTTTATTTGTTTTGCAGAGTACATACCTATGTAATATGCCTTCCCTTTGTTGTACTACTTAGCCTCCAAAAGATTTCAAGTAAGCAGGTGTATACACTGTATGCATTTGTTAATTGAATTTGCATGGGAGATGGACTGGAGCTGCAAAAGAATCTTATCTAGTAAGAGAGACTAGGATTAAAATCTAATAATATCTGTGGATGAATTAATCAGTAATATAAAGCAATACCTAATTTATTGGTAATTTATTTGGACAGAATACATTCTGTACAAGCTTAGAGAAAGAGGAGTTCAATTTGGACCAGGAAAATAAGAAAATTTCATTGATGAGGTGAGATTTGCATTAAGCCTTGAACAATGGGTATAGAATTTAATTAGGAGAAAAGAGGGGAAAGTGTTTCAGGTAATCAGGAGAAAATTTGATAGAAGATTCGAATGTAGAACTGTATATGCAACAACAAAGAAACTTATGTTATAAAATAATGAGAGACTGTCAAGCAGAGTGGCCAAATTTTGCATAAATTCAAAGGCCAAGTGAAAAATTAGAATTGATTTAGGAAATGAGAGAAACTCCTAAAGATTTATAAGAAGGAAGTGATGTAATCAAAGGAATATTGAAGATTTCTTTCTTCAAGATAAACTGGAATTAGGGAGGCTAGTTATCTGTTTTTTTTAAGTTATCTGTAACAGATGTGGAGTGCTGGGAGCCAGGACTAAAATGGCTACGGGAAGAGAGAAAGGACCAGTACAAAAATTGTTTTGGGTCCGGGTACGGTGGCTCACTCCTGTAATGCCAGCACTTTGGGAGCCCGAGGTGGGCGGATTGCCTGAGCTCAGGAGTTTGAGACCAGCCTGGGCAACACGGTAAAACCCCGTCTCTACTAAAATACAAAAAATTAGCCGGGCGTGGTGGCGGGCGCCTGTAGTCCCAGCAGCTTGGAAGGCTGAGGCAGGAGAATTGCTTGAACCCGGGAGGCAGAGGTTGCAGTGAGCTGAGATCTCGCCACTACACTCCAGCCTGCATGATGGAGTGAGACTCCGTCTCAAAAAAAAAAAAAAAAAAAAACTGTTTTGAAGAAGCTTAATAGGACCTGGTTATTGTGTAGAGATGTACAGTTCTTTAAAAATGAGCTAAAGATGTCTCTAAGATACTTATCCTGAGGAGTGCCATTGTCAATGTTGGAATAAGGGACTACATTGGCAGTAAATGTTATTAAATGAGGTTTTGCACATGTTGAGTTTGACGCGATGGTAGGAAATAAAATCAAGTTACTGGTATCATGTAATGATACAAAATTGCTGTATAGGCACAGAGACTAGATTGGACATGATGGCTGAAGTCATAGATAATGAATGAATTCTTTCAAGTAAAGAGTGTAGGAAAATAAAACTGCAGGCTGAAGACTTAAGTCTTAGTAACTAATAATACTCATCATAAGGAGATGGGAGAAATTGAACTATTAAAGGAAACAAGGAACAGCTGGAAATCAAAGAAGATAATCTGTGAACTGAAGATAACTTTCCAGAGATGTTTTTCATTTTTCTAAAAATTCACTGGATGACAAAGCTTTTTAAAATATATTAAATTTGGTCATGTCTATAATACTCTTTTTTTAAAACTAGTGGAAAATATAACTAACATTTAAATATTTGCTTTCTATTTGCTATACAAACCAAGAAAATCATTTCAAAATTTTTATCAAGAAGGAGGTCTTTGTTGTTACTCTGTATGCTTTATTAAACAGCTGTGGATCTGACACGTCCATTTATATATCAAAATTATCTTCTATTTGCTTTTTTTTAATATACTCCCAGATTTGTCAGAGATCACAGAAGCATATTTCCTCTAATTCAGTTCTAGGAGCAATGACTGTAGTACGGGTGACAGCAGGTCATTTGTTGCAGGAGAGGATTCGAAAGAGAGGGAAAATCTCCTTCTGGAATTTCAAAGACATTTCTTTTGCATAATAGCTTCTGTAAAAAGATCTTCTCTGTCATCTAGCACAGTATCTACAGATCTGGGGCCATTGGTATTTGTGTTAGTGTTTTCTTCAGGAAGAGTACCTGGTTTTGGAGAAATTGACTTGCTAGTGATTAAGTCTTCTCTGTTTTCTAGCTCCCCAAAGTGAGTGAGGAGGCTCTCTCCCTGCTGCTGTGCTCACTGGGCCATGCGTGCTTAGCCTTGTGAACTTGTCATGTGAGAATATATGCCATGTCCCTTCCCCACTGGCTTATGCTCCTGTGGCCCAGAAGTCTTTTTTAAACAGAGAGACAGCCTGACAGTCCAGTAGAAAAAGGAGCAAGGCAGATCTCAAGAGAAGAAATTGGCCCAAAAACATATAAGAAAATTTTGAACCTTAATAATAATCTAAGAACTATAAGAAAATACAGTGAGATAACTTTTCACCTTTTGGATTGGCAAAGATAAAGATTAACAAACTTTTGATGACAATATAGAGAAACAGTCACTCTCATGTATTATTGGTGGAAATATAAGTTGATAGGCACTTTTTGAGGCAATTAATATATATGAGAATGAAAACTGTGAATACTGTATGACCCAACTGACCCACTTGAAGGAATTTACACTAAAGTAATATCCTAGTAACATGAAAAGATATAGACTGAAGAATGTTTATTGCAGTGATGTTTATAATGATGAAAATATATTAATTCATAAATATTCTTTACTGCCTATTATTTGCCCAGTTCACTTCTAATCCCTGAGGATTCATTGGTGTAACAAATATGCAAGGTTCCTGCTTTCATGGAGTTTACAGTTTGGGGATGGTGGAGGGAAACCAACAGTAAGCAGCTAGAGATATCAAGGTGATTCCAGTCTCTGATAGGTGCTGTAAAGGAAGTCATGTTGATGAGATAGTAATGTGCTAAGAGAATAGGTATGTTGTTAGAGATGGAGGTTCAGGAGCAGCCTCTCTGGATAACTAACATTTGAACTGAAACCTGAATGACAGGAACAATTAGGCAGGTGAAGATTGGAGAGGAGAATGTCCAAGCACATGCAAAGGTCTGAGGGTAATGATGACCTCTCATATTTGCCAGATCTTGCAGCCATGGTTAATGAGTTCAGGTTTTATTTTAAATGCAGAAGGGAGTCATTGGAGAGTTTTAATCAGGAGATTGGTTTGATCTGTTATATCTTACGAAGAGCACACTGACTGTGTGGAGCGTGGATTGTAGAGAGCAAGAGTGGAAGCAGGAGGCCATACTGAATGTCTGTCAATATGAACTGGTTAAGTAAAATAGGGTACATATAATGAAAGACTGTGCAGCCACAACAAAAAATGATTTGTTCACTTATTGAAATGGAAAAATATCATTGACATATTATTGAATAGTAAAAACCATGTTAGGTTTTTACTAACATGGCTATATTTGGTATAGCCTTATGCAAATGTTTTTGAATATATTTGGGGATGTGTATTGGGACATGTCTGGGATTTCAGGTGAGTTTTCTTCTGTTTTTACATACTGTTTTATCTGTGCAATGAGTATATTTACTTTTTATGAAATTGTAATTCTTTGTGTTACTCTCAGCATCTTTGAGACAATTATTTAACATACACAAAAGGTTATATTTTGAAAAGAATTTTAGGTCTTTGGCAAAAAGGCACTCTGAAATTAATTTTTTAATCTATTTTTACTGTTCTGCCTGAATCTGCTTTGGGTGTTGGGTGGTTGATGGTTTAGTCCCAGTATTTTTCATTTTACATTATTCGTGAAATTTAGTATAATAAAAAGTAGATAAGCTTATTTGATGTATCTATTCAAGAACTTTTTTTTTTATTTCTTAAATAGAATGAAGAGTTGAGTATCTTATATCCAGCTGCCATTGTGACTATTGATGGATTTAGCCTTTTTCAATCTCTTCGTGCTTGTCGAAATCAGGTAGCAAAAGGTAATATTTTGGCAAGAAATATTTAACCTCTGTTCATGTTTGTTTTATTTAATTTCACCTGCTTATGGAATTAGGTATGTCTTCTAATAAAGAAAGGCCTTCTGAACTAGATTTATGGGAAAAACCTGCCTCCTATAGAGACAGGGGAGCATGTTGAGTAGATTGCTTAGTAAGGTAGAGACAAGCGCTAAAACATAAACACTTCACATGTTTCCTTTGGAGAGTGTGGTCAGCACAGGAACACTGGGCTTTCTTTACGAATTCAGCAGTATGTCTTGACTAGCTAGATTTGCAACTGTATTGACAACCAACATTGGGGTAAAGAATTTAGTTGCATGTGGCTGAGGTACCAGATTTTCACTAGATCAGCAGCTGATCAAGTCCAACATCCTAAAATCTGGTGACTCCACATTGCTTCTGTCCTCCCTGAGGATAAAGCTGTCCACCGTGTGCAGGGGAAATGCGAGATCCTACCGATATCACTGTCAGCAGGACCCAGCCGGGAGTCAGCATGAGCTGCTTTTTGCTAACTCAGAACACTCAGAATGGAGAAAAGCTAGAGGCCTAAACTTAATGTATATGTGGGCAACAACATTATTTTGTGACTTAGGGATGAAAACTGCTCAAATAATCAAGAATTCTTACTTTTACTACCTATCGTTTACATTCTGATGCTGTTACATCTTTTGGAAGAGATATTTCATCAAATTCAACATGCCATTGATTGTAAGAAACACTATTATTTTATGTACCACTAAGAAGAAAAAACTATTGCCAGTGAAAGATACACCATCAATTTTCAGATCTCAATTTCAGGGTTGTGAAAATATGGAAGAGTCTTAAAATCAGTGAAAATATGAGTAGTAGCACTAACTTCCCCTTTTCTTCTGGGATTGAGTAGAGGAGCCTTAATGGCCCCAAAACAAAGTTTATTTACTTTTTATGAAATTGTAATTCTTTGTGTTACTCTCAGCATCTTTCAGACAATTATTTACCATACACAAAAGGTTGTATTTTGAAAAGAATTTTAGGTCTTTGGCAAAAAGGCACTCTGAAATTAATTTTTTAATCTATTTTTACTATTCTTCTGCCTGATATTGCTTTGGGTGTTGGGTGGTTGATGGTTTAGTCCCAGTATTTTTCATTTTACATTATTCGTGAAATTTCACATGATTTAGTGAAAAATTAAATAGCTGATAATACTGATTATAAAATAATTGTCAATTTCTAGTTTATTAAATTAATGAACTTCTTACCTACAGAAAATTGCCTTTTGATATATAGGTTAATGGTGAGTATTTTAAATGTTCTCAAGATAATGAAGCTTATGGTGGGCTAAATTTAAATAATTTAAAAGATTCTGAAAATAGGTATAAAAATTTAAACAAATTCTGACCTAGTAAAAAAGCTTATACTAGAAAAGAACCACATAGCCAAGACATCAGAAGTTTTACCAATCATATCAACCTGCTAAAAAAGGCAGAGAAAAATTTTTGATTGCAATATGAGATGCTGGATTTAGACTAGGTTTAGAAACAATTTTATGAAGCAGTAAACATATCCTAATTAGCCTATGTTTTCAGGAATCCATTTAGGAGTTAAACTTTGTTTTGGGGCCACTAAGTCTCCTCTACTCAATCCCAGAAGAAAAGGGGAAGTCAGCACCACTACTCATATTTTCACTGATTTTAAGACTTTTCTTTTCCATATTTTAACAACTGTAAAATTGAGATCTGAAATTATTTCTAATTTTAGGTTGGTATGATTGGTAGAATTCTGAAGTCTCGGCTATATGGTTCTTTTTTTACAATTGGTTTAAATTTTTATACCTATTTTCATATCTTTTAAATTATTTAAATCTAACCCACCATAAGCTTCATTATCTTAAGGACATTTAAAATACTCACCATTAATATATATGCCAAAAGGCAGTTTCCTGTGGGTAAGAAGTTTATTAATAAACTAGAAATAGACAATTATTTTATGATCGGTATTATCAGCCATTTAATTTTTCACCATTTTTGAATTTCTGTTTGCTTGTTGTGTATGAGACCATAAAGCCGTTTGTCTCCTAGGAAGTAAGGAATTAAGCCACTTAGTGCCCTTGGGTTGTAAGTTGCTATAAAAAGAGTTCTGGTTACTTAGCCATAAATTGTGACGTTTATTTCAGCATATAAGAAAATTATCTTTTCTTGGCCTTACTATCAATCTGCAATATTTAGAGGATTGTATTTTCTCTTTATTATTATTTTTTCACTTTCCTGAATAAACAGCCAGAACTCAGCAGTATTCTGATATGTAACATGGGTGTTTACTGATTGATGGGATGTGCCTGAATCTATGGCAAGAGGTATAACTGTTGCTTTTCCTTTTCTTAGTCACTAAGCGAAGGGACTGAGGTTAAAGATTGACATTTCATTCTTTTTTTTCACAGTGCTGTTGCTTTTAATATATCTTTCTATCAAGTCTGGCCTCAGTTACCTAGATTAGAGACTTTGTATGTGTGCTCTGCCAGGTGTATCAGGTTTTTAGTTTTTCACTCAGTAAAGCACTGATTCCTATCCCTAGGATTTTATCCCCTTTGTCAAGAGGGAGAAATTGCTTAGTTGGCATCACTTGCAGTTTGAATTCACTTTGTTTTGGTTCTGTTTTGTTTCGTTTTGTTTTGTTGTTTTCGAGACAGTCTCCCTCTCTCACCCAGGCTGGATTGCAGTGGCGTGATCTCAGCTTACTGCAACCTCCACCTCCCAGGTTCAAGTGATTTTCCTGCCTCAGCCTCCCGAGTAACTAGTACTGCAGGCGTGCACTACCATGCCTGGCTCACTTTTGTATTTTTACTAGAGACGGTGTTTCACCATGTTGGCGAGGCTGATCTCAAACTCCTGATCTCAAGCGATCCGCGTGCCTCAGCCTCCAAAAGTGTTGGGATTACAGGCATGAGCCACCATGCCCAGCCTGAATTCACTTTGATTTTTAGTAGTATTCTAGAGTTTTTAGTAGTCTTCTTTAATGACTTGAGTGTTCCAGAATCTTTTGTGACAGCCAACTTAGTCTTTTAAATGTTTGCATTTTATGTGCATTGTCTTGGCATGAATAAATCTCACTTTATGCCTTGTTTTCATTACTTTGACTCATTATTAGCTGAAATTTTAGAATAACAAATTAGTATGATTTTAATGATTTTTTTGTAAAACTTCATTTTATCCATAATAATTAAGTTTGGATTGTCTATTTTATCTTTTGTAGCTGCAGCATCAGGCAATGAGAACATACAACCACCACCATTAGCTTATAAGAAATGGGGTCTACAGGATATTGACACTATTATTGATCATGCTAGTGTTGGTAAGTATTACTAATTCAAATTCTTTTGGAATTTACTTCTTAAACTTTTTTATTAAAGTATCTCACTTATTAGAGATGGACATTATTCTTTATTTATTATTATTATTTTTTAAGATGGAGCTTTGCTCTATCACCCAGGCAGGAGTGCAGTGGCATGATCTCAGCTCACTGGAACCTCTGCCTCCCGGGGTCAAGTGATCCTCCCACCTCAGCCTCCCAAGTAGCTGAGATTACAAGCGTGCGCCACCATGCCTGGCTAATTTTTGTATTTTTCATAGAGATGGGATTTCATCATGTTGGCTGGGTTGATCTTGAACTCCTGACCTCAAGAGGTGCACCTGCCTCAGCCTCCCAAAGTGCTGAGATTACAGGCATGAATCACTGCACCTGGCCAACATTTATTCTTATGTGAAAAAATGCATTGCCTTTAGTGAGACATCTGGAAGGTAGTTCAGATTCAGATTATCATAGGCATATATCTTTAAAGCCGGGCATGATAGCAAACACCTATAATCCCAGCACTTTGGGAGGCTAAGGTGGGTGGATCACATGAAGCTAGAAGTTCAAGATTACCCCGACCCACATAGCGAAACCCCGTCTCTACTAAAAATACAAAAATTAGCCAGATGTGGTGGTACATACCTGTATTCCCAGCTACTTAGGAGGCTGAGGCAGGAGAATTGCCTGAACCCGGGAGGTGGAGGTTGCAGTAAGCCAAGATCACACCACTGCACTCCAGCCTGGGTGACAGACTCTGTCTCAAGAAAACAAAACAAAAGAAAAATAAATGGTAGCAGTTTTAATAAAGATTTAATTATGCCCTCAGCCACAGTATTGTACAGTTTTAAATCACTCACTATTTGACTAACTTTTCTACAGATAAATTTGGTCTAGATAATGACCATATAAATCAGTCTCTTAAAAATGTAACCTTGGTCAGGTAGGAGGATCTCTTGAGCCCAAGAGTTCAAGACCAACCTGGGCAACATAGCGAGACCCCATCACTTAAAAAAAAAAAGTAACCTTTAAACTAGTAAAATGTAGATAAAAGCAGATTTCTTCTTGCAGCCACTATAAGAGAGCTTACTGTGTTAGGTATTGAGGGTATAGAGATGTAAAGACATGCTTCCCTGCTGTCTTAAAGTGTGAGTCTAGGAGTCTAGTTAGAAGAAACACATGAGAATGGCTGCAGTACTACAACATAATAATTGTAGCAGACAAGGGGACCAGCTGTAGTGGGAGCAAAGGAGGAAACACTCATTGTTTCTCCAGCACACTATATACTTTTACCCCTAGATCTATGTGCATGTTGGCTAGAATGCCTCTTCTGTGTTTGTTCACTTGGTCAAGTTCTACTCATTCTATGAAAACTGGACATTGGGAGAGAAAGAGCAAGGAGAAAAGGAAGGAGTGTGACTCTAGAGAGGCTAACAAGATATCTGACACACAGGCTGTCTTTCTATTTACTGCGTAGCTCTTATATGGTATACTCTGTAATAAAAACCTATTGGTAAACATTTCAGTGTGTCTACTTTTTTGCTAGCATAAAAATGCTACAAAATTCCAAAGTGTTGAGTTCAGTTCAGGGTGGCTTCCCTGCTCTGTTAATTAAACTTTGGAACATTGAAACTGGCTAGGGAAAATGATTGGATAGAAAATGTTATTCTATTCATTTATCCCCAGCCTACAAAATGAAAAAAGGTACAGTAAACTTCGTTGTATGTATATCTTTATGTAAAGGTCTGGTTAATTTATTCAACAAATAAATGAGTAGCTATTAATATTTGTGCTAGAAATACAAGATAGGACTCCACCCTGATAAAGCTTACATTTTGGTGATGGGGAGACAAACAATAAACTAAATAAATAAATATGATAATATCAGACTGTTAGTGAGCATCATGAAGAAAATAAGTAGAAGGTTATGATAGAGAATAAAGGAAGAGGGTGCTTTAGGTAGACTAGTGAGGAAAAGCCTCTCCAGGGACATGACATTCAGACTGAGACTTGAAGGATGAGAAGGAGCCAGCTATGGAAAGAGGTGTAGGAAGAGCATTCTAGGCAGAGGAGCATCAGGGATATAGATAGGCCTGGGAGCCTTGAAGACCTGAGTGTTCAAGAAACAGAAAGGGAGTTGGTGTGACTTGACCATAAAGAGTGAGGGGAAAACAGGACAAGGTTAGGTTGGAGATGCAGACTAGGGTTAGATCACGTAGGGATAAGGAGATCTGATTTTATTCTAAATGCAATGGATGTCATTCATGGATTCTAAGTAGGGGGTTACATTTTAACATATCTCTGTTTGCCAGATAGAGAGATGCTTGTAGAAGAAAGCAAGGAGACCAGTTAGGAGTATATTGCAATAATTCATGCAAGAGAGAATGATGGATTTATGGTGGAGGCAGTCGAGTTGGAAGGAAGTAGACAGGTTTGAGATACACTTTGTACTTGCTCAGGAATGGTTTTGAGAAACAAGAGAAAGGAAAGCATTAAGGGTTTCTTAATTTTTAAGTTTGAGCAACAGGGTGGATGATGAGACTGTTTACTGAAATGAGAATAAGGAGAAGGAGAGGCACATAAAGAGTTATGTTTTTACAGGTTAACTTCTGACACAGTTAAACATTCAAGTAGAGGTATCAGGTGTATGAATTGGACATGAGAGTCTGAAGTTCAGGGAGGAAGCTGAGATTGTAGATATAAATTTGAGAGGGAGTGGTTTACTGTGGAATGTTTCGTAGAATTCAAGAAAAGAAGGTGGTCCATTGGATTTGACAACATGGAGTTATTTAGTGACTTTTGATATGAACAGTTACAGTAGAATGGTGAGGATGAAAGCCAAATTAATATAGGCTTAAGAATAAATATTTTCACCCCCTGCTCTCTAAAATCGCAAACAAGGAGCATAAGAAGTAGATTCTCAGTATGTCCGTTTTCATGGAGTCCTGACCTCTTCCTGAAGCCTCATACTCATTTCTCCAGCTCCCTACTGAATAATTTCTACCTAGATATCAAACTTAACATATCCAAAATTGAATTCTTAATTTCCTCCTGCCAAACTTGCTCCTCCTTTTTTTTTTTCTACATCATCTTTCTTCTGGTTGCTCCTTACTGTGACATACAAGGCCCAACTTTATCTGGCTTATGGTACCTCTGACGCTGTCTCCTGTAGGGTACCCCTCCCCATTCATTGTGTTTCATCACGCAGATCTCCTCTGTGTTCCTCAGACACAGCAAGCATATCCCTACTCTAGAGCATTTAGATTTACTGCTCCCTCTGCCTGGAAAACTTTAGCTAGTCACATGGCTTTCTCCCTCTCTTCACTCAGGTCTCTTAATATATCACGTTGTCAAAGAGGCCTTCTTTAGTCACTCTACTAGGCCTAGAAAATTATGCAATGAGTTTGACTTTATGGAAATTTATATTGAGAGGGACTTTGATGTCTTTCAAAGTGTGGAAAGACCTCAGATGCTCAGGGAAAACTCTTAATGACAAGGTAATAATAACTCCAGAAAAAAAAGAATGCACAGCCAAGGAAATGTAATTACAGTAAGTACTGTATCTCAGCAGTGAGTAATACTTATATCATTCCTAATAATAAAAACAGTGAATTTAATAAAAAATTGAGATACAAATATTTTGGAAGGATATAGGGAGAGAAAGAGAGATGTAAATAAGCCATACCACCTTAAATTAATGAAAAATAGTGCTAAAATCGGTGACTCGAAAGATAACAGCCCCCTAAATTCAGTACCAATGTGTAGCAATATACAGGGCAGAAAAACACTTTAAATAATACTATAGGAATGTGGTCAGCAAAATGTAGACTGTGGGAAATTAGTCTCAAACAGGCTTGTTTCTTCAACAAATAGATTTCAAAGGATTGAAGATGGGAAGGAGGGGTTGAGGAGGTCAGAAGGATTTTGGATCAAACTCTATGTCCATTTGTTTGGGGTCCTTACTTTGAAACCCAGAGGTATTGTTTTTCTTAGCAATGATTAGCTATTTTGCTTCAAGAGCAGAGAATGCAGAAAATTTAGGTCAACTAAGGTTAAGATTTAGCCGGGGGAGTATGTGTGTAGGGGGAGACGAGTGTAGAGAGGTTGTGGATATTTGCAAGAAAGTGATGATGATGGAACTCAAATCTAAGCTGGATAAAAAGGGAAGTGATCCCAAGAGGTACTTGATAAATAGTGGAAAAAATAGTAGGATTAATTAATTTAAACTCAAAATTATGAAATTACTGCAGGGAGTTTCTGGAGTAATTGAGATGGAAAGCTAGGAGATGGTGGTCTAAGTGCGGTACGCTTGAAATCATAGTTACAAAGAATCTACAGTTGCTGATGACCAGATCTAAAGTGTGACATCGAAAATGGATTATTTAAGTTATAGGAAGGAAAACATCATTGGTAGCAAGGATGGAAAGGACTGATCAACCATTTCCTTACCATAAATTAGAATCCTTTAAAAAAATTGCATATATATTGCAAAATTGTCCTCTGGATTATTTTGTAGCAATTTATACTCCTGTGTATATCGCATGGGAGTTTGAAAAGAAGCTATTTTAAAACTTAAATTTCAATTTATATGCCGTACAATTTGCCCTTTGATCGTGTTCTGGTGGAGTCAGGCAAAACTTATGAAAATTTTGTAATATAGTGAAAACATTTTGTATACTGAATCATGGATTCATTCATGACTATGAGACAGGCGTTCTGATATTTTATAATAGTCCAGGAGGTAGGAGGGGAATTTAAAAAATAGTTCAAGGATTTGTTTGATCACTTTAATTCCTATAAATCCAGTGAATGGTTTCCTTATGAACTCACTGAAAGAATTTCCTTTCCTAGGACACATTTTAAGGACAAATGCATTTTTTGACAGTTTTCAGGCAAAGGGGAGGCAATACATGTATATGAAAATTAGTAAGGTCAGGCACAGCAGCACATGCCTATATTGGCGGGGCACAGTGGCTCACACTAGTAATCCCAACTCTTTGGGAGGCTGAGGCTGGAGGATCACCTGAGGTCAAGAGTTTGAGACCAGCCTGGCCAATATGGTGAAACTTCGTACCAACTAAAAATACAAAAATTAGCTGGGCATGGTGGTGCATGTCTGTAATCCCAGCTATTCGGGGAGGCTGACGTAAGAGAATCTCAAAAAGAGAGAGGAAAAAAAAGGTGAATTGATATTTGGGGATAAAAGTGGACTGTGTACTTCTGGTACCTCTGAGTTTCGTATCTGTTCAAAAAATTAAATTTTGTTTTTATGATATTCTATACGTTATAGAAATTGTAGATGGAAATTTTAATATTTAATTTTTTTTGAGATGGGGTCTCACCCTGTTGCCCAGGCTGGAGTGCAGTTGGAGCGATCGCAGCTCACTGCAACCTCCACCTCCCAGGTTCAAGCAATTCTCCTGCCCCAGCCTCCCAAGTAGCTAAGATTACAGGCACCCACCACCACGCCTGGCTAATTTTTGTATGTTTAGTAGAGGTGGGGTTTCACCATGTTGACCAGGCTGATTTCAAACTCTTGACCTCAAGTGATCCACCTGCCTTGGCCTCCTGAGTGCTGGGATTACAGGAGTGAGCCAGTGTACCCAGCAGAATATTTTCTGATGCTGATTTTGTAGCTTTTAAAATGACTTTTGTTTATTAAATAAAACGAAACATTTAGCATCTTAGAATGGAACTGAAGTAAAAATGTAATGACCAAAATAACATTGTACATTCAAGTCACGTGTTTGTTTGTTTGTTTTTATCATTAGGTATTATGACTCTGTCCCCCTTTGATCAAATGAAGACTGCCTCCAATATAGGTGGATTTAATGCAGCAATTAAAAATAGTCCACCTGCCATGTCTCAGTATATCACTGTAGGGTCCAATCCATTTACTGGCTTCTTCTATGCTTTAGAGGTATGAGTTTTATCAATGATCATGAGTAAGGCCGCTCTTGATTTTACAATTTGTCTACAAATTGGATGTGGTAACTTGCTTAGCCTTAGAAGATTAAGCAGTGTACATTTCTAAATTTCAATTGAAACTAAAATTAATCTCAACTAGCTTTCTTCTAAATTCTTTACATTAACTGAAAAGGTACTACCATCAGTGTAAAAGAAAATTCTTTGTTTCTGAAGCCCTGAATTATTTGATAGCTGAGATGTCTTTAAATATTGGTGCAATAGTCAGATGCTCAGACTTGTTAATGATGTCAGCCCACCAGGGATTTCAGTAAATGAGAAATTGTAAAGACAGAACAAGCTGCCAACTATACTTGTTATAAGTGGTGAAAATTGCTTCCTAAAATAGGGGAGAGTTGAGTGTTAGATTTGGCAGCTCTTGTTTCTCACTTAAAAAGCATGCTTCTCAGAATTGTCCAAAATATCTTTTTACTTTTATAAAAATGTGTGTGTATGTGTGTGTGCATTTATATGTAAAAAGAGAGAAAAGAGCCAGTTATGTGTAGATGTGAAATCCATAGTCCAGCTAGAATAATGTAATCTTAATATCCTAGTTTAAAATGTATTTTAATGAAATACAATTTAAAGAGGGAAATTTTAATGGTAAAATACACTAATTGTGATTTTATTTTTAAACTATAGAGTTAAAACTATTTTTTATATTGCTCCTAAAATAAACTTTTTACTGTACTCTGAAAGAAGCTGAGTTGCTAGTCCAGCCTTTACAACTTTTGGAAGCATTTTAAAGTAAGCTTTATTTGGAAAGTATGTTTGTTCTTTGTAAGCTGCTAAGTTTTCTCTTTCAAATGTTCTGTTTTTCAGGGAAGCACACAACCATTATTATCCCATGTTGCACTAGCAGTTGCAAGTAAACTCACTTCTGCTTTATTTAATGCTGCCAGGTAATTACTTAACAATTAAATAAAAAATATCTCATTTGTATCTAGCTTGCTTTTAACTTATAATTTGATAGTCTGCACTTTAAAACCCTGAAAGCTCAATTTTATTCTAAGTTTTCTTTCTTTTCAGTGGTTGGCTTGGTTGGAAGAGTAAGCACGAAGAAGAAGCTGTCCAAAAGCAAAAGCCGAAGGTTGAGCCAGCTACCCCATTAGCTGTAAGGCAAGTCTGTCATGCTTCCCAAATTTTAGTCCTTTTAGAAAGGTACTGTTAAATGTGTGGTTTTTCTGTGTGCTTGGTTGATTTGCTGATCTCGTAAGTCTCTGGAACTTCTGAAAGCCATTGCAGTGGAATTTTTTTCCCCACTAGAATGTAAAACTCCATGTGAAGAGTGATTCTTACCTGTTTGATTCACAGCTCTATCCTTGTTATATACTAGGTATTCAAGATGTATTTCTTGAGTGTGCTTTTTAACAAATAAACTTAGCTTGGTCTAATGTAGGAGAATTAGTTTAGTGATAACTGTTGCATTTCTTTTAAAGTTTAGATAGTTTGTTACTAAATTGTGTAAACTTTTTAAAAAATGTAATCCTAGTGGATTACGGTGGCTCACGTCTGTAATCCTAGCACTTTGGGAGGCCCAGGCGGGCGGATCTCTTGAGGTCAGGAGTTTGACACCAGCCTGCTCAACATGGTGAAACCTTGTCTCTAACAAAAATACAAAAATTAGTTAGGCATGATGGCACGTGCCTGTAATCCCAGCTACCCAGGAGGCCGAGGCAGGAGAATCGCTCAAACCCGGGAGGCAGAGGTTGCAGTGAGCTGAGATTACACCATTGCACTCTAGCCTGGGAGACAAAAGCGAAAAACTCCATCTCAAAAAAAAAAAAAAAGTAAAAGTAGGAGTCCTGTATTCAGGCACACTTTAGACAGACTCCTGGCCTGTGCTTCCTTGTTTACTTCAGTAGTGCTTTAGAATGTGTTAGTGTATTTGTGAGATTTTTTTTGGTGGAAGGAGCATGATTTTTTTTTTTCATTATTATTTTTTAGACAGAAGCATTTTTTCTAATGTTTGGTTTTGTTTAAAAATCATTTTTTATTACCTAATATAAAGTACCACCATGAAGGGAAATAGAACACCTCCTCTTTATAGATATTCTTCACCTAAAGAGAGCCAACTAATTATTAAAATTTATCAAAGTATATCTTCTAAGTTTTTTTTTTTCATCTTTTTAAAAAATACATTGTAACATACCACGTTTCCTAATATCAAGAGTCAAGAAATTAGCCAAATGGCCCTGTGCATCTCAAATAGATGTAACAAAGACTGAGCACCTTTGTTTCAGGGACTTTTCTCTAAGTGAGCTTTCCTAGCTCTCTTTTAGTACCTCTTTACTTTTATTTTACTCACAATTCTAATGAGGTTGATTATAGACCAACAGCAGTTTAGAGATAACTATTTAGAAAAAGGAAGGTTTTTGCTTCGGGCAGATTGGTATCAGCAGAATGTGATATCTTCCAAAAAAGAGAAAGATTAAGAAGAAGAACTTAAAATAGACAAAAGATGCCTGTGTGGGAGCAAATTCTAAAATTTAGTTGACGGTGAGGACTTTGTTTTTTGTGACATGCCTTTTAATCAAATATAGTTATACTTTATATTCTCTAAAGGAATAGGATTGTGAGTATCTATTGAAAACCTACATAAGACTGTGGTTTTATTTCTTTTATGTATTTTATATTACAAATGTCAGTTGTGAATAATAAATTAACTATTAATTCAGGCAAAATTCACATTTCTTTGTATAAAAACAGATTCAGCCTATTTCATTTATGCATTTCATTATTCTGTTATATGTTTCTGAATTGGAATGTGATTTGAACTTTTTATTTTCTTTTAAATATCAGATTTGGACTTCCAGATTCTAGACGCCATGGTGAAAGCATATGTCTGTCTCCGTGTAACACACTGGCAGCAGTAACAGATGATTTCGGCAGAGTTATTTTATTGGATGTAGCTAGAGGAATTGCAATACGCATGTGGAAAGGTACTTCTTACAAAAATCCAGAAAAACAATTAATTCACTTTTTACCCCGATAGTTGAGCAACGTTGTCATGCTTCAGCTTCTGGTTGATGACTGTTTAATTCTTTGTTTATATTTTCTTTTTTTGACATGAACTCAGATCAGCAACCACTTGATCCGGTAGTCAGCTGATACATCTTTTAGGTTTGATCATGTTTAACCTTTATCTTATGTACTTTCTTTCAATTCTCACTGTTAGTGTAAATTTCTGAGTTCAGTTTCTTGCCCCTGCTACATCTATTCCCCTTCACAAAGCCATTCTTGAGCCAAATGTTCTCCCTAAATCTGTAATGCCAAGTCTTTCAGATTTAAGATAGCAAAACCCATCTTCACTAACTTGACTTTTATATCCATATGCTTGGGTCAATCCACCTGATGTGTCAATAAGTATGTCACTTAGGAGTTTCATTCAGCTATTAGTAACAGACCCGAGTAACAGACCACAGTATCTTCAGGAACCCAGTCTTCTTCCTTGTAGCTTCCCCACTCAAGGTTCTCATAGATAGCCCTCTTACCTGCATTCTGGGAAGGAAGCAGAAAGGAAGAAGGCTTCTCCTGGCAACTGAGTCAATCTACTTTGAAGATATTCCCCCAAAGTCCCTTCAACCATTATCTACATTAGTCAGAACTTAGTGACATGGCCTCATCTAACTATAAGGGAGACTTGAAAATATCTTTTAACTAGGCACATTGTGAATAATATCTCCCTGACAAAGAAGGCATGATCACATTATTTAGAATCATCTGGAATAGTAACATGTCAGCATAGACCACAATTTATGGCGCCATCTTGTCTGTCCTTTAAAATGTGAGGAATAATGGATTGAGGTCATTAAATTACTCCGGACCAGACTGAAGCCACTATCACCTTCTTGCCAAAGAACTCCTGCAGTGACAGACAGAGGCAGTCTTTACCTACTACATGTCTAACTATCTGTAGAAATAGTTTTAGTACTGCAGATACATCATTTCTCCTTGGTGTTTGTCTCCTGAAACAATATCAAAGGTATGTTCTCAGCAAGACTTCTAAAATACAGAAGACAAAGCTGTACTGACTGCTCCAAATCCACTATAGCAATCTTATTCCTTGCATCATTGCCTGCCTTTCTGCAGCTGGTACAGCCAGTTTTCCTTTCCATTGTATCCTTGGAAAGAAGGATTAATTGCCTATGTGAGGGACCACCCTAAAATAGAAAACAGCGTCAGCTACTTCTCCCATGCAAGAGCTTCCTCCCATCACCCTGTAACCCATATTTTCTATCTGCATGTCGCCAAAAGGCTTGGATGGGAAGGGAAGGGAATGACAGCAGGAAGGGTAATCAAGTGGCTTCAATTATATCTATAATCTTTTTTCTTATTTTTTGAGGGAGTTTCACTCTTGTTGTCCAGGCTAGAGTTCAGTGGCACGATCTCGGCTCACTGCAACCTCCATCTCCCGGGTTCAAGCGATTCTCCTGCCTCAGCCTCCCAAGTAGCTGGGATTACAGGCATGTGCCACCACATCCACCTAATTTTTTGTACGTAGTAGAGACAGGGTTTCACCATGTTGGTCAGGCTGGTCTCGAACTCCTGACCTCAGGTTATCCACCCGCCTCAGCTTCCCAAAGTGCTGGAATTACAGGCGTGAGCCACTGTGCCCAGCCAATATTTTCATTTTAAAGAGAAAAAGTGATGGAAGTAAATATAGCAAAATACTAAGATTTGATAAGGCTTGGTGATAAACTGGTTATTATGTATTATCATTTTTTATTTAAGATATTCCATAATAAAAATATACTTTCATAGCTTTTCTTACCCCACCCCCACCCCCACTATTCCAGAGTACTTCAGGTGGCTACTATGGAACCTAGACTAAGTAATTAACTTCCCTTTCCCTCTGTCTCTAAGGGTACCGCGATGCACAAATTGGATGGATTCAAATTGTAGAGGATCTTCATGAAAGAATACCAGAAAAGGCGGATTTTTCCCCCTTTGGAAATTCTCAGGGTCCGAGTCGAGTAGCTCAATTCCTTGTGATCTATGCACCAAGAAGGGGAATTTTAGAAGTGTGGAGCACACAGCAGGGACCTAGAGTAGGAGCTTTCAATGTGGGGAAGCACTGCAGGTAAGCTGCAAATGCTGGCATTGTGCTGGTTACAAAATGAAATATAGAAATGCTTTTATTAAAATAAAGCTTTTACTAAAGCTGCTTATTAGATTACAAGTTTAAGAATTACAGTATTCTTTATTGTGGTTTTTCCTGTGAGTGTCTGATATATACTTAAGTATTTAATAACCAAAAAAAAATTGAAAATGCCATGATACACTGCTGAATTAAAGTTAGCTTGTTGCTGATGTTTGTCCCTTACTTATGCTGTGAAGACTCAAAAGGAAAGGTTCCTTCAGCTTGCCCTAGTCATAAGTGAGGTGAATGCTTTGTTTGCCATTGAAACATGGGCCTGATTGTGTTCTTTTAATTTTTTAGAATCTTTCAACAAGGCAGAACTCTGCTAGCTTTACTTATGTATTTGCTATCAGTATTTAGTTGCCTTATTAATGCCCCTAAATTGATAATAATGTTGGGTTTCCTAGCTATAATAAAAGCACCTTTTGGCATTTCTTCTTGTTCTAATGTTTTTACCATATTGGGATGTGATTTCTTTAGGCTGCTGTATCCTGGCTATAAAATAATGGGCTTAAATAATGTTACCAGTCAGAGTTGGCAGCCGCAGACTTATCAGATCTGTCTTGTTGATCCAGTGTCCGGAAGTGTGAAAACAGTGAACATTCCCTTCCATTTAGCACTGAGGTAAGGTGTAGCCGGTGTTGCTGACTGACGCTCCTCTGCTAACTTTTCCTAGTTCCTAGGTTTGTTGTACTCTCTTTTGTTGTTGCTGTTTTGTTGTTTCCTTTGTCTTTAGACTGATATCTTTAAATAGAAAAAATTTAAAGGAAAAAAAAGTTGGAGTGTGTCAGAATTAGAAAGAAAGTAATTTCACATTCTGTAATAATTTGTTACATTTATTGATTTAGTGATAAGAAGAGTGAACGAGCCAAAGATATGCACCTAGTGAAGAAACTAGCAGCCTTACTGAAAACAAAATCTCCCAATCTTGGTAGGTATTCTCTCATACAAATAATAAAGCATATTGTTCTATCATCTTTTAAATCAATAAGCTATTCTGAATGGAGCAATCAAAATGATGCATGGATGAGCTTATTGGAATTGCTCTGTAAGGCCGAAGTGTGCCATCTAGAGGGTGTTATAATTCATAACAAGAAAACATTAATGTGAGAGAACCCAAAAATCCTTTAGACTCAACTGGTAGTACAGATATGTTCATTTTCTTTCAGAATAATGTTTCACTGTTATAAAAATTAAAATTTTACTTTAATTTTTTCTTTATAGATTTGGTTGAAACAGAAATAAAGGAACTAATTCTTGATATTAAATACCCTGCAACCAAAAAACAAGTAAGTATATATAATACACGAAGTTTTCTGCTAGTAGCTATAATACATCCTTGTTAAGAAAATCTTTGTTTTCCTATTTCCCCCAAACATGACAGGCTGAAGTCTTCTTTTCACGTTTTTATTGTTTATCCCTTTCTGTATTTTCATGTGGAAGTTCCTGTTGTCTCTTTTTTTAAAAAAAAAAAAATTAATATTTATGCCTGTAATCCCAGCACTTTGGGAGGCTGAAGCGGGTGGATCACGAGGTCAGTAGTTCGAAACCAGCTGGTCAACATGGTGAAACCCCGTCTCTACTAAAAATACAAAAAAATTAGCTGGGTGTGTTGGCGGGTGCCTGTAATCCCAGCTACTCAGGAGGCTGAGGCAGGAGAATCGTTTGAATCTGGAAGGCCGAGGTTGCAGTGAGCTGAGATCGCACTCTTGTACTCCAGCCTGGGCAACAGGGCAAGACTCCGTCTCAAAAAAAAAAAAAAAAATTAGTATTACTATACATCTGAGTGTGTTTTATATACACACGTAAACATCCCTACATTATATATATTACGTATATTATATATATGTAATAGTAAATATGTGTGTATGACCACCTACCTTAGGAAATACAATCTTACCAGGAACTCTAAAGAGCCCTGAGTGTCCCCCCTCAGTCCCATTCCCTCCTCCCATCCTTAAGGTAACCATAATTTAGAATTTTGTGGTTCTTTTCTTTTTCTTTGCTTTATAGTTACATCATTCCTGTGTGACTCCTTTGAAACCTGTTCATGCATTTCTTGTCTTTTCAAACTTTACATAAATGGAGTCATGCCCTATGTCTTCAGTGACTTTAGTTTTTCCTTCAGGATTATGTTTCTGTGTCATTCATATTGGTGTATGTAGCTATAGTTATAACTGATTCATTTACTATGCCATACAAATTCCGCTCACTGACTAGAATTTATTTACACTCTTGTCAGTGAATGGTTAGGTTGTTTCCAGATTTTTGACATTACAAACAATGATGCTGTGCTTATCCATGTACATATTTCCTCATTCACATATGCAAGAGTTTTTCTGGCATTTATACCTAAGAGTGGAATTGCTAGGGTGTGAACTTCTTCAGCTGTGCTAGTTGATGGCAAATTGTTTCTCAAAATAGTTGTACTAATTTATAGTCCCACTTGTTCTGTATGAGTCCCTGTTACTCCACAGCCTCAGCATTCCATGGTATTGCCAGACCTTTACTTTTTGCCAGGCTCGTGGTTATAATACGGCCACCATTGGTGATTTCTTTTACTCCCACTCTTCCTATCCAAACCCCTCATAATGCTATTCAAGTCCTAACTCCATAAATTCTTATGGATAACTCTGAACTCCTACTCTACTTTCAATCAAAACTGGCTAGTTACTGACTACTTATTTTCTGATTATTTCGTGTATGTTAATCATAGCTCCCCCAACTTTTTTTTTTTAGGTCTTATAAGCTCCTTCAAGTAGGAACCTTACCAAATACTTGATTTTTATAATTCACAGCATCTAAAATAATGCTACTGTGAAAATGTAAAAAAAACTGTATCACAGGTTTTTTCTTTTCTCTTACACAGTCACTCAACACTTCTGCCACTAGATGTAGGGTTTTTTTTTTCCCCACACACCAATGAATTTCTTTGGCAGACTCTCCAGCTAACACCAACTGGTTATTCTCTAATTCAGTTCAATTCTGACACCATCTACCTGGAGATAGCATGAGATCATCAGCACAGGAGATACCAGTCACAAGTAGTTGGTCATCAGCTATATTTCTGACTGACTGGCTATAAATTAGGGTTACTATGACCCCCTCTTTGCAGGTGATAAATTTGCTAGACCAGCTCACAGAACTCAGGGAAACATTTTACTTGAACGTTTACCCATTTATTATAGAGGATATTACAGAGGGTAGAGATGAACAGCCAGGTGGAAGAGATGCATAGAGTAAATCATATGGGAAGGGTTGCAGAGCTTCCATTCCCTCTCCTGGCAAGCCACCATTCAGGAACCTCTACGTGTTCAGCTATCCAGAAGCTCTTCCAACCCTTATCCGTTTGGGTGTTGTTGGAAGCTTCATTATATAAGCATGATTGATTACATCATTGGCCATTGGTGATCAACTCAGTCTTCAGCCCCTCTTGGCTCCCCAGAGGTCAGGGGTTGGGCTAAAAGTTCCAATCCTCAAATACATGGTTGATTCCACTGGTAACCAACCCCTTATTATGAAGCTTTGCAGGAGCCTGCCATGAGTGGCCTCATTAGAAGAAAAGATGCTCCTATCACCCAGGAAATTACAGAGGTCTTAGAATCTCCTCATCAGAAACTGGGGGTCAAGGACCAAATGTTAGAACAAAATGTTCTCCTAACACCTCTGTCTACAAAGGGATTAAGAGCGCTGACTGATGAACTAGGGCAGAGACTAAACATTGGAACAAAAGAAACTCCTAGCACCCCCATTGTTCAGGAAATTATAGGAACTCTGTGTCAGGTACTGGGGCCATAGACCAATGTGTATATTTCTTACTATTTTATAGCTACATACATGGGAGAATTTAGTGAATAGTGATACGTGGGAGAACTTAGTGCAGAGTGATTCTGCTGCAGTCCACTTTTAAAACACTTTTTATTGTGTTATTGTAGAACAGAAAAACCTTTGTGACTTTTAATTGTGTTTTCCATTCTACTGACAATGCTAATTGGCTCTCCTTTTCCTTAGGGCGAAGTCTCCATTATTAGAGATGACATAATGATGACAAAGTGGGCATCTAGAGAGGCAGTTTGAGAAATCTGTAGTAGAAAGGGTCATAACCCACACAGTTCTTCTCCTTTTGATGCCATCTTTCTTCTTATCTTAAATCATAGAACAACAAAATTGGGAAACTAGCATAATGCAAAATGTCTTCTTGATTTTCTTTTTTTTTAATAATACTTCTGAATCATGTATGAAGCTGTGAATTTTATAAAAAATACTAGAAAACCCAATAACAAAAGTTATATCTTGGAGGACTGACTAAAGGGAGGGAAGAAACCAGTTTAGGCTTTGGGAGACTGAATAATGGGAAAGAAAGTAAGCTAGCTGCTAACCTGTGTAATCATAGGCAGAACAGGAGCAGGTTACACTTGTCCTGGGTTCTTGCCTCTTATAGTCACTTTCTTTATTGCTTCCTGCTGGTTGCTTCATTATAGGCCTGAGCAACATCTTGAGCCACCCTCTAAGCCCATTTCTCCTCCACAAACACACAGAAGTTTTGTGTTGATTGGATATTTGTCTTACCCTACATTCTCAGCCTACTTTTTAAACTATGTAATCTCATTAATTGAAACCCAATTTAATGTGCTAATATGAAAGGATAAATATGACCTTTAACTGCTATGTCTGACTCATTGATGTTTCCGATAGTTGCTACTTTAGGCATGAAGAGATATTTTGGGATTGGTTATAAAGAATCTTAAATATCTATGGGGGTAGGGAGAGGGAGGTAGGGAAGGGTGGTTACTATATCTATCTAGCAGGGCCTATAGATTCTGCCTGCCATGCACAAATGCAGTTATTAAGCTATAACTAAGTTATTAGCAGCTTTTGTTATTGACATGACAATAACCACTGCTTTTCATTTATTCCTAGATAGCATAGGCATATTCAAACACTACTTATTGGTAAATAGCTGTATCTTTGTTTCTGTTTTGATTGGGCTATTCTGTTAAGTAGCAGTTGCCTTCTAGTTGTTTTATTCTCAGCCTGGATTTTTGTCATTTATATCATATTTGGCATGACATAAAGTTGATTGAATATTACTTAACAGTGCAACTTGAGATTTAAGATACGTACACTAAAACATCTTAAATATAGAGCTTCTCTTTGAAATTTGGGGGAGTAAAAGTTTGGGCATAAATATAAGATTTAAAAAATAAAATCATTGCCTTATAATTACTAGAACTGTTCAATATCTTTTTTCTAGGCTTTGGAAAGCATTTTGGCAAGTGAACGTTTACCATTTTCTTGCCTCAGAAACATCACTCAGACTTTAATGGACACTTTGAAAAATCAAGGTAATAGGGTTTGTACTGATTGGAGGTTATGTTCTTAACTCAAATTTTGTAACTGATTATAGAAAGTTATTGACTTTGTGATACCATCATGTTACTTTAATGTGGAAATAATATATATATATATATAAGAAATTAAGAATCTTATTTATTCCCTGTTTAATATATGTAGTCGATCTTCATCTAAACTGTCTTTGAATGTATTGAGTGTTTGTTATTGGGAAGTTGTTTTTAATTGTGAGGAAAGAGGTCAAGATAGAATGATAAGTGGTTATTCTGATATAGCTGTAGAACATTAAGGAAAGCATTGGAATGAAGAAGTTATCTGGTGGTATGGGAAAACAAGCAAGCTCTCTCGCTGCCATTGTCTTTTCTTTAGCTTCACAAGAGGAGACAAATTTCTCTAGGGGGGCACATAATGTCATTTTGACCAAGATAATAATAAAACATATTTGTACTTTGTATTAATGTTTTATTAGTGTATCAGTTTCCCATCAGTTTCCCTCATGAACAGAGTTAAGGACGTCCAAAGTCACAGACGACAATCAGATTATTTTTTCTGGTCACTTTTTGATGTTCAAAATTTGTCTGTACTATCACGTTGTTCTTTAAAATCAGTCAGCCCATCAAAATGTATTTGTCTGAAAAAGGATTACACTTGAAACTGTGGGGTTGTAACACCATATTCCATCCAACTGAACTAGTAAAAATTCACTTTATTCTGAATTCCTAACATCAGTTAAATTGTAGTGTGCAGTGGACTGGTGTCATCTAGTTGTGACTTTTGTTTGTCATATTAATTATGTAAAACCAACTTTGTGTTTTAATTATGTGTAAGCCAGCTTAAAGTGGCTTAATAAACAAATTATAATTTGTTCTTTCAGGGCTTCAAACATGCTAATTTTGAGACTCTTTTTCAACCTTTTTTTTTTAACAGATACATGAAACTGACATTGGCAAATAGTGAGCTCCTTTAGTGTATACCACTTGTCAGAAATAAATACCTCTTTTAAAAAGCATGGTGTACTTATAAAGCCCTCCCACCCCTCAAGGCATTAACGAAATCCCAAAATTTATTAAATGAAAAGTTATCTTTCACTGACCTGGTAGTAAACCAAACACCATTGTTGGAGTTCTATAAAATCATCAGTTTCAAGTTCTACATAAAAATAAGCTTCCTAAAATCTAATTATTTTGTATGGTCAGTTTTATTAAGGCTATAAGAACTTGAACAATATTCCATGATACTGTATTTCAAATAAGATTTTTGGGGGATTATCATTGTTTCCCTTTTTAAAGAATAAATATTTGTTTTATATTAGATATAAATATTCATACAGTATTCCAGATAATTTCTTTAAATTTTAAGTATTAGGTGAAGATATTTCCACTTTATTTTTTATCGCCCTACTTTTAGAGCATCTTATTTTATTTAAAAATTAGACATTTTGTCATGACAGAAAAATTATTTTTGCTTTCAAAATCTGATATAGCTTAAGCATCTCAATATTTAATACATCAGAGCATCAGGGAATTATGTAATGTTGAGAGATTTAATGAAAGAAAAGCCTGTTTATGAGTCTGTTAAATATATCTCTTATATATACTTTTCCTTCTGCCTTTTAGAACTTGAGTCGGTTGATGAAGGATTGCTACAGTTTTGTGCCAGTAGACTAAAATTGCTGCAACTCTATGAGTCGGTCAGTCAACTAAATTCCCTTGATTTTCATTTAGACACACCATTCTCTGATAATGTGAGTAATCCCACATTTTATATTATATAAAATAATCTATCTGGTTGCTTTTACTTTTTACAATCAGTAGTAACAAAGTAGAAAATTAAGAATTTTTTTAAAGCTTTAAAGGTATATTTTGTTTACCAAGCCCCCTGCTAGCTCTCTGTGCCTTGCTGCTGAATTTATATTATTTATACAAGTGCTGAGATTATAGGCATAAACCACTATGCCCAGCCACAATATGTTTTTGTACATATAGTATACAAAAATAGTTTGAAAGCCTAACAGGTTGTATCCCTGAGAGCCACATACAGGACTTATATGTGGATACAATGAGAATTGTTTTTCTATGTTTTATTTTATAGTGTTTACGCTGGTTAATAATTAAGCATTTAAATTCAAATATTTAGTTTCCTCAGAATGGTAAGAGTTGCATTTGACACCCTTTTAAATTTTTTTCTGATTATACAGTAAAACATGTTTATTAAAATTCTAGCATTTGCCAGGGCGTAGTGGCTTGCACCTGTAATCCCAACACTTTGGGAAGCTGAGGTGTGAGGATCACTTGAGCCCAGGAGTTCGAGACCAGCCTGGGCAACATAGTGGGGCCCTGTGTCTACAAAAAAAACTTTTTAAATTAGCTGGAGGTGGTGGTGCACACTTGTGGTCCCAGCTACTCAGGTGGCTGAGGCAGGAGGATTGCTTGAACCCAAGAAGTCAAGGCTGCCGTGAACCATGATCGTGCCAAGGTACTCTAACCTGGGTAACAAAGTGAGACCCTGTCTCGAAAAAAAAAAAAAAATGCTAACATTCTAGAAGATAATAAAGAAGAAATATGCTAAAATGGTACTTTTAGCATATTTCTGAAATATGCTAAAGAAATATGCTAAAATGGTACTTTTAGTAGTATGTAGTGTTCAAGATTATAGTTTATTTAAATAAACTCCTACTCATGAAATGTGACTTGTAAGCAAAGTTTTAAGCGGAATACATGATAGCTATTATATTAATTAAAAAGTCAACTTTTGCTTACAATCTTGAATTTCGGTTCAGATAATGTGGTTGATAGATGTGGAATGTTGTTTTTGTTTTCTATTTTAAAGGACTTGGCTGTGTTACTAAGGCTTGATGAAAAAGAACTGCTTAAGCTCCAGGCATTACTAGAGAAGTATAAGCAAGAGAACACCAGGACAAATGTTCGATTTTCTGATGATAAAGATGGTGTGTTGCCTGTAAAAACATTCTTGGAATATTTAGAATATGAAAAGGATGTGCTCAATGTAAAGAAGATAAGTGAAGAGGAGTATGTGGCTTTAGGTAGGTAAAATAATACACTGGTCTTTGTATCCGTCTTCTTTTAGAAGAAAACATGGTAGGAACATATAGCATCTCAGGAGATTCTGTTTGTTTTGAAATTTAAATAATGAAAGTATTTAATGTACTGTATTTTTTGGTCAACAAAAGACACTCTGGTCGATAGGTTGTTTTAATAAGTATACTAAAGAGACAATATTAGATCATGATTTGCTTTCTGCTTTAATAAATCAAGCAAATTGAACCATTAATTTCTCTTCCTTCATAATGTTTTGTTTCTCTGGAATTCCAGATTGTGATTCAATAAGATTGTTAGTCCAAATGGTAAGTAGTCATTGATTAATGTGCTTTGTTTTTGTTCTACCAGGTAGTTTCTTTTTTTGGAAGTGTTTGCATGGAGAAAGCTCCACTGAGGATATGTGTCACACTTTGGAGTCGGCTGGACTTAGCCCTCAGCTGTTGTTGGTAAGGTGTTTTTGGTTGCTGGATGCTGTTCTTCCTGGTGAATGACACCCAGAAGTGTCAATCTTCTTCTTTTTTTTTTTTTTAACTCTTGTCTTTTAGGTTATCATAGAATGTCCATGAAAACTTTCTAAAAATGATCAAAGAAATTTTTAATCACCATATTTAATAGAGTAATATTATTTTATTTTTCTTATACCCTGTAAATTTTTTTTCTTTTTCTTTTACTTTGAGAGAGAAAGTGTCTTGCTCTGTCACCCAGGCTGGAGTACAGTGGTGTGATCGTAGCTCACTGCGGCCCCAACCTCCTGGGCTCAAGCCATCCTCCCATCTCAGCCTTCTGAGTAGCTGAGGCTACAGGCGCATGCCATTGTGCTGGCCAATTTTTTTTTTTTTTACTTTTGTAGAGATGGGGGTCTCGCTATGTTGCCCAGGCTGTCTGAAACTCCTGGCTGAAGCAATCCTCCCTGCTTGACCACTCAAAGCTTTTGGATTACAGACAAGAACCACCGTGCCTGGCCAATTTTCTATAATGTTAACAAGCATATTCTATAGTTGGCCTAAGATAAGTTTAGAATCTGTATGCACACATCTATATGCATGCATTTACAATAGAATTGGATCATCAGTAAAAAACTGTCATGTTACGATGGAAAAGATCTTAAAAACAAAATAAACTTACCTTAAAGCAATGTGGAATTGTTATCAAACATTTTCAAACTTTGAATATATATTATAATGTAATCTCAATTAAAACAAATATAAACAAAAGAATCATCCAAGGAGAAGATACAACACTAGATTTTTGCCCTTTCTGAAAAAATCAAGGAAAGTTACCCCATCTTCCTTGTTCTTCTTTGTTCTTACCTATCCCCTACACATGCATGCATACACAGCTGTCCCTCAGCACCCATGAAAGATTGGTTCCAGGAACCTCCCCCTCCAATACCAAAATCCATGGATACAGAAGGTCCTGATATAAAATGGTGTAATAAAAAATTAGCCAAGCATGGTGGCATGTCCCTGTATTCCCAGCTACTCAAGAGGCTGAGGCATGAGGATCCCTTGAATCAGGGAGGTCAAGGATGCGCTGATTGCACCTCTGCACTCCAGCCTAGGTGACAGAGTGAGACCTTGTCTCTAAAAAAACAAAAAAGTGGTAATTGCGTGTAACCTGTGCACATCTCCCGTATACCTTAAATCATATCTAGATAACTTTTAATACCTTATGCAATGTAAATGCTGTGTAAATTATTGTTAAACCTACTGAGGGAATAATGACAAGAAAAAGTCTGTATGTGTTCAGTATAGATGGAACTGTCCATCTTTTTTTTTCTGAATACTTTTGACTCACAGTTGATTAAATCCACAGATGTGGAATGCATGGATACAGAGGGCCAACTGCATACTCTTTCACACACCCCCATTCACATGTTATATTTTGGCCAGGATTTGGGCATCCTACCTCTGTGAGCTTGTTGACAGTTTAATGTGTTGTTTTTATTTTGTATGTGTCTGATTTTGGTATCTGGGTAATGCTGGCCTCATAGAATGAGTTTGGAAGTATTCCCTCCTCTTCAGTGTTGTGAAATAGTTTGAGTATAATTGATATTAGTTCTTCTTTGAATGTTTGAAAGAATTCAGCAGGAAATTCATTAGATCTGGGCTTTTCTGTTATGGGAGACTTTTATGACTGCTTCCATCTCATTACTTATTACTGGTTTGTTGAGGTTTTCTGTTTCTCTACGGCTGGTTGGCATAAAGCTGTTCATAATAGTCTCTAATGATCTGTGTTTCTAATGATGTGTTTCTGTGGTATCAATTGTAATGTTTTCTTTTTTGTCTCTGATTTTATTTATTTGAGTCTTTTCTCTTTTTTTCTTAGTCTAACTACAGGTTTATTGATTTTGTTCATCTTTTTTAATAAAAAACTTTTTTGTTGATCTTTTGTAATTTTTTTAGTCTCAATTTCATTTATTTCTGCTTGATCTTTTTACTTCTTTTACTAATTTTTAGGTAGGTTCTTTTCTAGTTTCTTGAGGTGCCTTGTTAGATTGTTTATTTGGAGTCTTTTGTTGAGGTGTTTATTGTCTATAGACTTCCCCTTTTTTTTTTTTTTTTGAGACTCTGTCACCAGGCTCGCTCTGTCACCAGGCTGGAGTGCAGTGATGTGATCTTGGCTCACTGCAACTTCCGCCTCCTGGGTTCAAGCAATTCTCCTACCTCAGCCTCCTGAGTAGCTGGGACTACAGGCATGCGCCACCACGCCTAGCTAATTTTTGTATTTTTAGTAGAGATAGGGTTTCACAGTGTTGGCCAGGATGGTCTCAATCTCTTGACCTCGTGATCTGCCTGCCTCGGCCTCCCAAAGTGCTGGGATTACAGGCGTGAGCCACCACACCTGACCAACTTCCCTCTTAGCACTCCTTTTGCTGCATCCCATTTTTATTTTTTTCAAGAAATTTTTAAATTTTATTTTTAGTTGCTTCCTTGCCTCATTGACTGTTCAGGAGCTTGTTGTTTAATATCTGTATTTGTGCAGTTTCCAAAGTCCCTCTTGTTACTGATTTCTAGTTTTATTCTATTGTCAGATAAATACTTCATATGATTTTGACTTTTTAAAATTTGTTGAGAATTGTTTTGTGGCTAACATATGGTCTGTCCTGGAGAATGTTTTATGTGCTGATGAAAAGAATGTGTGTTCTGCCTCAGCAAACGAAATGTTCTGTAAATGTCTATTAGGTCTATATGGTCTAGTATGTAGTTTAACTCTGATCTTTCTTTGTTGATGTTCTACCTGGAAGATCTGTCCATTCCTGAAAGTGAGGTCAAAGACCTCTGTTATGACTGTATTGAAGTCTGTCTCTCCCTTTAGATCTATTAATATTTGCTTTATATATTTGAGTGCTCCATTGTTGGGTGCATATGTACTTACTATTGTTAGATCTGGCTGATCTGACTCTTGACTCTTTTATCACTGTATAATTACCATCTTTGTCTCTTTTTTTTTTTTTTTTTGAGACAGAGTCTCACTGTTGCCCAGGTGGGAGTGTAGTGTCATGATCTCGGCTCACTGCAACATCTCCTCCCAGGTTCAAGTTATTATCTTGCCTCAGCCTCCCCTTCGTCTCTTTTTATAGTTTTCAACTTAAAATGTATTCTATCTGATATATGTGCAGCGTCTCCTGCTCTTTTTTGGTTTTAATTTTTATGGAATATCTTTTTCCATTCCTTCACTTTCAGTCTATGTTTGGCTTTATAGGTGAAGTGAGCTTCTTGTATGCGGTATACATTTGTATGTTGTTTTTTAATCCATTCAGTCCCTCTGTGTCTTTTTTTAATTATTATTCCTGGGCCTAAGCTATTCTCTCATCTCAGCCTTCCAGTCAGCCAGGACTATAGATGCATACCACTGTGCCCAGCTCACTCTGTGTCTTTTAATTGGAGAATTCAGACCACTTACATTCAGTGTTGTTATTGATTGGTAAGGTCTTACCATTTTGTTACTTGTTTATTAGTTGCTGTGTAACTCCTCTCTTTTTTCTGTCTTTTATGGTTAAGTGATTTCCTCTTATAGTATGTTTCAATTCATTGCTTTTGATTTTAGTGTATCTATTGTAGGCTTTGCACTGTGATTACCATGAGGCTTACAAAAAAAAAAATCTAGTTACAACAAGAATTTGATACCAACTTAACTTTGATTGCAAAACAGCAAAACCAACAAACCATAAAAAGAAAACCTATACACATTAACTCTCTTCTCCCCCCATTTTAGCATTTTTGATGTCATCATTTTATGTTATTTATGTTGTCTCTTAACAAATTGTCCTTTTTTTGATAGTTTTTTCTTTTAGTCTTCTTACTAAAGATATACGTGGTTTAAACACCACGATTACAATATTAGTACAACAACCACATTAGCATAATTTTCTTTCAGTTTGGAGAACTCCCTTTAGTGTCTAAGAAATCACACATTTCTTACAGGATAGGTCTGATAGCAATACATTCCCTTAGCTTTCGTTTGTCTCGGGAAATCTTTTATTTCCCTTTTTCATTTTTGAGGAATAACTTTGCCACATACAGTATTTTTAGGTGGCAGTTTTTTTCCTTCAACATTCTGAACATATTGTCCCACTCCCTCTTGGCCTGTAAGGTTTCTGTTGAGAAATCTGCTACCAAGCATATTGGATCTGTCTTATATATTATTTGCTTCTATTGTCTTGCTGTTTTCTAAATTCTCTCTGTCTTTGACCTTTATGAGTTTGTAAATTAGAGTGTTCTTGTTTGAGTTAACTCGGATTGGTGACCCTTGACCTTCCTGTACCTGTATATTCTGGTTTGGAAACTTTTCTGTTATTACTTATTTGAGTAAACTTTCTACTCCTTTGTCTTTCTCAGTTCTCTCTTTAACTCCAATAACCCCAATATTTGCTCTTTTGAGGTTGTTTTATAGATCCTATAGGTCTTGTTCATTCATTTTTGTTCATTTCATTTCTTTCTTCTCCTCTGGCTATGTATTTTCAAATAGTCTATCAACGAATTCACTGATTCTTTCTTCTGTTTGATCAATTCTGCTATTGATGTTCGCTATTGCATTTTTCATTTTATTTATTTTTCAGCTCCAACGTTTCTATTTGATTTTTTTCATTCGTATTTCAGTCTTTTAAAAATTTCTCTGATAAATTTTTGAATAGATTGTGTGTGTTTTCTTAAAATTTGTTGAGCTTCCTTAAACAGCTATTTTGAATTCTTTGTCTGAGAGATCACACATCTCCCTCACTTTAGGTTCTGTCTCTGGTGCCTTACTTTGTCCATTTGGTGAGGTCATCTTTCCCTGAATGTTCTTGATGCTTGTGGAAGTACAATGGTATTATACATTGATACATTAGGTATCTACTTTAGTCTTCACAGTCTGGCTTTGTTTGTACTTGACCTTCCTCAGAGGGCCTTCCAGGGATTCTAAGCTGACTGACTGTTTTGTTCCCTGAGCTTGTGACCCTTGCAGCACTAGACAACACTCTAAGCCCAGGCTTGCTGCAGGTCTCTCAAGAGCTCTGAGGTTTATGTGGCTTTCCAGCCTTCATGGACTGGGGAAAGACCTAAGGAGGGTGCTGAGGCTATGTGGGAATGCTGGCCAGGGACCTGGGTCCAGAAGACTGTCCTGGTGGCCCAGACAGGTGTGTATCCCAGCAGGTCTCTGCACAGGTGGATGGGTCTCCAGCTGCAGTGAGAGGGAGTAGAAGTCAGACTGGACCTCTTTAGGATGTGTGAAAAGGAGATTGGCAGGCCTGTTTTGTTGGCCCAGATGGTTATGTGTCGCCCAGCAGGTTCCTGCACAAGTGAGATAATTCCTCAACTGCAACAGGAGGAGCTTGAGCTGAGACTGGGCCCTCTCGGGATCAGCTGTGGGAATGGAGGCTGAAGTGTCTCATGTTGGCTCAGAGAGGCATGTGTCTTCAGCAAGTTCCTGTGCAGATAGGATAGTTCTCCAGCTGCAGTGAGGGGGCCCTGAGGGGGATCTGCTGAGACAGAGGCTGGTGAGCCTGTCAGGGAGGCTCTGAGTCCTGGGCAGAGAGATATGGGTGAGTCTCCCTCTGGGTCCTTATGTAAGCAACTCTGAGCTGGGACCTCAGCTAAGGAAGGTGAGGGCAGCACTGCAAGGCTACTTTCCAGCCCACTGCTGAGACCAGAGCTAGCGGGCAGACTAGCCTTTCTGCCAAAACACTAGTGTAAGCAGTTCCTTCTGGACCCCATGGCAAATGGTTTTGGTGGCAGGATCATGGGCAAACAGGGAAGTAGCCAATCCCCTTGTGGGGACTGAGCTGTTTCTGGGCTTCAGTCTGGAAGTCAGTTCAAGGGGACAGATCAAACACCTTATTGTGAGAGAATGTAAGTAGGTTACCTTCTATTCTGCCATCTTGGTGGCCTCAAGGTTTCTGTTACTCAAAATCTATCATTTAGACATCATCTGGTTATATGTCAATATACAACATTTTTATATATGAGATAATGGTAACATTTTAATATGTGAATTCATAAATATCATATTATGAATAATGTAATGTGACATTCTTTGTTGTGACTGTTGGAATATCTTCTTTTGCATTTACTAATTATGGAGGTAGTTACCTTTATACACTAGACCGTCTTCTCCTGTTTTATGTGTCCATATATGTGTTTCTATGTGGCAACTTAATTTATCTCTGTATTCACTTCTTTATTTTTCTTCTTTCATCTTCATGTTTCCTGCAGTTTAAAATATCTTTATATTGCTTATAAGTGATTCTAAAATTGTATCATTATATTCTGATAGTTTCTTTGGCATCCTCTATTTTATACTGATATCCTATATACAAACAAAAGCTTGACTGTTTGGAATGTTTACTGTTTATAGAAAACAGGAAAAACACACTCTAGGTGATAAACAGATTACCTGGAGGGTGAGAAATAGAAGGAGGTAACTTAGGGAGAAATAAGAAGGAAAGTTAAGCAGAACAGGTTTTTTGTTTGTTTCAGAATTTTATTACAAGTGATGGTGGGTAGAGAAGAGGTTGGTTGGAGAGAAAAGCAGAATTCATAGTGTGAAGAGAAGTCCAAGGCATGGCATTTAGGTTTTTTGGCTGCCTTAATCTAAAATAACCTTCTGGCTGCCAATTTTGATGAGCATTTTGAAACTTTGTTGTTGATGGGGAAATGAACAAAGCTTTAAGAGGCATTAAATCTATAGGTATGTTTAGAAATCTGGTATACTGGCCGGGCGCGGTGGCTCACGCCTGTAATTCCAGCACTTTGGGAGGCCAAGGTGGGCGAATCAGGTCAGGAGTTCTAGACCAGCCTGGCCAACATGGTGAAACCCTTCTCTACTAAAAATACAAAAATTAGCTGGGCATGGTGGCTCGCGCCTGTAATCCAAGCTACTTGGAAGGCTGAGGCAGGAGAACCACTTGAATCTGGGAGGCGGAGGTTGTCGTGAGCCAAGATCGTGCCACTGCACTCCAGCCTGGATCACAGAGGGAGACTCCATCTCAAAAAAAAAAGAAAAGAAAAGAAATCTGATGCCCTTTAATAATAGACCCAGATCATACATTTTGTACGTAAAATTTATCAAAGTGAATCTAGTGGCAACTTAATGGTGAGCCTAAAATGTAAAATAAATTCTGCCCTCCCCCCACGTTTCTTTTCCATCTGCTTCCCAGTATACATGCACATAAAACAGCGAAACAGAGTTATTTTTGATTGAGTATAGAGTGTCTTTGTTAACTATATAGGCAACCATTTTTTAGCCTACCTAGTGGTGAAAAGCATCAGGTTATGGAGGTTAAGGGGAAGTCTAGCAGAGAGGAGATTCCCCCGATAAATAAACTAAGGTCATGCTGAATTCTGTTGGTTAAACAGGATATTGGGTTGCAAGTGGAAGGAACATGGTGTAATATGATCCCATTGTTGTGACAGTAAATCCCCGTTATCCTCCCTCGAACATACTCTATATGTATCTGTACATATAAAGCTGTTAATGACTTGGAGCATAGTAACCTTTATATAACCATTAGCATTTATTGTTAACATTGTCATTATTTATGAGCATGGAAGATATATTTTTTTAAAAAAGGTTTCTAATGGGTACAAAAAATAGAATGAGTAAGACCTATTTGATAGCACAACAGGGTGACTGTAGACAGTAATAACTGTATATCTTAAAATAGCTTAAAGAATGTAATTGGATTGTGTGCAACTCAGTGGGTAAATGCTTGAGGGGATGGATACCCCATTGTTCATGATATGCTTATTTCATGTTGCATTACTTGTATCAAAACATATCATGTACCCCATACAAATATACACCCACCTACTATGTACCTACAAAAAGTTTTTTAAAGGTTGTCTGTGTGGGATGAGGTTAAAAGGGAGCTGGTATGAAGAGGCCCTTGGAAGGAAAATTAGACCAAAAAAGGAAAAAAGATAGAAGGCATTGAAGAGTGTGTGTGTGTATATATATATATATGTGTGGTTTCATATGTGTAAAAATTAAATGTATGTATAAATTTATATATACATGTATATATCCTTATACACATGAACATTTTTAAAGGGGGAGAAAAGAAAATATGCATGTTATTAATAGAATCAGGCAGGTTTATTTTCAAATTTTAGTTCTTTTTTTTTTTTTTTTTTGTAAATTTACCTGAGATCTGATAAACATGGATCCAATTTTAGTTCTTTTCTTTTTTTCTTTTTGAAAAGAAAGACTGGAGTGCAGTGGCACAATCTCATCTTACTGCAACCTCTGCCTCCTGGGTTCAGGTGATTCTCCTGCCTTAGCCTCCCAAGTAGCTGGGACTACAGGCACCTGCTACCACGCCCAGCTAATTTTTTGTATTTTTAGTAGAGATGGGGTTTCACCATGTTAGCCAGGATGGTCTCGATCTCCTGACCTCATGATCTGCCGCCTCGGCCTCCCAAAGTGCAAGGATTACAGGCGTATCAATTTTAGTTCTAACTCATTAACTGTAGTGCTGGACAAGTTAGTTTTCCCATATGAGCTTATTTCATCATTTCTGAAATCTGGATCATCATCCCTGCCACAGAAGTTGTTAGGATAAAATGAGGTGATGTGCATGTCACGTACTTATCACAGCTCCTGGCCCTGAGTTGTCCTCATAAATTCACTTCCTTCATGAGCTTCTTCTCCTTCAACTCTTTACCCTCCTTAATTTTTGAAAACTATTTGAAATAATTCGTTTAAACTAACAGCCTTTAATTTAGAGCTATTTTCACATAAAAGTATTGCAGTATTATAATTAATCAAGGCCTTTCAGAGGTACCAGTACTAACAGATGTAACACTATTTCATTAAACTTCATTATCCCAGAATTGTCTGTGAACCAATTTTATAAATCTTAAAAAAATTTCAGCTTCAAGTAGGTATGCTATGCTGGTTTACAGCCATTTTAAAAGTCACTTATGTTGACTTAAGTTTTTTGTTTAAAGTCTGTTTTTTCATAACTTGTTAGTGATTTAAAAATTGGAGTTTGATACTTTTATATATTGTTCCTCACTGCCACATCTGCAATACCTTTGTACGGCCAAGGCAAGGCTAAGATCCACAGCTCCAGATCCTACCTCTCTCCTGTCAAAACCTACAGCCAAGTGATACCTCGTTAATCAACAGCAAATCTATGCTCACGTAGTAGTAACTCCTATCTGGTAATGTGCTCCTTAATAGAGATTTGTATTGGAAGGCAATGCTTAACCCAAAGAAGAGCTGGAAACAGTGAAGTTTAAATATACAACAGGTTATAGAGAATCTCCTAGGTAGACAAGGGACCTCATTCTCCCTCTCACATTACATGATACAGCAAGCAACTGCTTATTTTTTCACCTCAAGAAGCTGCATCATCCATATGCATGCATCTGCTGTCTAGGAAAGTGTAAGATTTTTCTATGTTAAATTTTTTTTTTAGACTGAAAACGATTTAAATTTGATTTCAGTCTCTGCTCCTGAGTGTTTGGCTTTCGAAGGAAAAGGATATTTTGGATAAACCACAGTCAGTCTGCTGTCTTCATACCATGCTGTCCCTCCTGAGCAAGATGAAAGGTAAACAAAGTTTGTTGCTCCTGTAAACAAAGCTTCGTGTTTGAAATGTCACAAAAAGATGGGAGAGTAGATAGGATCCCTTAACAGAAGGAGTCTATAGTATACAAAACATTTCACCATAGAGATTCTTTTATGTATTAATAGAATACTTTTAATGCATTTGACTTATGCTTTAATTTATGAAATTTTATATTTTGTATCATCATAAAAAAACATGATTTGAACAATACATGTTAACTCAGTAAGGCAAATGGAAATGGTCTTAGGGGAGGTAATGTTTTTCTTGTTATTTTTTGTATGATTATCAGAATATTAATCTATTAAAATATTCAATAGTTTTCAATAATGATGAAATATTCCAAATAAAGATTTAATATTGATTGAGAACAAAGATGACTAAAAGCGCATATATAAATGGAATAGAAATGTTCTGAATAAAATAGAGTGTTAGACTTCCACTTCACTGAGAAATATAAAAATATATCAGTAGGGAACTTAGTTTTAACATTATGTTTAACATAAATGGTTAGTCCCAAAAAATTGACAGGGTAAGAGTTTATTTTTCAGTTTTCTCCTATCCTCCTATCCCTATAGTGGCCATCGATGAGACCTGGGATTCTCAGTCTGTGTCCCCATGGTGGCAGCAGATGCGCACAGCCTGTATTCAGTCTGAGAACAATGGAGCTGCTCTGTTGTCTGCACATGTTGGGCATTCTGTTGCTGCGCAGATATCAAACAACATGACAGAGAAAAAAGTAAGTGGGTAAAGGTATGGTTTTGATCTGTACACATCCGGTAGGCTAAGGGGATGCTTTCCTTTTCTGGGTTTTTTTGGGGGGGTTTTTGGAGCGGGGAGAGGGATGAGAGGTGCTCCCCTTAATTTGTTTATTCAGAATGACGCCATGGATACTTGAATTTAGCAGTTGCCACATGACAGTATCCTACTGTGTTTTTTTCTCATCTCTTGAGGACTCACATTTCCTTTACAGCTCATGGTAGATCAAATAATTTTTCCCAGGGGGTGTTACGTTAATTTGGATGAGACACCAAATAGGTCTGTGGAGATTCACGTCATTGTTGTTTATAGGCTAAATTTAATATTGCCTGCTTGCAATGTTCATTATGATGGAGAGAGATGAAATTTCAGATTTTTTTTTAGGTTGAAGAGTGCATTCTGAAGAGATATAAGTTTTTTGATGGTAGTGGTAGACAAAACTGTGGCCTTTGCCAAAGATGGCCCAGAAAACTTTGAAATGTACACTGGTTGAATCAGGGCCATTAGTGCAGGACTCCTTATAAATATGAACTCACCATCCTTGCCTATGAGTTTCCAGTCTACTCCTGACCCTCATGTTTCATCCAGCCAAGTAGTAATATTTGGGAAATAGCATTTATGTGTTGCTTTGTGATGTATCCTCAGTATCCATCAGCTTTCAAGTTAAAAGCTCATTCAAGTTAATATTCATTCAGAATCTTTGGCAGAGAATCACCAGTGCATTTTTTATTAGTTTTCTCAAACAGTTTTGGGTGCTGATTCAGAGGCCCTCACTGATTCCTGGGAGGCACTTTCTCTTGACACTGAGTACTGGAAACTGCTTCTGAAACAGCTGGAGGATTGTCTCATACTTCAGACTCTGCTTCACAGCAAAGGGAACACTCAGACCTCCAAAGTATCATCACTGCAGGCTGAGCCACTTCCAAGGCTTTCTGTTAAAAAGTTATTAGAAGGAGGAAAAGGTAAGCTCAAGTTTATTTGAGCATTTACATCCATATTGTTATGTTACGAGGGTTTCTTTTAATAGAAACGACGGAAAGAATAGAGGAAGAAAAATACAGTCAGATTTAAAAAATAACAATAACCTTCTGTATACTTCCTCTAAATTAATTTTCTCTAAAGTCTCATTTGGTCAGTTCCATGCTCAGTGCTTGGAACTTCCTAGGTGCTTCCCTCTGCCTAAGAAAATTGGCAGTGATTCTCAAAGAGTGGTCAGAGGACCTCAGGAGTCCTCCTTTTTTCACTTACATGTCTGTATGAGGCCAGATTTTATTTATTTATTTATTTATTTATTATACTTTAAGTTCTGGGATATATGTGCAGAACATGCAGGTTTGTTACATAGGTATACATGTGCCATGGTGGTTTGCTGCACCCATCAACCTGTCATCTACATTAGGTATTTCTCCTAATGCTGTCCCTTCCCTAGCCCCCCACCCCACCACAGGCCCTGGTGTGTGATGTTCCCCTCCCTGTGTCCATGTGTTCTCATTGTTCAACTCCCACTTATGAGTGAGAACATGCAGTGTTTGGTTTCCTGTTCCTATGTTAGTTTGCTGAGAATGATGGTTTCCAGCTGCAAAGGACATGAACTCATCCTTTTTTGTGGTTGCATAGTATTCCATGGCGTGTATGTGCCACATTTTCTTTATCCAGTCTATCATTGATAGACATTGGGGTTGGTTCCAAGTCTTTGCTATTGTGAATAATGCTGCAATAAACATACGTGTGCATGTGTCTTTATAGTAAAATGATTTATAATCCTTTGGGTATATACCCAGTAATGGGATTACTGGTCAAATGTAATTATTTTCATAAAATATTAGCATGTAATCAGTTTATTATTTTCATTTCAAAATGGACTAATAAAATATTTTTTATCAGTTTTAATTTTTAGTACCATAAAGACTGACAGCTGTAACTCATAAACCAAAGTTCTTTGGGATTGCCAGTAATTTTAAGGGGATCATGAGATAGTGAGTTCAAGAATTGCCTGAACAAAGCATAAACTCTTAAACTTACTCTCCAATAACTTTTGACTTTGAATCCGACTGATTTTTCTGTTTCTTTCTCATTTGCTTCCTAGACTTTAGTTAAAATGAAGCATCCATGTGCTTCCTGTCTTAGATCTGGGCCTATCCTCTTCCCTTTCCCTGCCTCTCTCACTCATGGATATCAAAATCTTACTCATCTTTCAAGGTCCAGCTCAAATGCTTCTCCTCCAGGAAACCTTTCACGATTCACTAACTGCAGATTTTCTCTTCTTCCTCCTAATATCCACAGAATGTTATTCCTCTGTTGTGAAGCATCACTTTCTGCTGTCCTGGAGTCATTTGGGTTCCTGTGCTGATATCTTGCAGGAACATAAACATCTTACATTTTTAGTTGTCTTTGGGGGCTCACACTTGTATCAGCAGCTCTTTTAGGCATTTGATACTGGAAGGACTGTATGTGAGGTTTATAAATACCCACATATTTATAGATTTTTAGTTTACTTGTTTTCTCATTCTTTATAAAACTCATGACCATTTTTTTATTGCAAACTCACCACACTTCATGTTGCCACCTAGTGAAGGGGTAAGGATGCCGTTTGAATATTAACCTAAGCAATGGAATCAGGGGCTTAATTCTGGAATGAGAATTTTCCAATGATTTAGAAGCCAAACATAAGAAATTAGATCACCCAGCATATTGCTCGCATTTATTTTCACTCACAATTGTGAATTTACTGTGAGGCATTCTTTTTGTGGAAAGGTTTTTATCTGAATCAAAAGATGAGGAAAGACTGAGAAAGTTTTGGTAAACAATAGAAGTATAATTTGTTTTCGATAATAAACAGTGCTCTTTAAACATCTGGAACATTTTTCAGCATGTGTTTACAATTTTTTGTACTATATTGATGACTGAAACATGATATAGTATAATGCTGTTGAGTAGCTATGGCTAAATTAGGCCCATAAATATTGCATATAGGCAAATTAGTTGATTATTAAAAGTAATAGGGCTGGGCACGGTGGCACATGCCTGTAATCCCAGCACTTTGGGAGGCTGAGGCAGGTGGATCACTTGATGTCAAGAGTTCATGACCAGCTTGACTAACATGGTGAAACCCTGTCTCTACTAAATACAAAAAATTTAGCCAGGTATAGTGGCACATGCCTGTAATCCAAGCTACTTGGGAGGCCAAGACAGGAGAATCCCTTGTACCTGGGAGGTGGAGGATGCAATGAGCTGAGATTGCGCCATTGCACCCCAGCCTGGACAACAAGAGCAAAACTCTGTCTCAAAAAAAAAAAAAAAGTAATATTTATCGGGTACGGTGGCTCATGCCTGTAATCCTAGCACTTTGGGAGTCCGAGGCAGGCGGATCACCTGAGGTCAGAAGCTCGAGACCAGCCAGGCCAACATGGCGAAACCCCATCTCTACTAAAAATACAAAAAAATTACCTGGGCGTGGTGGCATGTGCCTGTAATCCGAGCTGCTTGGGAGGCTGAGGCAGGAGAAACGCTTGAACCTGGGAAGCGGTGGTTGCAGTGAGCCGAGATCGCACCACTACACTATAGCCTAGGCAACAAAGCATGACTCCATCTCAAAAAAAAAAAAAAGTAATATTATATTGGTCTTAGGAGCCTAGACAAGTGTCATTCTAACCAATCTATTTTCACTTATAATTGAAGTAAAAGTGTTTTAAGGATATATTAATTTTTTTGTCTCCTGTAAAGTGTATTTTAAATTTTTGAACATAGAAAGCAAATGGTATACAGACATATGCTTGTGCATTTATATTTATCTAACATTTTCTGAGAGTATAAGGATGCCCTGACATCGTAAATATCCCGCTTGTTGCCCTCACAAGTTGCGTGGTAGGTAGGAACACTGGTGTAAATCTCAGAGCTTTTTCGGGTCACCCTCAGGCTCAGAAATAAATGTGTCGCTTAGATCTCTTCGTAAGGAAATTGGCTCCCATTGGCAAACACTGCCGTGTGTGTTGTAAATTTTTATTTTCTTCCTTGTCTCCAAACTATAGGTGGCATTGCAGACAGTGTAGCCAAGTGGATATTTAAACAGGACTTCAGCCCTGAAGTATTAAAACTGGCTAATGAAGAAAGAGATGCAGAAAACCCAGATGAACCCAAAGAAGGTGTTAACAGAGGTTTCCTTGAGGTATCAGAGGTGGAGATGGACTTAGGAGCCATACCAGGTGATACACCAATAATGAGAAACATGAAATCCAGAGAGGAAAGATGTGGCCGAGTGTTCATTAAGGAAAAAAATAACATCACTGCTTTCTTCTGACTTCCAGACTTACTGCATTTAGCCTATGAGCAATTTCCTTGTAGCCTTGAGCTCGATGTGTTGCACGCACATTGCTGCTGGGAGTATGTTGTTCAGTGGAATAAAGATCCAGAGGTGAGATTCTCGTTGCCTCTTTCATGTTATTTCTGCTTCTGTGTTCATGCTATTCATATGTGGGGACTGTCTAATTAAATAGCTTATGATAAACACTGGCTTTTTCCCCATTGTAATGCCTCTGTGATAAACACTGGCTTTTTCCCCATTGTAATGCCTTTCACATATTTCCTCTTATAATCCTCCCAGTAAACCTGTGAAGTATAGATACTGTCATTATCCCTGCTCTAAAGAAGAAAATACTAGGGCTCAGAGAAGTTAAGTTTCTTCCCTGCAGACACACAGCTAAGTAAGTGTCAGGATTTAAACGTAGGGTTCTCTTTATCTAAAACCAGTGTCCTTTGCCCTACTCCCTAGTTAGGTTGTGACAAGTATATTGTTTATTTCCTTCTGAATTCCTGCATGAAATGGCATCAACCTAACAGAATATTCTTAATATTATGGTCATCATGATAAAAGTCAAGAGTGAAGGTCCTGAGATTAACCTAGTGTCTGATTGTTCAAATATATATTTATCTGTTACTTCTGTTTGCCTCAGAAGAACAAAGAGGCAGATTGTGCCCAGGGTTGACTCTAGTCCAAGGTTAGCCTTGCTGCCCTCTCAGCTCTCTGCTCAGGCGTCATTTTCTATTGCTTTAGGTAGCCACTGTTTCTACCAGGGCATTCGCAGTCTAGAAGCAGCATGGGGGGAGGCCCCAAGCCTGGAGGCAGAAGGCAGAGATTTGGATCCCAGCTGAATTGCTGACAAGCTTCTGGCTCAAGAGAGCCACTGAATCTCTGGCCTGTTATTTTCTACCTCCTTCTCCCTCCTTTTTAAAATGAAGGTGCCATGATCAAATAAGATCTAAAAACATATTGTAAATATTCCTCTTTGCCAATCAGTCCTTCACTTAGACTTCCCTAGTCAGTGCCCTGGTAAATTATTCCTCTCAAATCAAAATTCTTACCTTTATCATCCTTATGTGAGATTGTACTATTGTAGAGAACTCTCACAGATGAACTAATTCATGCTAATAGATTAATGGAAACGATACTCTTCCTTCCTCCAAAAAACTGTAATCACATATATTAAAGGAAGACATTATGAAAGTAAGTGATTTAAATAAAGGAATAGTCTTTGATCAATTAAACCTTGACCAAAAAATGATTTTAGGACAGAGGATCCTCTTCATGCCCTTCAAATCACCCTCTTCAGTTGACTACAACCTGAATGGCGATCATATATAGGCTCTCTACTTAACTGTGTTACTTTTCCATTTTATTAAAAAGGAATGTTATGTCTAGGATGAGAACATAATAATTTCTAAAATCTGAATGAATTCATTTCAAATTCAAGTCTAAAAAAGTGGCATTTAAGAAGAAAATTCTGCTTTGTAGTATTTGTTTATAAACCAAAAGCAACTTGCAGAGGGGGCATAGACAAAGCTGATGTCAAGCCCCATGGCTGCTGCATAGAGCTTATAATCATCATAGCACACAATTTCTGAACTCTTTGTTTCAACATTCTCCTAAAATGAAGGCTGTAATAGTAGTTATCTCAAAAGGTTATTGCATATTTTGAGAAAATGAATGCATAGTGCCTAACATTTTGACTAGTGTTATCAGTATCATTAGTGTTGCTTACATTTAAAAGAAGTTGTTGTTTTACTAGTTTGTTTTTACCATTAAATATTCATCTTGTCCCATCCAACCACAGTCTCAGCTCCATCATTTGACACACATAATTTTATAAGGCTCGAAACAATAATATTACCTTCGGAGAAATTTCAACACAATATGTATTGGCAATGATGATATGTTTGATGATGATGTACAAGCTACAAAATTATTTAGCAGAGATCTGAATGATTTAATCAGTGTTGCATTCTGTATTTGAGTTTTAATATGTAAACTTATTTGATTAGAAAGAGTTGAATTTCAAACATCCCATCTGATATTTCATATTTCCTTCCTGCTTTAATTGTTTTCTCTTTGGCACTTACCATTAACATACTAAATATAATATATTTACTTATGTTTATTATGTAGGTTCCTCACTAGAATTTAAACTCAATGAAGGCAAGACTTTGGGTCTATTTTGTTCATTATGGAATCCATCATGCTTCAAATAGGGCTTGGTGCATACTAGATACTCAATAAATATTTGTTGAATGATGAATGAATGAACTGTATCTACAAAAGTAAGCTTATTGTTTTTACATCTATATGAAATTCAAGTATTTATTGGAGAGAATATTGCTATGATATTCAAACCACAGCAAATTTGAATCCAGATGTTAGCCCATATGACCAAGGAGCTTCTAGGAATTAATCACTGTAATAGGTAATGTGAGTTGAAGAGGGACAGTTTAAGTTATCAAAAGTTATTTCTTACCCAATAATTTCATGTTATTATTGCAACATTCTTAGGTAGCTTCATGCAGAAATGTATGTAAGAAGTCTCCATTGATAATGGTAAAACCTATTAAATGATACCTCTTTTTCTTTCTCTTTTTTTTCTCCCTGTATGTAAGGAAGCACGTTTTTTTGTTAGGTCAATAGAACACTTGAAGCACATTTTTAATGCACATGTTCAAAATGGTAAGTAAACAGATGTTAGAAACATCACTGGTTGATCTAAAAGAGGCTTCCTGATTTAACAGGATGTGAATTTAAAGATTCACAACCTGTTAAATTTTTATTTGATTATCCTGCAACCTAACGTATTACTGTGTATTGGCTGAGGTGCAAGGGTCTCTTGAGCCCAGTAGTTCAAGGCTGCAGTGAGCTGTGATCACACCACTGCATCCAGCCTGGGTGACAGAGTGAGACCCTTTCTCTAAAAAAAAAAATAAAATAAATAGTACTGGCCATTTTAACTACTTGGAAAAGTGCTATTTATAAAAGGGCAAAAAAACTGGTAGTAATCACCACTTCTGTTCCCCAAGCTGACTACTATTCCTGGGTGTAATTAAGACAGCTGTTCTGCATCTAGCCTTCCAAGGAAAGAGGAAATCAATGATAGAGGCAGAACAGCTGCCTTCATTACACCCTTCACAGATCGTGAAGGAAAGAGGGATGGATTTCTCAGGACTGTAATTCTTAATAAAAAATCTTGATAGCCAAAAGCCTAATAAGATTAGACTGTAGCAACTATCTTTTGCTTCTTATAATGGATGTGAATATTCTCCATTAGCTGCCAGACCTTGGCAACTACTGATGTCTCCTTGAAAAAATATTGAACTTATAAACAGATTCCATTTAATAGATAGATGGGTTTCATTAAGGGAATTGAGGATATCAGCACTAAGCTAGTTAGTAACCTTAGTAAGTGATGAGACTTGGTGTTAGGCTGAGTAAGAGGAGATATCAACTTATGTCTCTGTGATAAATTCTGGAGAAGCTATGTATTTTTCACCTCTATCACATTCTTGCAGGTGATATGAAATCCAGTTGCAGAAATTGTAAAATATCCCATTTTACTTGAAGAGAACTTGAAAATTACTTATTCATCTCTTAGATCTTACCTTCATCCCATACATATATATATATTTACCTTGACTGATTTGGAAAATATCATATTTAGATTATTCTATCCTTATTGATAAAATTAAGTTACTGACTTCAGACTAGTATTTCTTCAAGTCAGGCCTTTACCTATTTGTATCTTTACCCACTGAGTAAGGTTCCCGGCTTCTCAAAGCCTGTGAGGGGCCCTACTCATAGACGGACTCAGCTACAAGGGTAGTAATAACAGCATGTGAAATGCCATGTTTACACTGCCTAATCGACAACTGTTTCAGAAATTTAATTTTAATACCATAGCTCAGTGAGTAGTGATAGGATTTTGCTTTGTTACCCCAGCTGGAGTATAGTGGCGCAGTCATAGCTCACAATAGTCTTGAACTCCTGAGCTCAAGCTGTCCTATCACCTCAGCCTCCGAGTGGGACTATAGCCATGCGCCACCATGCCGAATTTGTTAAACATTTTTTCGTAGAGATGGGTTCTGACCATGTTGCCCAGACTGTTTTATTATTATTATTATTATTATTATTATTTTGCTTTTAATACTTTTTTATATATTACTTTAGTTTGTAGTTATAGATGAAAAAAATCAATTGGCAGACATTGGGATTGTTTCTAGTGTTTGGCTGTTGGGAATAAAACTGTTCCCAACAATCTCATACATATACGTTCTGTATTCATTCCTCTAGTGTATATACCCAGCAGAATTGTTGGGTGATAGAGTAGACACATGTTTAGCTTCAGTAGCTACCCCCCAGCAGTTTTCCCTGTGGTTTTACTAAGTTATTGTACCAGCAGTAATGCATGAGTGTTCCATTGGTTCCATATCCTAATACTTGTTATTATAATTTCAACATTGTTTTTAGTCTTTTTGGTGGTTAGGCAATGCTGTCTCACTGTGACATTGTATTTCTCTCATAATTAATGATGTAACTCTTTTCTTCATGCTTAGTGGCAATTTAGACATACTCTTACACAGCCCTGTTCTGATTCTTATTAAATCAGATTTTAAATGAAGTTAAAGATTTCAAGAACTTTATAAATATTACATAAGATATAAAAAATGGAATAAAAGTAGTCCATATAGTTTAATAAGCTTAAGAAAGACAGTAATTTGTTATGTGTAATAAAAGTGAGAATATATAAGCATTCTGTTTACTACTTCTGCTTGCTATCTAGGCATTGCACTGATGATGTGGAATACGTTCTTAGTTAAAAGATTTTCTGCTGCTACATACTTAATGGATAAGGTAAGGTAGTTTCATGTATTGACTTCTTATTTATTTGGTTCTCTTAATTGACTAATATTAGAAAGATTGCTCACATTAAGCTTTGTTAGACTATTTTTTAATGTGATAATTAGATTTTACTCATACTCAGTTAAATGTAATGCCCAGTACTGGCATTTTAATGACATGAAGAAGAGCTCTAAATCCTCATAAAGAGACTAACATAAAAGCCTCTTAACTAAAGAGATTAGGACTGGTAGTTGATTCAAGCAAGGATTTGCATTTTATTTTAAATTAAAATGTACAAATTTACACTTACCAATCTCTGATATAAGGCCAAGATATTTTCTTTGAATGGAATTGATTGCAATTCTCCTTTGGTTTTCTTGCATAAACCTCACCCATAATGTATTGCCTATCATGGCTAGATCTTATTTTTTTAAAGTTGCTATGTAATCTGAGTCCAAACTTTTAGATTTCTATAATTTTTGTAGTTGCTCCCTCTGTATCAAATCCAAAAGGCCTAGGAGTTATTCTCCTCCATAAATCTTTGCAAAGCATTCAACATAGCATTCATGTAAATAGCTGCCCCTTTTTTCTCATTCATATTTCATCAGTTATTGAATTAAATTACATAATTACAGTGACATGTACAACTAGCATGAGTAGCTTTGGGAACAAGCATAACAAGTAAGCATAGAACTCAACTAGTGGGAGCAGAAGCTGCTAGCATGCCGAGAATACCAGCCTAGTCTCCAGCTGAGTGGCCAGGGGCACTAGTTAGTATGTTTTACAGGCCACTCAACAATGTAGATTAGTGTGGCATCAGATGAGTGGATGCTAAGAGAATTACCACTGTAAAGATAACATATTATTTTAAATGTATAGTCACAGTCTTTCCTGCATCATGAATAGCACCACAGCCAAGACCCAACTTTAGACCACTGCTCCCCTTGAAATTGCTCTCTTTGATGTTATTGCTAACATTTTTCTAGTTAAATCTAACCCTTCTTTCCTCTGTGCTCATCTTCCTTGACTGCGTAACTTCTTTCTTGGAACTTGCATCTTTTGGCCTTTATGATGTTGTTCACCTGTTCAGCTTCACCTCTTACCCCCTCGTCTTTTGAGAGAATAACAATAAAATGTAATTTATGTGTGTGTTACAATTTGTAGTTTCACAGCATTCTCACATCCACAATCACATTTGATCTTCACTACTTTGATTGGGGTGAAAACAGTCCTAAACCAGGAAGTAGGAAATTTGTCATTGGATAAGTCTTTATTATAATGTGTTATCTCTCATGTGCCAAGACTATGCTAGGTTCTGTGGTTGAACCAATGGAAGTTACGGTCCTGGCCCTCAAAGAGCTCACAGTTTGAACACCAGGTAAACAGACAATAGGAGCTCAGAAGAGGAGGAAATAAATAGCAAAACAAGGGGAAGACTTCTGACTTAAATTTTGGTGGATGGCTATATATGAACCAGTAAAAAGTAGGTGAGAAGAAAGTGTATCCCAGCAGTCCTGGAGATACAAGGCAACTTGTTGGATTCAGAGAACTGTAAGTAGCTTAGTATGGCTGGAACATAGGCTATATTAGAAGAAAAGAAAAGCTAAGATTGAAGAATTTCCTGTGCAGGCTGTGGATTTGGATTTTCTAGTAGTATGTGTAAGCTTAGCGCAGCGTCTGGCACATGTGGTAAGGGCTCACTAGATGGTAGCTATTATTTTATACTGAAGACACTGAGGCAGTTTTAAGCAGAGGAATTATATATTCAAATTTGTGTTTAAAAAGATGATTCTAGCAACGGACAAAATATCTTGGGGTTGGGGTTGGCTGAGCTTGGTTGTTCCGAGGCTGTCGTAGTAATCCCAGCAAGTGGTAGTGAGGCGATGTTTTTTTCCACTGTCTCCTGTGAGTTTCCCCTCTTATCAAGTAGTATTTCTGAGGGCAGAACTTTTACCTCCCACTTATTGCACTGTAGAGAAATACAGTAGAATCGTAGTAAGTACTTATTGCTTAAGGAAATTTTTCTGAGCTGGGAATATAACTCCCATCTGCCGTAGAGTGTTTTTCCTTTCTTTCTATTTCGAACAATTGTGTCTTTATCAACAAGCTGAATTCTTAGGTGTTCTTGATTAGTAGCCCTGAATTAGGCTCTGGGTTGTTTTTTTGTTTGTTTGTTTGTTTGTTTGGTTTGGTTTGGTTTTTTTCCAGTTTTTCTTTGGTGGGAGTGGGATGGAGTCTCACTCTGTTGCCCAGGCTGGAGTGCAGTGGCACGATCTTGGCTCACTACAACCTCCACCTCCTGGGTTCAAGTGATTCCCCTGCCTCAGCCTCCCAAGTAGCTAGGACTACAGGTGTACGCCACTACGCCCAGCTAATTTTTATATTTTTAGTAGAGACGGGGTTTCACCATGTTGGCCAGGCTGGTCTCAAACTCCTGACCTCAGGTGATCAGTTCACCTTGGCCCCCCAAGTGCTGGGATTACAGGCGTGAGCCACCACACCCGGCCTAGGCTCTGGGTTTTTAGGCAACACAGTTATTTGACTATGCAAAGTGAGGGCCAGATTTTTAAAGTTTTTACTTATTTAATAGTTCAGAAATATGTAATTTATATTTGAAAAGGATTATTCTTGAACCCAGTGTGAGATTAAGTTTCACCACAAATTTAATTGCATCTCATGTTGGTAGAATCAACAGCTAATTAATGAAGCTGCCACATGTATTTATAGCTGCATTTATAGTTTTTAATTTTGGTTACTTTTTATTATTTGTGCCATAGTGATGTCTTTGTAAATTATTAAATGTTACAACATTTTGTCTTTTTATTTTAGGTTGGAAAATCACCAAAGGATAGGTTATGCCGAAGGGTAAGTGAATCTCCCATAACTAGAATTATAATTGTTAATTCCACACTTTATGTAGTACTTTATTAACTGTAGGGGTGAACTTTGCCTTTTACCATTGTGATGACGTATCAGGAGGAGATAAGAAAAATGGAAAGAGAATACTGCATTAAGGAAACTGGTCATGAACTATGGCCAATTTTAATTTACTTTTCCAGATTGTTAGATAGCATATTAAACTAGGTTTTTATAAGATGTGTTCAGCTTTGGACTGCGAACAGGATAACATGCTACCATTGCTGCATATTTTTGCTGTAATTCCGATTCAACATTTATAATGGAAGCATCCAACATCAAAGTGAAGCAAGTTCATATGAAGTAGTTAATTTGATCTACATATATATATATATAAAATAACATAAGTATATAAATATAACATTAGTCTTAACTACTATTCTAATCCGTGGATGCGGGACTTGTATTTGACCTGAGAAATTAATAGTACTAGCATCCATTGTTGAAGACTTTTTCTGGTGTGTTGTTGAGAATGGTTGTATGACTAGAGTTTTGTGTGTGTGTGTGTGTGTGTGTGTGCGCGCGTGCATATACCAGAAATACTGAATTATTTGCTTTGAGGATGTGAGGAAATTATAAATTGTTGCTTTTAAAAAGAGTATACGGCCAGGCGCGGTGGCTCACGCCTGTAATCCTAGCATTTCGGAAAGGCGAGGCTGGTGGATCACCTGAGGTCAGGAGTTTGAGACCAGCCTGACCAACAAGGTGAAACCCCATCTCTACTGAAAATACAAAAACTAGCCAGGTGTGGTGGTGGACGCCTGTAATCCCAGCTACTCAGGAGGCTGAGGCAGGATAATTGCTTGAACCCGGGAGGTGGAGGTTGCAGTGAGCCGAGATCGTGCCACTGTACTCCAGTCTGGGCAACAGAAGTGAAACTCCGTCTCAGAAAAAGAGATTATACACAAATGCAGTGGTCCCTTGGACAGGCCCTTTAAAGGAGTCATTGAGAGTCGTCTGTTGCTCACAGCATGAATCTGGTATTTAGTTCTCAAGCTTGAGGATTCTAGTTTTGCTCAGAGGGTTGGGTTTAGTCTCTAAAAGACACTCTGAAAGCAGATCAGGCTGTTTTCTTGGAACTCTTCAGGTTAGATTCTCATGTGTGCATCTTCCGTCTACCACAACTATTTGGCTACCAGATGCCTTAGCAAGCTGAACAGTGAGCTCAGAAGTGCCACCATCTATAGTAACTGATGAGACTGTGTCTTTACAGTACACAAAGAACACTACTTGTTTTAAAAGTCAGTATTTGTACCACTTTGTAAAGCTTGACTTTAAAATTGGTTGACAGTAAATAAAAGAAGGAACGTTAATATGCTGATGCCTTGACTTTCAAATTCTTGCCGTCTATTCAGTGTGGAAAGTCAGCCGAACAGGCGTATTGTATCCTCGTTCTTGTTTTGCTGATAGTAACTACAGCAGTTTTCCTGCAGGGCCCAATTATGTTCCTTTTTTAAAAACAGGATGTGGGAATGAGTGACACAGCAATGACATCTTTCCTTGGCTCCTGTTTGGATCTTCTTCAGATCTTAATGGAGGTAAAAGAGGTGTATTTTCATTCTGAACTGCTCCTAAGATATTAAATATTCTGCAAACCATTGCATTTAATAAATGACTATTAATGAGGTTGTTTTTCATTCCCTCATTTCTAAATTTTGACTTAAGCCTAAAAAGTAGTGATATTTTCTTATTAAATCCTTCTTGAAATTAGACTTTGTGTTTATTACAATTTGGGACAGTGTGCAATATGAGTTTGCACTTTGCTGCTAATAAACTCATTAGGATATTTGTAAGCTATTATTTTTCCATTACTAAACACAGTCCTCCATTCTTAAAACCCTTAGGCAGATGTTAGCAGGGATGAAATACAGGTGCCTGTGCTGGATACTGAGGATGCGTGGCTCTCCGTGGAAGGACCCATCTCCATAGTGGAACTGGCCCTTGAACAGAAGCACATCCACTACCCACTGGTGGAGCACCACTCCATCCTGTGCTCCATCTTGTATGCAGTCATGAGGTTTTCTCTGAAGTCCGTGAAGCCACTGTCACTTTTTGACAGTAAGGTAAGTACCTCAAAGGATTTCAGAGCTATTTTGGAGTTGCAGGCTTAGCAGACACATGGATTTTCATATTTAATAGAAGCTGTCCAGTACTTTTGTGACTTGTGTCATTTGGTGTGAGGTTCCAACTCCCTCATTCCCTGCTTGATTCCGTTCTTTTTATTTACCTTCTGTACTGCTCCCCTTGGAGTTTTGCCCTCTCAGCTGTCTGCTCTTCTCGTTCTCCATATTATTCCTGGACAGACTCATTTTCTCCCTCTTGTATATCTCTAGGCCTGACCAATCCCTAGAGTTGCAGGCATGCATTTCAATTGCACTTCTCTCTTTGAGTGTCTTAGAGGGCTTCAAACACCTCATATCTAAAATATACCTGCAAACCTATACCCCCATCCTGCCCCTAACTTAAATTTGCTGTTCCTTCTGAATTCCCTGGCTTGGTTATTTTATTAATGATGTCATCATTTTTGCCCTGGCAAAAACTAGAAACTTTGAAGTTATCTCACCAATTCCTTACTTCAAGCCACTTTTCTTCATTGTAAATTCATTCTTACAAATTCTTCCATAGATCATACCTGTCCATTTCTCTCTATGACTATACCCCTAGTTCAGGCACAATCATCTTTCCCTTGGCTATTACAACAGCCCTTTCCTAATCACCTGCCTCCAGTTTCTCTCTCTCCAGTCCCATGCTGCAAGAGCTGTCTTCCTAAGAGACAGGTTTAATTGTGTTAGTTCTATACCTAAGATTTTTTTGGCTCCTCTGCAGGATCGAGTCCAAACTTGTGAGTAGAATATGTTTTTACATATTATATTGTAACTTGCACAGTTTAGCTGCAGTAGATAGTAAAATCCTTTCCTTCCCCATGCAGCTGTCAAATTTTGAGAGACAGGACACAGACTGTTGGAGATAAAAATGTCAACTTTATTACTTAGCTTTTTACTGATAGAAGCTGGGTTAGAGAACACAGCTTACACTTGTAGGAAAATGGGTTTATTATTTCACCCTTAAATAAGAGACTCCCGGACAGGCGCGGTGGTTCACGCCTGTAATCCCAGCACTTTGGGAGGCCGAGGTGGGCGGATCACTTAAGGTCAGGAGTTTGAGACCAGCCTGGCCTACATGGTGAAACCCTGTCACTAGTAAAAATACAAAAACTAGCCGGGCATGGTGGCGCATGCCTGTAATCCCAGCTACTTGGGAGGCTGAGGCAGGATAATCACTTGAACCTGGGAGGCAGAGGTTGCAGTGAGCCGAGATCACACCACTGCACTTCAGCCTGGGCCACAGAGTGAGACTCTGTCTCACAAAAAAAAAAAAAAAGTATAGATTTTGAAAAAAAAAAAAGGTTAGTATATCTTTGAGATTATAAAGGATAAGAGTACTTAAAGGTTAAAACAGAGAAAGAAATACCAAAATAAAGTGCCCAGCTCAGTATTCCCCTCAGAAAAGGTCTTTGTGAAACCAGAACATACCCAGAATTGGACGAGCACAGTAATGTTTAGTTTCAACCCATGTCATGCCAAGACTACCTGAGACAGCTGGGTGACACTCATCTGCAGAGAGCTAGTACGGCTGAGTGGCTAGTGAAACAATGCCAGTGCTACCATTTGCTAACTAGAATTATTTAGATTTTCTTACTCTCAGTTTTCTCATTCAGAAAGTAGCAGTGACTCCAGCGCCAACCTCATGGTTGTTGTGAGGGTTCCTTGTCTTCAACATGAAGTACGTAGTGTCTGGAATGTAGTAAATACTGGTACTATTATAGATGCTTATAGCTAGGACCACCAGGTGGGAACTATTGAGTAACAGATTGTGAATGTGTGCTAAATCTTTAAATACTTCTATCAGTGATGCCCAAAATGCCATGGGTTGCCCTGTAAGTCTGGTTTTTCTTATCACTAAAGGATGAGTAGCTTTAATCTGCTTGGCAGTCACAATAGATGACGTAGAATCACAGATGATCAGGTATGGAAGGCACATTGGAAGATGTGCTGCTTGCAGGATGTATCCTTGCTAGGATGACCTGCATGCAGAAGAAGAAACAGTAACCCAAGATTGGGGGTCAGTTACCCAAGGCAACCTGATTGGAAGTGGTGAGCCTCAGACTAGACCCAGGTCTTTCAACTCAAAGGCCAGTGCTCTTTGCTCTGTATTACATTTCCTTCCAAGGAACTTCTGAAATCCTGTTTCCTGATATTCTGTTTTTACTCTTTAGACACACATCTGTTCTTTTAAATAAGGTGTTTTTAAACAATTCAACATGTGTTTTTAAAAGGATTCAGAGGTTGGGCGCAGTGGCTCATGCCTGTCATCCCAGCACTTTGGGAGGCCGAGGCGGGCAGATCACCTGAGGTCAGGAGTTTGAGACCTGCCTCACCAACATGCTGAAACCCCGTCTCAACTAAAAATACAAAAAAATTAGCCTGGGCTTGATAGTACATGCCTGTAGTCCCCGCTACTTGGGAGGCTGAGGTCAGAATCGCTTGAACCAGGAAGGTGAAGGCTGCAGTGAGCATTCCAGCCTAGGCAACAGAGTGAGACCCTGTCTCAAAAAAAAAAAAAAAAGATTCAGGGTACATATATGTATTGCTTAGCTATTACTGCAGAGCATATCATCCCAAAGCTTGGCTGAAAATACCAAACATTTATTATCTCACAGTTGCTGTGGGTCAGTAATCTGTGTTCTCCTTATCTAGGTGCCTCTGGCTTAGTCTCTCATGAAACTGTAGTTAAGGTGCTGCATCTGAGAGCTCAGCTGGGATGGGGAAAGGGTGATTCACTTCCAAGCACAATTGTTGGCAAGATTCATTTATGCCACATGTGCGTGTCCATACAGCAGCTCACAACATGGAACCTGGCTTCCTGCAGAACAAGTGAGAGCGAATATGAGTGCCTCAAGGCAGAAGCAGCCTTTGGAACGTGGTCTTGGAAGTAACATGCTATCACCTCTACCTACTTCTGTTTGCTAGCAGCAAGTCACCAGCCTACATGCAAGGAGAGGAGACTATAGGAAACATGAATACCAGGAGGAGGGGATCACTGGGGATCATCTTAAAGGCTGTCTACTCCATACTAGATACTTGTTATAAAAATTAAAGGAAGAATTCTAAAATCTTTCTGTTCAAGGAGAAATGAAAATCAACCATTAAGTGACTTAAGTTTTAAACAGATCTTTCTCCCTTTCCCCCCTTCATAATCCACACTCATCAGTTTTCTTGCTGTCTTTCTCTTTAGGGAAAAAATGCATTTTTCAAAGACCTAACTTCAATTCAGTTATTACCTAGTGGGGAAATGGATCCAAATTTTATTTCTGTACGACAACAGGTAAATTACAGCTACTGGATTTTGTTTTTGTTTCTTGGAAAAAAAACAGTAAAGGAAAAATCTAGCTTGCTTTTGAAAAGAATGACCACTTTCTATCGCAAGGACAGAAAACCAAACACCACATGTTCTCACTCATAGGTGGGAATTGAACAATGAGGTCACTTGGACACAGGAAGGGGAGCATCACACACCGGGGCCTATCATGAGGTGGGGGGAGGGGGAAGGGATAGTATTAGGAGATATACCTAATGTAAATGATGAGTTAATGGGTGCAGCACACCAACATGGCACATGTATACATATGTAACAAACCTGCATGTTGTGCACATGTACCCTAGAACTTAAAGTATAATAAATAAATAAATAAAATAATATTTTAAAAAATGACCACTTTCAAAGTATTCTTGAAAGCTAGTAGTTTACCTTTAAATGATGTGTTCCTTTTTTGATAATTAAACAATTTCATGGAAAAGCCACTGTAAGTGACAAAAAAGCTAACAATACTTTGATTTAGGTATTTTAAAATGAAACAGTAACAATATATTGCTGTATCTCTTTTTCCATTTTCAAGTTCTTATTGAAAGTTGTCAGTGCAGCTGTCCAGGCCCAACATTCAGCCACAAAGGTCAAAGATCCCACAGAAGAGGCCACACCCACTCCTTTTGGGAAAGACCAAGATTGGCCAGCTCTAGCTTTGGATTTAGCCCATCACCTTCAAGTTAGTGAAGATGTTGTTAGAAGGCATTATGTTGGGGAGCTATACAACTATGGAGTTGACCACTTAGGAGAAGAGGTAACATGACCCTTTGAATGTTAATTGGGCTCAAGTTATAAAATTGATAGTTGGAATAAAGACTCTCCAATGAAGCCTTTTGCTCTTCCTTTTGTTGGAACATCTAGGTACAAAAATAGAACAATATACTATTTTTTAAAACATAGAATTATAATCAAATAATTCCTACAGTGTGCCAGGCCTGCCCTACGCACAGGGATATAGCAGTAAACAAAACAGACAAGGTTCCTTCCTCATGAACTTGATAGTCTGCTGGTAGGAGCAGAAAAGCAGGCTAAATTTTGCATTGATTGGTAGGTGCTATGAAGAAAATAAAGAGGGCCGGGTGTTGTGGCTCACACCTGTAATCCCAGCACTTTGGAAGGCTCAGGCGGCAGATCACTTGAGCCCAGAAGCTCGAGACCAGTCTGGGCAATATAGCGAGACCCCATCTCTAAAAAGGAAAAAGAAACAGGATCATATGAATAAACAGGAGGCACTACAGTAGAGCATATCATCCCAAAGCTTGGCTGAAAATACCAAACATTTATTATCTCACAGTTGCTGTGGGTCAGTAATCTGTGTTCTCCTTATCTAGGTGCCTCTGGCTTAGTCTCTCATGAAACTGTAGTTAAGGTGCTGCATCTGAGAGCTCAGCTGGGATGGGGAAAGGGTGATTCACTTCCAAGCACAATTGTTGGCAAGATTCATTTATGCCACATGTGCGTGTCCATACAGCAGCTCACAACATGGAACCTGGCTTCCTGCAGAACAAGTGAGAGCGAATATGAGTGCCTCAAGGCAGAAGCAGCCTTTGGAACGTGGTCTTGGAAGTAACATGCTATCACCTCTACCTACTTCTGTTTGCTAGCAGCAAGTCACCAGCCTACATGCAAGGAGAGGAGACTATAGGAAACATGAATACCAGGAGGAGGGGATCACTGGGGATCATCTTAAAGGCTGTCTACTCCATACTAGATACTTGTTATAAAAATTAAAGGAAGAATTCTAAAATCTTTCTGTTCAAGGAGAAATGAAAATCAACCATTAAGTGACTTAAGTTTTAAACAGATCTTTCTCCCTTTCCCCCCTTCATAATCCACACTCATCAGTTTTCTTGCTGTCTTTCTCTTTAGGGAAAAAATGCATTTTTCAAAGACCTAACTTCAATTCAGTTATTACCTAGTGGGGAAATGGATCCAAATTTTATTTCTGTACGACAACAGGTAAATTACAGCTACTGGATTTTGTTTTTGTTTCTTGGAAAAAAAACAGTAAAGGAAAAATCTAGCTTGCTTTTGAAAAGAATGACCACTTTCTATCGCAAGGACAGAAAACCAAACACCACATGTTCTCACTCATAGGTGGGAATTGAACAATGAGGTCACTTGGACACAGGAAGGGGAGCATCACACACCGGGGCCTATTGTGGGGTGGGGGGAGGGGGAAGGGATAGTATTAGGAGATATACCTAATGTAAATGACGAGTTAATGGGTGCAGCACACCAACATGGCACATGTATACATATGTAACAAACCTGCATGTTGTGCATATGTACCCTAGAACTTAAAGTATTATAACAATAATAATAATAATATTTTAAAAAATGACCACTTTCAAAGTATTCTTGAAAGCTAGTAGTTTACCTTTAAATGATGTGTTCCTTTTTTGATAATTAAACAATTTCATGGAAAAGCCACTGTAAGTGACAAAAAAGCTAACAATACTTTGATTTAGGTATTTTAAAATGAAACAGTAACAATATATTGCTGTATCTCTTTTTCCATTTTCAAGTTCTTATTGAAAGTTGTCAGTGCAGCTGTCCAGGCCCAACATTCAGCCACAAAGGTCAAAGATCCCACAGAAGAGGCCACACCCACTCCTTTTGGGAAAGACCAAGATTGGCCAGCTCTAGCTTTGGATTTAGCCCATCACCTTCAAGTTAGTGAAGATGTTGTTAGAAGGCATTATGTTGGGGAGCTATACAACTATGGAGTTGACCACTTAGGAGAAGAGGTAACATGACCCTTTGAATGTTAATTGGGCTCAAGTTATAAAATTGATAGTTGGAATAAAGACTCTCCAATGAAGCCTTTTGCTCTTCCTTTTGTTGGAACATCTAGGTACAAAAATAGAACAATATACTATTTTTTAAAACATAGAATTATAATCAAATAATTCCTACAGTGTGCCAGGCCTGCCCTACGCACAGGGATATAGCAGTAAACAAAACAGACAAGGTTCCTTCCTCATGAACTTGATAGTCTGCTGGTAGGAGCAGAAAAGCAGGCTAAATTTTGCATTGATTGGTAGGTGCTATGAAGAAAATAAAGAGGGCCGGGTGTTGTGGCTCACACCTGTAATCCCAGCACTTTGGAAGGCTCAGGCGGCAGATCACTTGAGCCCAGAAGCTTGAGACCAGTCTGGGCAATATAGCGAGACCCCATCCCTAAAAAGGAAAAAGAAACAGGATCATATGAATAAACAGGAGGCACTACAGTAGAGTGGGCAGAGAATGTGACATTTGAACCGAGCCCCTAAGGAGAAGCAGCAGCCAGCTACTCAGAAACTGGGGGAACAGTACTTGAGACAAGAATTACAAAGGCCCTGAGGTGGGGACTAGAATGACTAGGTCCAGGACTAGAAAGGCCAGTACGGCTGACGAAACATAGTAAGCAAGGAATAAAGAAGTGTGGCATGAGGTAGGGAGGTTGGCCCAGGCCATGGCTGTATCCTAGGTCTCGGAGCCCATGGTTATTCTAAGTGTATTCAGAAGCCATTAGAGGGGCTGGGCGTGGTGGCTCACGCCTGTAATCTCAGCACTTAGGGAGGCCGAGTTGGGTGGATCACTTGAGGTCAGGAGTTCAAGACCAGCCTGGGCAACATGGTGAAACCCTGTCTCTACTAAAAATACAAAAAATTAGCCAGGCATGGTGGCACACGCCTGTAATCCGAGCTACTTGGGAGGCTGAAGCAGGAGAATTGCTTGAACCCAGGAGGTGGAGACTGCAGTGAGCTGAGATTGTACCACTGCACTCCAGCTTGGGTGGCAGAGTGAGACTCCATCTCAAAAAAAAAAAAAAAAAAAAAAAAAACCATTAGAGGGCTTCAAATAGACATGACATGAAACTCCCTTTATTTGCCAAAAGTTTGAAAACAACACACTGAGTAGCCATATTGAATTGAAAGATTAAGTGATGAGAAAAAAAAATTAACCAAGGAGCAGAAATTTGGGTTTAAATACTAAGTTTGATTTGGATTTATCTTTGGTTGTATATAATCAAAAGATAAATGGCCACAGTTCAAAAATCAACTAGAATGTCTTCACTGGCAACCTCATTCCTATAGAAGAAACACATCTGCTCACTCTGACTGTATTATTTCTCCATGTTCCTATCTTCAGGCCATTCTACAGGTTCATGACAAAGAGGTCCTTGCCTCTCAGCTGCTGGTGCTGACGGGGCAAAGGCTGGCTCATGCGCTTCTCCACACCCAGACAAAAGAAGGAATGGAGCTGCTTGCCAGACTTCCACCCACACTGTGTACTTGGCTGAAAGCAATGGTCAGTACAATAGATCGAGATCAGGCAAAAGGTCATTTTCTTGAGTGCCTAGTTAATAAGTTATGAAGAAAATTTGACAAATGTAATTCACCTACTTACAAAGAAAAGCATTTTTATGTAATAACTCTTAAGTCAGTAACAATTATTGTTTAGTTGTCTATAATAGGTTATTTTTGTGTCCCATTTCCAGGACCCCCAGGACCTTCAAAACACTGAAGTGCCAATTGCAACAACAGCTAAACTAGTAAATAAAGTAATCGAGCTTTTACCAGAAAAACATGGGCAGTATGGTCTAGCCTTACACCTCGTTGAAGCTGTGGAAGCCGTATCTCTTCCTTCTTTATGACACTTACCTACTGGAAATAGTCTAAAATTATGATTATAACATGAAGTAGTGCATGGTTATTTTATATAGTAAGACCTGGAATTTTATGGGGAAAGTATGTCTTTTTTTTTTTCCTTTTGTAAAATAAATAAAAGTATGTACAACTTTTAAAAAAGTACAACCCTGGCTAAATTCCACTCCTTTGGTTAATATTGAAGACAAAATATAAACAACTATCAACTCTGTTATAATTAATACAGATGTTTTACTGTTTATTTCTAATTCAAACACTTAAATAGCTTTATTGTTAACCTTTGCTATTTAAAATTGATTATAATTTAGATTATGTTCTTATAAGATTCTATATTTCCTATCGAAAATGTTGTAATTCAATTTAAATGTGTTCATGTACGGTCCCCATCAGTAGAGTATAGAAACACCCCACTCTCCTTTAGTAAATGTTGAGAAAATGCCTTTGTTGTCATGCTCCAAATCCCACATGGGCTGCCACCTGGGAGCTCTGGATACTGAAAGCTTCCTTTCCCAGAGGTTCTGCTGTTGCCATCAGAGGAGGATGACCATGCTTGAGGAGGAAGAATGGGTTCAAGATCATCATATTCATCAGAAGGGGACACTAAATAGAACCCTTAACCTGTTGTACTTGCCAAAATTGAGAATAAGAGGTATGTACAATGCAGCAAATTAATTATAATGTAAGTTAAGATTTGCTTTTTGCAAGTTGCAAAGTTGTATCCACATCAGGTCACTGTAAAAATGTATTATCTTGTAAAACTTATGTAAAAAAAAAAAAAAAAGGCAAAGACACTAAAAATTTTAAGTCCAACTTTATTTTTCCTACAAGTGTTTAGAAATGCTTCTGAGATTTGCTAATTGTTATCTTGGGAACAGTATTGAAAAAACTGCTTAGTGATATTACAGCTTTAGCAAACCTACCTCACAGCTGGGATGAGAGGATAAAATACAACTAATTTTGTACCCTATAGTGCCTAGAGCAGTCCAAGTGCTAAATATTTACTGACTAAAACCAAACTATAGCTACTCGGGAGGCTGCAGGACGATCGCTTGAGCCCAGGAGTTTGAGGCCATCCTGGGCAATATAGCCAGACCCTGTCTCGGAAAAAAAAAAAAAAAGAAAAAGAAAAAACCAAACTAACCAAAACTCTGTAAAAGAGTGCTTTGAGCTCTACAAATACCAAGTATTTATTATGGTATATTTTTAGAATGTAGCCCTACAGTGTAATTATGGGTATGTGTCATGGATCACAATTATTATTCATAGTAAGTCATTGTGATACAGAAGTTTGTTTCTTCACTTCCCCTTAAGAAGCCAACTATAGTAATCATGCAAAGTTGAGGAGTATGTCCTTCAGGGATATAAAGAAAAACAAATCTTGTTTTTTGAGCTAAAAGAGCACATCCAAACAAGAATTTAACTGGCTAAAATTTAGTAATTACTGTTAAGTAACTATCAAACTTAAAATCTTACAAGATAAATGGTTAAGATGTCTTGAGTATTTGGGATGGGGGCCTGTGAGTCTGACTGAGACATACATTTTATAGAGTAGCAGCATTGGAAAGGGCTAGTCCAACCTCCCAGCCTCTGCTTGGGTCTCCACTGTCCCAGCCAGACACATCCTAGAATTCTTGTAAACATATCCGGCTCTGTATTAACAGTCCCTTGTTATATGTGTTCTAAGAGATTAGTTCTTCCTGTGATTTTTCCAAGTACACTGAAAGTAGTATGAACTTAAGGAGGCTAGTCAAAGAAATTTGGAGTTATAGGTATTTTTAAAGACTAAATCCTCAATTCCATCATCACTTGGAGGGGAGGGGGCACTTGTTAAGCATTTTAGATAATAAAACTGGTTAAGCTTACTCTAGTAGAACAGACAATCAAATTTGGGGATTGCTGAGAACAATAATAAGCTGTAAGTATGGCTCACAGAATCCTGATACAAACCATTAAGTCTCTAGTTAGATTTGTTATCCTAAAATTTTTCATAGAATTTTAAAATTGAATTCTGACTTGTATGGTTAACAAAAGCAGTTAAATATTTTATTACTTATCAAGGGCTTTTAAAATAAATCTGATAGGAAGAAAGGCAAATAAATACCTATGTAGACATTCTATAATAACAAAGAGCCATAGATGATAAAGGAATTAGATTTTAATGTAGAACAGGTGGTTTCTGAAACAAAGGTGTGTGGCACTTATTGTAGTTATTGATGAGACGCCAATAACCAGTAGTGTTTCCCTAGATATATGCCCACCCTCGGTGGCATATAACATTTCTCCATTAATGTTAAATATGCATTTTTATCTTATTAATTATATAAAGCTGAAGGAAAACAAAGTGTTCAAATAATCATAACTTCTACATTACAGGTTCTGTTTAGATGTAGAACTAGAGGGGCCAGGGTAAATGTAGATAAAGAGATATATAGCACCATGCTTCTAAATGCGTCATACTTTTGCAAACAGAAAAAAAGTTTTAACTTTATTATAAAAATTCGTCTCTGGGTCAAAGTAAACACTGTTACATTTAAATTGCTTTTTAAAAACAATTGCGATCTAAAGTCAAAAATCTGAAATTTAATAATATGAGACTTACACTGAATGTAATGTTCATTCAGAAGTTGCTGTGGTCCATTTCATTTATAAGGGACAAATATTTTTACAGTACACTATAGCAACAGCGAAAGCCCTCTCACCCTGATAGGAATGGGTTTGCTGGGTGTCCACCAAGTTAGATTCCTGCTGAATAGAATTAGGCATCCTTAAAAGATTTTAATCCAATACTGAATTGTTTATAAAATGCTTTCTCTATTGTAATGTACTTACTGTAAGTAGTGAAATTCTGTATATATTGCTATTTTCTGTCCATTGTTGTGAACTTATGTATATTAGTGAAATAAATTTTCAGCTTTCATGTTGTTTCCTAAACATTCATAAGTATTAGGAGATTTCTTCCTCTCTTGAGTAACATATGTGGTGATTATTTTCTTTCTAATCCAACCCCAAAAACTAGCTATTCTGAAAAGGTTGATGTTCACTAACAGGAAGAATGATATGACCCTTCACCTCTTAAGGGAAACACGCCTTCGCCATTCCCTTTCAAAACTCTACTTCTTTTACTTGCTATTGACAACTTCTGCACCAACATCAGTCAGTACTTTTCCAGAATGCCTTTATTTTCAGTGTGATAGAATTTAAATACTGAGTCAAAAGATTTATAAAATATAAAACATTTTCTGCTCGGCCATATTTGAAGACAAGCTGAATACATATCTATGTTCTGAATAAGTCCATTATGGATATATATAGGAAGATATATATATATCCATCCACAGATAGACACACACATATATATATTTCTGCATATATATATACATAATTCTTTCTATAGTTACAGGAAATACTTCTTTTATAATTCTGATTTTGACCATCCTCCACCATTTACTCATCCACTCATTACCTAAATCTTGGCTTTCTTTCCAATATTGTAAATAATCCATCTAAACTTCTAGCCAGTACTGTCAGGAGGGTTCTTGCTCAAGTGAGCTGTTAATACTATTTTCCACTAACAACTTCTGCACATCGAGGACAGAGTGTATCTGAAGACTCCGCTGTATACTTCCAACAACGAGGGCATTTTTCTTTCGTAGTCGGCATGACAATTACTTTATAGGAAGACTCTTCACGAATATCACCACCTATAAAAAAATACATGAAGAGAATTTCTGATAGGCATTCAACTTGTAACACTGTTTCTTAATTGGTTTAGCAGAGGCTTCTTTTTCAGTCTTCTGTCCTGCCTTGGTAAAGCTTGTTAGACACTTCCCCATTTGCCCCATTACATATATAGCCAAGATAATGGGATCATACAACTCGACAACTGAAGAGAGCTGAGGAATTAGAGACCCCGTGACTCTGAGATTAACTGACATCTCCCAAGTCACCGAGTTCTACATCTACTCAGGGAGAGCAGACTTTCTAGCTGTTAAATCTGGATATAGTTCTGATGAATGACACTGCCTCTCCAGCTACATACATGACTAAGAATTTTTAAAATTATAGTGACAACTATGGCGTCCTCACTCAAAATTTCTCATGGGACAGAAGGAACCAAAAATATCTCCACAATTAATACTCTTAGACTTCGGACTGATAAAAATATAAAAGTAATCTAGTCATTGTACAAAGAGTATATTAACATTACATGGCTGGGCACGGTAGCTCACGCCTGTAATCCCAGCACTTTGGGGGGCCGAGGCAGGTGGATCACCTGAGGTCAGGAGTTCGAGACCAGCCTGACCAACATAGTGAAACCCTGTCTCTACTAAAAATACAAAAATTGGCCGGGTGTGGTGGTGCGCGCCTGTAATCTCAGCTACTTGGGAGGCTGAGGCAGAAGAATCGCTTGAACCTGGGAGGCGGAGGTTGCCGTGAGCCAAGATTGCGCCATTGTACTCCAGCCTGGGTGACAAGAGCAAAACTCTGTCTCAAAAAAAAGGAAAGAAAAAATTATACAAAGTAAATTTAGCCAGAACTTTTACTACATGGTCTATGCTGCCAAGCCCAAATTTGAACTGCTGCCTGTAAGTTAGCTTCCCATCTCCTGGTACCCAAAAGCTATGAAAAACACAAGCAGCATAACCTTTGCCAAGATACCTGCTTATTTTTCTTTTTTTTTTTTTTTGAGACGGAGTCTCGCTCTGTTGCCCAGCCTGGAGTGCAGTGGTGTGATCTCGGCTCACTGCAAGCTCCGCCTCCCAGGTTCACGCCATTCTCCTACCTCAGCCTCACTGGGAGTACAGGCGCATGCCGCCACGCACAGCTAATTTTTTGTATTTTTAGTAGAGATGGGGTTTCACCATGTTAGCCAGGATGGTCTCAATCTCCTGACCTCACAATCCACCTTGCCTCGGCCTCCCAAAGTGCTGGAATTACAGGAGTGAGCCACCGCACCCGGCCTATTTTTCTTTATTAATGCAACTCTGCCTCCACCAATGAAGATGAACCAGGTTGACTTTTAAAATCTTCTATAAAACAAATATTGACAAAATGCTTGCTTATGAGATACCATCATTAGAATGAGCTCAATAAAACTTCCTCCTTAATCCCTCACAAGAATGGCTAAATATTTTAATCTGGGGTACACATAATAGGAAATTCTAGAATCAACACTGGGGAACAGTGGGCAGGACTGGGCCAGTACTGGGGTACTAAGTATCAAAGCAGGGGGACACAAAAGGGAAATGGGAGCAAGTCAGACTAACATAAACTTCATATAAAATGACCATTATTTATTTAAAGGACAGAAAGAAAATCTCTCTCCCTCTTCAGTCCCTAGCCCTCAGTTCCCAAGATCATCAGGCAAGATACTTTTAACAGCGGGCTTAGAAACTTGGCAATTGTTTATATTATTTCCACAGAAAGACGTATTCTAAGTACATATCTACCTTTAGAATAAATCTAGTCCATGGGAAGTTGGAGATGACCCAGAGTTATTCAATTCTCCAGATGTTACTTGTTACTTTCACCTCCTTCTTACCTTCTAAGTTGATGAGGAATTTCCCTTTAAGCTCAATTACATCTGCAGTCATCTCTCGTGGTTCCTGAGCCAGTAAAGTTGACTCAGAAGCCATCATTAATTCATTCAACTGAGAGGTGCTGGAAGTCTCTTCAGACTGCAGCATCTGTAAGAAAGCATGTGAAAGTTACAGTTTATGTTAAATTTTTACCATAAACTGAGGTTATAAAAAGAGACACTATAAATTCTCATGTTTAGAGAGGAACCTTTTGGTATACCATTGCATCCTGAGCAAATACCATTAAATGCATCAATCCTAATTAGTATAAAAGGTTTTAACTAAAAATGTCCATCAACAGTATTTATTGAGAATGCCAGGCACTTCACTTTGCTAGATCCTATAATGTCTCTTATTTCTAATTGTCGCATACACACAAAAAAACCTATATGGTGTTTATTATCCTCACTTTACAAATGAAGAAACAAGCAAAGAGAGGTTAACTTGCCCAAGATTCTCAACCAGTAAGTGGTGGAACTGCAGGTCAAGCCCAGGTCTGCCAGCCTCAAAGCCTTTTTTTTTTTCATGTATCATTGGGTGAGGAGCTAAAATACTATCTCAACAGGTACCTGCTTTTAGTAATGTACACTGATCGTGGCAATCTGAACAATACACAGAACGCTTCTGAAGTAGACTGAATTTGTCTGATGAACACACTTTACTCTGTAATTTTGATCTTCAGTGAGTTTTTAAGCTAACCAACACAGACATTCCTTTAAAAATGAGAGTCCATGAGAAACAGGAGACTCAAAGAGATGAATTTGGTTTTAACAAGTTTATACAATTAGTAATGGATGGAACCAGGACTCCATCTAACAGCTACTTGGTATGATTCCTAAGGAAAATACATTCATGTTTTTGAAAATCCCAAAGTATTTTTTCCAATAAAGATTGATCCAAACAAGCTGTTCTTTTCAGTTTATTACTTAGAAAGACTGAAGTCAAAGGAAACATAGTACGCAGGAAAAAAGGCCAGGACTAGGCTGTGTTACCCTGGCTAGGTCATAGCTTCAGCAGTCCTCACTTCCTCGCTTGTAAAATGAACAGCTTCCCAAGTTTTAAATTTTAAAATGTGAACATCTCATCTATTATACCTACTAGCTATTTCAAGCTCAAATCTTAATCACGCTAATCACATCATTAAAAATTTAAATTGAGCTTACCATACAAAATGAGATGGGTATTTTTTAGAAAACTGACACTAATAAAACTTTTTAAAAATAGCTCTTTCCACCATCTTTCTGCACCGCCACGATGGTGCACATGAATGTCCTGGCTGATGCTCTCGAGAGCACCAACAGTGCCGAAAGAGAGGCAAAAGCCAGGCTTTAGGCCACGCTCCAAAGTCATCATCCAGTTTCTCACTGTGATGATGAAGCATGGTTACATTGGCAAATCTGAAATCACTGATGATCACAGAGCTGGGAAAACTGTTGTGAACCTCACAGGCAGGCTAAACAAGTATGGAGTGATCAGCCCCAGATTTGATGTGCAACTCAAAGATCTAGAAAAATGGCAAAATAATTCTGCATCCATCCCGCCAGTTTGGTTTCATTGTACTGACAACATCAGCTGGCATCATGGACCATGAAGAAGCAAGATGAAAACGCACAGGAGGGAAAATCCTGGGATTCTTTTTCTAGGGATGTAATACATATATTTACAAATAAAATGCCTCACGGAAAAAAAAAATTATATTCATTGACAATTCTCTTCTTAAGCATTTAGACTGGAGAAAAATCACATCATTATGTGAAGCTATAAACCAATCTGGCCAATCAACCCTAAAAATCCCAAGAAGAAAATTTTGATGGCCCTTCTGGAAATAAAAACAGGATAAATGCTTTGAAATATATGTGGTAACTTGCTGGATAAAATGAATTTTCTCCAGATTTCACAAAATAAAAATGGAAACTCTTTTTGGGTTTGTTTTGAATCTGGTCCAGATGGATGAAATTCTCAGGAAACCTGACCCTTAATACAAAACTCCCAATTTTTATACATTCGAAGACGATCATGATGAATTTATATGTCACCTGTCTTCTAAATAATCCTGAGGCCTTTGATTTGAAACAGAAGTTTATTTATTCCTTCCCTGTCCCTACACAGTAACATATACGTGTTACATGCATAGAACATGTTTTACAAGACATGGAAAAGAACATGGTGAAGTAGGAAACAAAGAATCAGTGATAATATCAGGATTAGAAGACAAACCCTAATTTCTAAATTAATTTTTTTTAAAATTTAGACACATTTTAAAAGCAAATTTCAGGCAAAGCACTATGATACTAACACCATTTCAAAAGGGACATATTGCTGCATACCTCTATTATCTCGAAAAGCAGTCCAGGTTCTATCACTATGATAACCTTGTACTCAGCTGCATTTTTGCCAGGGATGCTTCCGAGAAATGAATCTCGCATTGCACACGCACTCTCCACAGCTTCTTCCAACCCGGGCTTCTTCCAGATAGAACTAGTACTAATCCACCCAGTACGGAAAACACTCTTGGGCTCTTCAGAAGAACAAAAACAGTAAACTGCTTTACAAACATCCTAAGCTGTATATGAAGCTCTAACCATTATTTACCATTAATGGGAAATAAGAATTGTTATTTACGGTAATCAAGTGATGAAATATTATGGAGCCATCCTAATTATTTACAAAACATTTCTATCAGCATTGGAAAATATTTGCTACCTTTAAACAAAAGAGAAAATATATAATAAGAGCTCAAAGAAAAAAAAGGATGCTTAGAAAAAAATAATATAGAAATATCCCAATATTAACAGCTATCAGTAGTAAGATTATAAGTGACTTCCCCCTCTTTCTACAACTATCATATAATACTCACTAAAAGCACTATATTTTGTTTTAATATAACCTAAAATATATTTCAGAACTTTTTTTTTTTTTCAGAAGGAGTTTTGTGCTGTCACCCAGGCTGAAGTACAGTGGCATAATCTTGGCTCACAGCAACTTCCATCTCCTGAGTTCAAGCAATTCTCCTACCTCAGCCTCCCAAGTAGCTGGGACTATAGGCGCCCGCCACCACTATGCCCGGCTCATTTCAGTAGAGATGGGGTTTCGCCATGTTGGCCTGGCTAGTTTTGAACTCCTGACCTCAAGCGATCTACCCACCTCAGCCTCCAAAAGTGTGGGGATTACAGGCGTCAGCCACCATACCTGGCCATTTCAGAACATTTATAAAGGTATTTAAGGAAACAAGTGATTTCTCAACACAGTCAAGCTGCTAATACATTTCAGAAAACACAGAATTCTGAAATTTACCCTACTCCTCTACAAATAGGTGCAGAAACAAATACATGACCAAGATATACTGTCACAGAGCAGTCACTGTAAATGGGTAAGTGCCCCTTTTATGAAGCAGATAAAATTAGAAGTTGCACCTTTATCAGGGCTCTTTCTCATTAAGAGAATAAACAAAGTATTCCTTACCTTTAATATAAGGTATGTGCTGGAACACCTCTTCAGCCAGGTGAGGAAGAATGGGAGCAAAAGAACGAACTATTACATCCAAAATTTCAACTAATGCAGTCTGACAAGAGCGTCGTCTGGGGTCATTTTCCTTTTCACAATACAGCCTGAACAAGAACAACTTATTCAGCAGTTGACAATACTTTACACATTATGGTCACCAAAATAGGACCTGCCTCAGGTTGAGTTTATTCCTAGTGGCTAATCTTATGGCTCTAATCATCTTCTACTTAAAGAATACAATACACTCTCCTACAATTTCACTCCATCCAGGTGTACCCACCTCCTCGAAAGCACTCATGGCTAGCTATCTCATTCTGTTTCTCAGGTGGATGACAAGCAGAGTCTAGACTACCATATTAAAGGACTATGAATAAGTTAGTTGACGGTATTTCACATGTGGCTCCTACCCACTACAATGCTATTAGTGTTTTAAGGGAAGGAGTAGGAGTTAGAATCCCTATGTGTAAGGTCCTTGGGGTGCTGACAGGTTGAGGCTAACACCTCAGACTGGACTCATTATCATAAAGATAGGACCATCACCTGCCCACTGGAGCAACAGATGAAGACTTGGCATCCAGCCCTCTTCTACAAGGATACTGCTAATATTATACACTGTTACCATATAATTGCACATACATATCTCTCTCTTCCCCTCAAGATCTGAGAACTCCTGAGAACAAGTATTATGTTCATCATCTGATACTAGCAGTGATGATTTTTTGAACACTTTATCAAGCACAGCGTTAAGCACATTATTGCTTTTCCTTCTCGATCAGGAGGTAAGTATTATTATACTCATTTTACAGATGAAGAAACAGATTACAGAATAAGTTGCCCCAAATCAGAAAGCTAGTAAGCAGGAGGGCAAACCTTTATACTCAGGCTTGACTCCGGAACCCAGTCTTAATAACTGCACAACACTGCCCGTCGTGCTCATCACTGAATCCCCGACGGTTGCCAAACACAAGTAGACACTCAAAAAATAGTTGCCGAGGTTTTGTTGTTGTTGTTTTCTGAGACGACGTCTTGCTCTGTAGCCCAGGCTGGAGTGCAGCGGCACAATCTCCGCTCACTGCAACCTCCGCCTCCCAGGTTCAAGCAATTCCCGTGCCTCGGTCTCCTGAGTAGCTTGGATTACAGGCATGTACCACCATGCCCAGTTATTTTCTGTATTTTTAGTAGACACAGGGTTTTGCCATGTTTGCCAGGCTGGTCTCGAACTCCTGGCCTCATGTGATCCACCCGCCTCGGCCTCCGAAAGTGCTGGGATTACAGGCATGAGTCACCACGCCTGGCCATTGTTAAGCATTTTAATATTTAGTCATACATACCTATCTTTGATTATACTGAAATAAAAGTGAGAGAGCTCTCTGGTATAAAATGTCCGTAACAGCCGAACAACTTTTCCAAAATCATATTGTTTGTATAATTCGGTAATCTAGGGAACAAAGTCAAAATAAATTGGGAAGCTGAGACAGGCAAATGAAAATGTTAAGTCATCACAAGCAAAATACGCTCATTTCAAAAATATATTTCAAAGAGACAAATACAAAACAGGCAATATGCAAGAACTCCTGGGAATCTTCAAAATGTCATTTCTGGAAAACACATTTGACTACACTCAGAAAATACTATTTTACTCTGAGAACTACGAAAGAACATTTATCAAGGAAAGAATGAGATTGTAAATAATAAAATCACACCAGTTTTACAACAGCAAACAGTGGAAGTTACCAACAATTCATTAGTGTTCCTTCACTGATGCCTCATTTATTTTTGATTGGGCAAAACTGGTATGTACACTCTGACTTAAGGGTGCACTAATGCAAATACATTTCCAATTGTGAGAAAACACCATTTTTTTTTTTTTTTTTTTAAAGACAGGGTCTCACTCTGTCAATCAGGCTGGAGTGCAATGGCACAATCACAGCTCACTGCAGCCTCAAAACCCTGAGCTCAAGCGATCCTCCTGCCTCAGCCTCCCAAGGAGCTGGGACTACATGCACTCGCTAACACGCCTGGCTAATTTTTAAAACTTCTGTAGAGATGGGTTCCCGCTCTGTTGCCCAGGCTGGTCTTGAACTCCTGGCCTTAAGGAATCCTCCCACCTTGGCCACCCAAAGTGGTAGGATTTATAGGTGTAAGCTTCTGCGCCTAGCCAGAAAACACTAATTACTTAAGTCTATATAAAAATGAGCAAATATCTTATGAGACAAATAGGAATAGTCATTTTGGTTATTTCTGTACTTTATTACGAGAAGCACATCTGCAGATAAATAAAGTATAACTCCACTTTATTCCTTCTTGTTGGAGAAACAGAGCTAATTGTAAGAGAAAAATCTGGTCTGGACATATTTCTCTAATCTTTTAAGAAACTCAAAAGATATGATAACACTTTATACCTAAGGCCAACCTGGGAATGTGTGGAATTTAGCAAGCATAACCTTTTCAAGAGTGCTATAGTTACTATTTCCAGCCAGGTCTGTTCCACTGAGATAAAACTAAAATTTTAACCTAAAATAGTGCTGATATTTCTAGTTTCCAGAAGTTTATTAATTTACATTTACCTTGTTTGCCAAATCCTGCAGTAAATGTAGCATATACTGGTCTATGACATACATATCGTTAACAGGGATGGAATCTGTTTCTGGGTTGAAATCAGCCACATTTCCCAAAAGAAAGCGGAGTGTATTCCTAAGCTATTCATAGGAGGAAAATACATGCAGTTAAAAAAATTGAATGATGCCTTCAATTTTCACTGAAAAGTTATGCTTTTACTCTGTAATTAAGTTGGATTCATCCAACTCTTGTCATTTTCTTATTGGGGTATTTTTATTATCATTTCAAATAACACTACAAATGTAAAAAAATAAAAGGCAAAAAGTACACAACAAACTCTTATTCCAATAGCCCAGTTATAGAAACAACCACAGGATTTTTATGCCTAATGACTGAATTTTCATTACATTTCTTTATTACGTTAGGACGAATCACCTTTCAGTAGCCCAGTTTATTCATGTGTGTGGGTCAGAATAATGTTATTTCACTTGCTTCACAGGTGAAAATAAAGATACATGGAAAAATGTGAAAGGTTATTGAGTACATAAATATATAAAATTAATATAATCTATACTATGCTATACATTTTATATATTATATTAATAAAATATAAAGGATATTACATACAAATTACATAAAGTTACTGGTATTACTACCAATGTTTTGAAACAAATAAATTAACACAAGACTTTTTTTTTTGAGACGAGGTCTCACGCTGTCACCAGGCTGGAGTCCAGTGGTGGGATCTTAGGTCACTGCAACCTCCACCTCCTGGGTTCAAGCGATTCTCCTGCCTCAGCCTCCCAAGTAGCTGGGACTACAGGCATGTGCCACCACACCCAGTTAATTTTTTATTTTTAGTAGAGGCGGGATTTCACTATGTTGGCCAGGCTGGTCTCGAACTCCTGACCTCGTGATCCACCCACCTCTGCCTCCCAAAGTGCTGGGATTACAGGCATGAGCCACCATGCCCGGCCAACACAGGAGATTTTTAAAAGCTCACAATATATGGAGAACTCATTTTCATTCAGTTTTTTCAGTGCCAAACAAAATGTGTCTCATTTTTTAAAACCCAGATTTGGCAAACCTGTCCTTTAGAAATAGGAAGAATAATGGTTCTAACCTTGCTAATATCATCTCTGGCAGCATTGAGCACGGATGGGCCGATTGCAACTTCGGTGAAGACATTGGAATCAGCTACCCACCAGCGAAGGACATCAGCGCCATAGGGAGGCTCTTTGCTTTGATCCTTTCCATTGAGAAAAAATATATAAACACAATGGCTTTCAATTCCAATTAGCTGAACAGATGTTTTAGGTAAAGCTCCTATTCAGAAATTTTTGAGCACAATACAAATATAAACTATACTAGCATTGTAATGAAATGCAGGCTAACAATCTCAAATTAGGCTGTATCTACAAAAAAAAAACTGGAAAAAGAAAGAGGGTGCTCTGCAATTTTGTTCAACGCACAAATGCTCATACCTAATCTCTTCCCTGGTCATATCTGTTTCCATGTATTACAGCGGGCAGTTAGACACACAGCAGTGCCAGGGAGGTCTCTACAATAAGGGAGGGGAAGAGGAAGGCCTGCTTTTCCTTTCACTATTTCCTAGCAACTCGGTATACAAAACAATGAATGGTTACAGGATGTTAGGAGGGCAGTAAAAAGCCACAGGAGTTAAAAAATAAAAAATTAAAAAAAACAGACAAACGATTTATTTCACAAAAGCAGCTCCAAAACCCCCCCAAATTATCAGCAACCTCAGATTTGATGTACATTTAGGACCTGCTTTAAAATGTATAATTTTCAACAACATAATAATGAAATGTGCACTTAGAAGTTGTAATCTCATTTTTTCTTTTATCATTTCCATTTAACTATACAATTACACTTTGCACATTTTTTTTTCCACTTCAGACAGTAATGTGCCAACACTATAACAAGGTTTGAGGGAGGCATACCTCACACAATAGTGTGAAAACCCAATCATCACACTTACGAATCACAAAAGGATCTATACATTTTAAAGGCTCTTAGACAATTAAAAAAGGCCAGGTGCAGTGGTTCACACCTGTAATCCCAAAAGCACTTTGGAGGCGCGAGGCGGGCGGATCACGAGGCTACAGGAGATCAAGACCATCCTCTACAACGGTGAAACCGCCGTCTCTACTAAAAATACAAAAAATTAGCCGGGCGTGGTGGCGGAGAGCCTGCAGTCCGCAGCTATTCGGCGAGACTGAGGCAGGAGAAATGGCGTGCACCCGGGAGGACGGCAGAGCTTGCAGTGAGCTGAAGTCGCACCGCTGCACTCCAGCCTGGGGCGACAGAGCGAGACTCTGTCTCAAAAAAAAAAAAAGAAAAAAAAAGAAGAAGACAGAATGGAAGGAACAGGCATGGTTTGGACCCTAACTGGAGAGTCAGGCCTGAAATTGAGGTAAAAAGGAACGCACAATCCCAAGCCGTCTGCTTTTCATTAAAATCATTGTGTATCTTGAGAATATAAAATGTCACAGTTTTTATTCTTTTACATTGAAGTAACTATCATTAGGGCTGGCTTGGCCCTGGCCAAATTTAAGACTCCTTAAAATGAAATAAAAATACATTTCTAGAGAATGTACTTACTTGTCCTCCCAGTTAACAACTAATCTATCAGGAGAATGACATATCCTGCAACAGCAGACTTGGGACATGCTTTTCTCGCCGCTTTTCTCCAAGGGTATACAGTCCATGAACAAATCACGTGTCCTAACAGGGGCACAAACCAGCATATGCTTAATAATAGAACAAACGATATAATATCTTTTGAAGATAGGTACTATAGTAGAAAGAGATCTAAGGTTTTGACACAAGAAATATGATTTTCTGAGACTGATTATGGAATGAGAACCTTTCTTTTCTTTCTTTTTTTTTTTTTTTTGGTATGGAGTCTCACTGTTGTTCACCCAGGCTGGAGCATACAGTGGCATGAGCTTCGGCTCATCTGCAATCTCCCACCCTCCCAGGTTCAGAGAGTTCTGCCTAACCTACTCCTGACTCAGGTTGATCCACTTAATCCGGCCTCCCCAGAAGTGCTGGGATTCAAACAGGTATGAGAGCCACGCCCTGCCCCGTCGGACGCGCCTTTCAGCTTAAAAGTCAAATTCAGGCTGGGTGCAAGTGGCTCAACGCCTGTCTAATGCCCAACACGTGCTGGGAGGCCAAGGCCAGGCAGATTCAAATCGAGCACAGGCTTTGATGGCCAAGCCTGGCCACAATGGGTGAAACCCGTTCCACTACAAGAACTACAAAAATTAGCCGGGTATGGTGCGTCGTGTGCCTTGTAGTCCAGGATCTACGTCCGCGGAGTGGGCATGAGATCCATTGAACCGCAGGAGGGGGGAGACTGCAGTGAGCTGAGTCGTAGGTGCACTCAGCTGGGGGGGTAACAGGGAGTAGATCCCTAAAAAAAAAAGAATCCATTCTTAGCTCATGGATCAAAGGGTTAAGTGACAGCTCTCGACTTACACAAAGGAAACTTTAGATAATTTCATCACTAAATAGATTATTTTCGAGCTTCTGGTGGTAGCTGCGATTTTATCATTTAAAAGCTAACCAGTTTAGAAATAGCCAATACAGAGACTGGCAAGATCAGTGGTTTGCCAGGGGCCCTAGGGTGGGAGTGAGCATAGCCAAAATGGATGCGAAATTTTTAGTGTGTTTGGAAATGTTATAAGACACGCTGTTGTCGGTTGATAGCGGAAAAAACTAATATAAATCCTCACTAAAAAAATAAAAAAAAAAAAAATTTAATGAAAAAATAAAACCAAGAAAAAGGGCTGGTCGCAGTGGTTCACGCCTGTAATCCCAGCACTTTGGGAAGCCGAGACAGGTGGATCATGAGGTCAGGAGATCAAGACCATCCTCACTAAGATGATAAAACCCCATCTCTACTAAAAATACAAAACAATTAGCCAGGTGCGGTGTTGGGCGCCTGTAGTCCCAGCTACTCGGGAGGCTGAGGCAGGAGAATGGCGTGAATCCGGGAGGCAGAGGTTGCAGTGAGCTGAGATCGCGCCACTGTACTCCAGGTTGGGTGAAAGAGTGAGATTCGGTCTCAAAAAAAAAAAAAAAAAACAGGAAACAGATGATATCGTCTTAAAAGAGGCAAGATTATCGCTCTCAAAATTGATTTTCTAAAAGACACATTTGAAAAAAATCTAGGGATTCCGCCCTTCTATCGGTCTTTAAAACACATGTTAAAGAAACCAAAAAACATGGTAAAAAGGGCCCAGGCACTGGATGGCTTCACACACTGTAATCTCAGCACTTGTGGAGGCTCGAGGAGGCATGGATCACTTGAGATCAGGAGTTCGAGACCGTCTGGCCCAATATGTGAAACCTGTCTCTTACTAAAAAATACAAAAAATAGCCAGGCATAGTGGCATGTGCCTGTAATTCAGCTACTCGAGAGGCTGAGGCAGGGAGAATCGCTTGAACCCGGGAGGCAAAGGTTGCCAGTGAGCCAAGATCGCGCCACTGCGCACTCCAGCCTAGGCGGACAGAGCAAGACTGCATCTCAAAAAAAAAGCAACATGCAAAACGTTCTGGGATGGATTTTTATCCTAAGAGAGCCACAGTCTTAAGCTAAGCTATTTAGGAATCTTTCTGATTAGTACTTTCACCCACACGTTTGAAAAAGTAATTCTATGTATTAAATGAGAATATCTAATTTAATAAAATTCACGAAAGCAATGTTTCAGCTCACTAGCCACTGTGGATATTACAAATATAAAGGACATCTGTACTCAGGCTGTCTTCTCTCAACCTCGAATATCCTTCCCTACATTCCTCCTGGTCAAGTTTTACCATAGATCAAGATCTAGTTCTAGGCCAGGCATGGTGGCTCATGCCTATAATCCTACCACTTTGGGAGGCCAAGGCAGGAGGACTGCTTCAGGCCAGGAGTTTGGGACCAGCATGGGCAATGGGAGGAGAATGCATCTCTAAAAAAAAAGTTAAAAATTAGCCAGGTGTGGTGGTGCATGTCTGTAGTCCCAGCTACTCAGGAGGCTGAGGCAGGAGGATTGCTTGAGCCTAGGAGATGGAGGCTGCAGCGAGCTTTGACCACACCATTGCACTCCAGCCTGGGTGACTGAATGAGGTCCTTTCTCAAAAACAAACAAACAAACAAACAAACAAAAAAGAACTACATAAGTTCCCGCAACTACTCCAGTCAATGCTGACTTTTTCTTCAAGGAGTTATGATCTGCATCACACTCACAAGACACGTTGGTGTTATCTCCTGTGTCCTTTCTCTTTTTTTTACTTCAAATTCTTACAGGACACTGTAAGCAATCAAGGGTGGTGCCTTATCATCTCTATAGTACTCAGCATAGTGCTTCACACACTGGCAGGTACTCAGCAGGTTGGCTCAGGTATAAATACTTACTTATAAGGTGCTTTCTTCCTTGTGGCCACACTTGTTAATAAGGATGACTGAAACCAACCCCCGAGCTGGTCTTTTCCTTCCAAGTACAAATCTGCTCTTTGGTCAGGACCTCAAAATTAAATATTAAAAGAAAAAGACACCCAGAAATTTAAGTAAATTAAAATAGAAAAAGAAGACATTTATTAATTAATAACAATTAGTGGGGAGGAAGGGAAGCAACTTTACAATAGAGGAAACTGGTAGACGCCACCTTAACCAAGAAAGTGACCAAAGTTACATATCACCAGTAATAACAGGACAGAGATATATCATGTGACTTCTGAAATGATGTATAGAAATAAACACAGTATCCTTTCTGCGATATTCCTACCTAAAATGCATAACGTGAATCTAATCATGACAATGCATCCCACAAACCCAGAGAGACCATCTACAAAATAAACCTGTACTATGTGAATGTCAAGGTCATGAAAGACACAGAACAAGAACTACAGAGACATGACAATCAAATGTGACATGTGATCTCAGATTAGATCTTGGGTCCTTTTTTTTTTCCTCTTTCCACATAGGAGTGTGGTAAAATTAGTAAGTTCTACAGACAGTTAACAGTATGGAATCAATGTTAATTCCCTAATTTTGATGTCTGTGTTGGTTACGTTAAGAGATCATCCGTGTTTTGGGGAAATATATATTAAAGTATTGAGATAAAAGATGCATCTTTTCCTCTACATATATATACATAGAGAGGACACATAAAGTAAATGTAGTAGAATGTTAATGTTAACATTGGAAAATCTAGATGAAGAAGAGCATGCTGTAATTCTTTATAATACTTTATGACTTTTCAAAATAAAAGGGTTTTCAAAAAAAGTAACATGAGGTCTTTGATGAAGATTACATCCATATTTTAAATCTAAACTCACAACTCTCAAAGCCCCCATAATCCCTTTTATTTATAAAATTATGATTTGTCCTTATATCCTAAGATTGAAGATTTAGTGTTGCAAACTTTATGTAAGAAAGATTACCTGAGTGGAGGTGGGGAAACAAAATTTAAATAACTGAATCAAACAAATTCAATTACACCAATATTACTGAGCACTTGTTACATAGCAGGCATTGTGTTAGATCCTGGGGAAATCTGGACTCTGCTTCTTGGAGCTGACATCTAGTAGGGTAGATTTTATGTTAAACAAGAAGTAACTGTGATGGGGCCGGGTGTGGTGTCTCACGCTTGTAATCCCAGCACTTTGGGAGGTGGAGGCTGGCAAATCCTGAGGTCAGGAGTTCGAGACCAGCTTGACCAACATGACGAAACCCCATCTCTAAAAATACAAAAATTACCTGGGCATGGTGACAGGCGCCTGTAATCCCAGCTACTTGGGAGGCTGAGGCAGGAGAATCACTTGAACCCAGGAGGCAGATGATGCAGTGAGCAGAGATTGTCCCACTGCACTCCAGCCTGGGCGACAGAGTGAGACTCTTTGTCTCAAAAAAAAAAAAAAAAGAAAAGAAATAACTGTGATGGGTGTTACCAAGGAGAAAATAAAGGGTTTAACCTAGTCTGTGCAGCCAGGAAAGTCTGAGATAATGTAAGAAAGTAAATGAATATGCAGTGAAAAAAAATCTCTAGCTAGACTGAGAAAATAGAAAAGAAGATCCAAATAAACAAAACCAGAAGTGAAAAAGGAGACATGGGGCCGGGCGCCGTGGTGCACAACTATAATCCCAGAACTTTGGAAGGCAGAGGCGGGTGGATCACAAGGTCAGGAGTTCAAGACCAGCCTGGTCAAGATGGTGAACCCCTCATCTCTACTAAAAATGCAAACATTAGCCAGGCATGGTGACAGGCACCTGTAACCCCAGTTACTTGGGAGGAATGAGGCAGAGAATTGCTTGAACCTGGGAGGTGGAGTTTGCAGTGCGACGAGATCAGGCCACTGCACTCCAGTCTAGGCGACAGAGCAAGACTCCATCTCCAAAAAAAAAAAAGATAAAGGAGACATACAACAGACAACAGAGAAATACAAAGGATCATCAGAGACTACTATAAACAAATGTACACTAACACATAGGAAAACCTGGAGGAAATGGATAAACCCCTGGACACATACAACCTACCAAGATTAAACCGGGAAGAAACAGAACAGTAAGAAGTAACTGGACTGAATAAGCAACACAAAGTCTCCCAACAAAGAAAAGTCTAGGACAAGATGGCTTTACTGCTGAATTCTACCAAATATATAAAGAACAACAATTCTGCTCAAACTACTCCAAAGAATCCAAGAAGAGGAAACTCTTCTTAAATCACTGTACAAAGCCAGCATTACCCTGATACCAAAACCAGGCAAAGACACAACAAAAAAGAAAACTACAGGCCAAGATCTCTGTTGAACAAAGACACAAAAATCCTCAACAGGTTGGGTGTGGTGACTCACACCTGTAATCCCAACACTTTGGGAGACCGAGGCAGGTGGATCATGAAGTCAGGAGGTCGAGACCATCCTGGCTAACATGGTGAAACCCATCGCTACTAAAAATACAAAAAATTAGCTGGGCGTGGTGGTGGGTGCCTGTAATCCCAGCTACTGGGGAGGCTGAGGCAGAAGAATTGCTTGAACCTGGGAGGCAGAGGTTGCAGTGAGCCGAGATCGTGCCACTGCACTCCAGCCTGGGCGACAGAGCAAGATTCCGTCTCAAAAAAAAAAAAAAAAAAAATTCAACGTGGCCAGGCATCGTGGCTCATGCCTGTAATCCCAGCACTTTGGGAGGCTGAAGGGTGCTGATCATTTGAGGTCAGGAGTTTGAGACCAGCCTGGCCAACATGGTGAAACCCCATCTCTATTAAAAATACAGAAATGCTGGGCACGGTGGCTCGTGCCTGTAATCCAAGCACTTTGGGAGGCTGAGGCGGGTGGATCACCTGAGGTGGGGAGTTCGATTCCAGCCTGAGAAACATGGAGAAACCCCATCTCAACTAAAAATACAAAATAAGCTGGGCGTGGTGGCACATGCCTGTAGTCCCAGCTACTTGGGAAGCTGAGGCAGGAGAATCGCTTGAACCCGGGAGGTGGAGGTTGCAGTGAGCCTAGGTTGTGCCATTGCACTCCAGTCTGGGCAACAAGAGTGAGACTCCATCTCAAATAAATAAATAAATAAATAAAAATTAACCAGGTGTGGTGGCACATGCCTATAATCCCAGCTACTCAGGAGGCTCAGGCAGAAGAATCACTAGAACTCGGGAGGTGGAGGTTGCAGTGAGCCGAGATTGTGCCACTGCATTTCGGCCTGGGCGACGGAGCGAGACTCCATCTCAAATAAATAAATAAATAAATAAATAAATAAAGATTCAATGCAATTCCACGCATTGAAGAAAGGGAGGGAGGAAGGAAGGAAGGAAGGAAGAAAGGAAGGAAGGAAGGAAGGAAGGAAGGAAGGAAGGAAGGAGGGAAGGAGGGAAAGAGGGAAAGAGGGAAAGAGGGAAAGAAAGAGGGAAGGAAAGAGGGAAGGAAAGAGGGAAGGAAAGAAGGAAGGAAGGAAGGAAGGAAGGAAGGAAGGAAGGAAAGAAAAAGAAAATAGACCCCTACCTCTCATCATACACAAAAATCAACTCAAAAGAGAGACTTAAATCTAAGGTCCCCAACTATGAAACTACTAGAGGAAAACATAGGAGAAATCCTCTAGGACATCGGTCTAGGCAAAACTGTTATGGCTAAGACTTCAAAAGCACAAGTAAAGGAACAAAAACAGACAAATGGGGCTATATTAAGAAAAAGTTGTAGCACAATGAAGGAAACAATCAACACAGTGAAGAGACAACCTGTAGAATGGGAGAAAATATTTGCAAACTATTTGTCTGACAAGGGACTAATATTCAGATTATAAAGGAATTCAAGTAAAGAAACAGCAAAAACAAGAAACAACAACAAAAAAACTCACTGCAAAGTGGGCAAAGGGTGTGAACAGACATTTCTCAAAGGATGTCATATAAATGGAAAACAGGTATATGAAAAAATGTTCAACATCACTAATCATCAGGCAAGTGCAAATCAAAAACACAGTGACATATCATCTTACCCCAGTTAGCCCAGAATGGCTATTATGAAAAAGAAAGTAACAAATGATGGCAAGGATGTAGAGAGAACAGAACTATTATACACTGTTGGTGGGAATGTAAATTAGTACAGCCATTATAAAAAACATTATCAAGGTTTCTTTTCAAAAAACTAAAAACAGAACTATCATATGATCCAGCAATCCCACTACTAGGTATTTATGCAAAGGAAATAAAATCAGCATATCAACCGGATACTTACATCTCCATGTTTATTACAACGCTACTCACAATAGCCAAGATATGGAATCGGTCTAAGTATCCATCAAAGATGAATGGATAAAGAAAATGTGATAAATATATACAATGGAATACTATTCAGCCATTAAAAAGAATGAAATCCTGTCATTAGCAGCAACATGGATGGAACTGGAGGTCATGATGTTAAATGAAATAAGCCAAGCATAGAAAGACAAATACTCCATAATCTCACTCATATGTGGGAGTTTAAAAAGTTGATCTTATGGAGGTAGAAAGTAGAATGATAGTTACCAGAGGCTGGGAAGGGTGAGAGGGAGGGATGAAGAGAGTTTGGTTAATGGGATAGAAAAGGAGTTACATATACGGGATAAATTCTAGTGTTTAATACAATAGGGTAAATATAGTAACAATTTATTGCATATTTCAAAATAACTAGAAGAGAAGATATAAAATGTTCCCACCACAAAGAAATGGTAAATGTTTGGGTAAATGTTTAAATACCCTCATTTGATCATTACATATTGAATGCACCTATCAAAACACTACAAGTACTCAATATGTACAATTATTATGAATTAATTTAAAATTTTTCTGTTGCAGTGAAAATTATTTGGTTAAGAATATTACACTCTGGCCGGGTGCGGTGGCTCACATTTGTAATCCCAGCACTTTGGGAGGTTGAGGCAGGTGAATCACTTGAGGCCAGGAGTTTAAGACCAGCCTGGCCAACACAGTGAAACCCCTTCTCTACTAAAAATACAAAAATTAGCTGGGCATGGTGGCACATGCCTGTAATCCCAGCTATTCAGGAGGCAGAGGCAGGAGAGTCACTTGAACTCAGGAGGTGAAGGCTGCAGTGAGCTGAGATCGTACCACTGCACTCCCTCCTGGGCAACAGAGTGAGACACTGTCTCAAAAAAAAAAAAAAATCACACTCTAGAAGTATTATGACTAAACTCTATCAGATAGGTTTTTATGACCGTTTTCATGGATTTTAAACCACTCGACGGCGCCAAATATAACATGCACTCACTGCACTTGGTAATGTAAAAATGATTTCAGAAACTGAAAAGCAACAACGGTAGTACCATTAATTCTCACAAAGCCTAAAGCAGTGAATAAACTTTGAAATACACTATACCTCACGGTTTCACAATTGGCATACTCTTTTCTGAAATTCAGAATGCTGCCCAAAATGTGCCAGCAGGAAACTCTTCTTCCTACTACCTTAAGTAGTGGTATTGATCTGCATTTTCAATACAGAGTCATGCATTGCTTAACAATAGAGATATACTCTGAGAAATGTGCCCTTAGGTGATTTCATCATTGTGTGAACATCATAGAGTGTACTTACACAAACCTCAATGGGATAGCCGACTCTACATCTAGCCAACATGGCACAGTGTATTGCTCCTAGGCTACAAACCTGCACAGCATGTTACTGTACTGAATACTGCAGGCAATGTCAGCACATGGTACGTATTTGTGTATCTAAACATATCTAAACACAGAAAAGGTACAGTAAAAATACAGTAGTCATCCCTTGATATATGCAGAGGATTGGTTCTAGGACCCAGCAACCCCCCAGCCCCCTACCCCTACATGTACCAAAATCTGTGAATACTCAAATACAGCAGTCCCAAAGCTGGCCCTGCTGAACCTGCATATTTGAAAAGTCAGCCCTCCCTTTCTATATGTGAGTTTCAAAATCCTGAGAATACTATATTTTCCATCTGCATTTCATTGAAAAAAATTGCATATAAGTAGACCTGTGCAGTCAGAACCCTGTTGTTCAGCAGTCGAATTTATTATCATCTTGTGGGGCCATCATCATGTATGCAGTCTGCTACTGACTGCAATGTCATTATGTAACACATAACTGTAATTTAGGGAAGCAAAGTACCAAAACTTGCAGTATTTTCCCTCAAATATGCTGGGAGAAAATTATGAAATAATAATTTTAAAAATCACTACAAAAAAATTATAAAAATATGTAACTTATATTTGGCCATTATTATTATGCACGTTTTATCTGTAATAGAGAGAAAACATGAATTTACATGCATTTTGTTTTTCAAATTTCCTAAGCTGAAAGAAAGGCTTAAATGAAGGAAACAGATCCACCTACTAGGAATCCCATTGTGCGATTCGTAGACAAGCTACTTTTCCCACACACCCTTACTCCAGAAAGCAAACAGGGTCTCTTGGGCCAAAGCTGGCCCTTAGTAAGAGTGTGAAGAACTGTGTGATCCATCACTGCTTCCGTGACATCTCATCCCTGTCTCCAACTTCACAGTGATAACAATCCCTGTTCTTCATTTGAACTCTATCTTTTCACTTAGTTGCCTTAAAAATATTTCTTCTCAAGCATCTAAACATATTCTCTGATACGTGCCTTCTCCTACTACTCCTTTCTAATTCCTGCCCAGTGTCTCTCCTTTCTCTTTATCCAATCAGTCAAAAACATTCCCTAATTATCAGTAAGTATAAAAGTTAGTCGGCTGTTTGTACAGAAAGGAGAAAAAGCCACAAAAAGCAATGTAGTATAGAAGATGAGAACTGAAAATCAGGGTACTTGAGTTCCAGTTTGACACTATTAAGCTATGTGACCATCAACTAACTTGGCTCTAAGTCAATTTCATTTTCGCTTCTGAAAAATGATGAGGTCAGACTATTTCAGTGACTTCCAAACTTCGTTTTACAAAACTGGGTGCCTTGGGGTTGCCAAGTGGCCAAGGAGAATGAACTGGTTGAAAGGAGGAAAAATATTCCTATTTTTAACTATTTTCTGTATTGTAAATTCTAAATGAAATTTCATCTAGAAAAACAGAAAAAGGTTTAGAAATCATTGGATTGAGTAAACTCTAAGGGTCCTTCCAGGTCTAAAATATAGCAGATCTCTAAATAAAGCACACACACACAAAAAGGTTTTGATCATAGATCCCTTCTAAATACCAATTCCATATTTTCAAAACGTTTTGATCAGCATGTATCTATTTTTTAAAATTACCTGGAAGAACATGAGACCATGAAGTTCCACTATCAAACCAGATGTCCAAAATATCCTGACCTGGAACATATTCCAAGGCATCAGGGCCACCAACCTAGTAAGATAATGTAAAAGCATGTTAGGTACACAAAGATCACAATACAGACAACAAATACTGTACCCCAAAAGTCTTCAGAAATGAAATGCAACCATTAAGTTCACATTTTTAGATGAAATTTACAGTATTTTTAAGCATTTCACAGTTAAGTACAACTCCCTCCATTCACATTTAAAAGTATCTGTGGCCACTGAATTACACATTTACCAATGTAATATGAATTAGTTTCTATTTTCTTGAAATTAACTTTAAATTTGGATATTTTAATGTGTGATACAATCAGCTAACTCTACTACAGATCCTACAAAGGCCTGATGTAACATTAGGCACTGTTCTCTCACAGTAAATTACATGAGTTTAGTTAACATTAATCAATCCTGGCCCTCAATGAGGTAACAATTGACCCTCGCATTCCACTACTTTATTAAATACTACACTTTGTTTTTTTTTTTGTTTTTTTTTTTTTGAGACAGAGTCTCACTCTGTCGCCCAGCTTGGAGTGCAATGGCACAATCTTGGCTCACTGCGATCTCCGTCTCCTGGGTTCAAGCAATTCTTCTGCCTCAGCCTCCTGAGTAGCTGGGACTCAAGGCATGTTGCGCCACCATGCCTGGCTGATTTTTTGTTTTATCTTTTCTTTTTTTTTTTGAGACAGAGTTTCACTCTGTTGCCCAGGCTACAGTGCAGTGGTGCAATCTCTGCTCACTGCAAGCTCTGCCTCCCGGGTTCACGCCATTCTCCCACCTCAGCCTCCCGAGTAGCTGGGACTACAGGGGCTCACCGTCGCGCCCAGCTAATTTTTTGTATTTTTAGTAGAAACGGGGTTTCACCGTGTTAGCCAGGATAGTCTTGATCTCCTGACCTCGTGATCCACCCACCTCGGCCTCCCAAAGCGCTGGGATTACAGACGTGAGCCACTGAGCCCTGCCTTTTTTTTTTTTTTTTTTTTTTAAGCAGCGATGAGGTTTCACCATGTTGGCCAGGCTGGTTTTGAATTCCTGACCTCAGGTGATCCGCCCGTCTCGGCTTCCCAAAGTGCTGGGATTACAGGTGTGCACCACTGCGCCCGACCTAATACTACACTTTGTTTTGGGGGGACGGGCTCTCACTCTGTAACCCAGGCTGCAGTGCAGTGGTGCAATCTCAGCTCGCTGCAACCTGTCTTCCAGGCTCAAGCCATCCTCCCACCTCAACCTCCCGAGTAGTTGGGACTACAGGCGCATGCCACAATGCCTAGCTAATTTTTATATATATATATATTTTTGTAGAGACAGGGTTTTGCCATGTTAACAGCCCAGGCTGGTCTCAAACTCATGGACTCAAGCTATCTGCTTGCCTCAGCCTTTCAAAGTGCTGGGATTACAGCACTTAAATACTACACATCACACCCAGCCTTAAATACTACAGTTCTATAGTTAAACAAAATGTCTACTTTCAAACTGCATTAGCTTCTAATTTACAGTAAATAAATTTGTTAACTTTACATAAGATGCTTTTTTAACTCTCAAGAATTTCCCTTGTTGTCATCAAGTCCTGTAATACACACAAAAGCTGTTAAATACAAACAGAAATTTACCTCAGATAAGACTTCTTTTGGAAGAAGTTGCTCAGGGGGAAGAGTCCACCAGACATCACTGCCGTGCTGTTCCACTAGTTTAACAATATGCTCAATGGTTTGGCTATTTCAGGGGGGACATGGCAGAATTATTCAATTAACTATTGTGATGAATAACAAACAATTTAAAATGAACAAATAGTGATTTCTTTTCCTATCTTTTTCCTCAAACCTTAGTTTGAAAAGCTGCTATCATTTTAAATTCAATATAAGTAAAAAATTGATTATACATATCCTTAAAAAGAAAAAAAAAAAGAACAACTTCTGACCACCCTGTTTCCATTACTGATTTACCTATTTCTTACTAATCTATTTTCTATACAGGTACTTATACTCGAAACCTCCTAATTATCTTTCCTCTTCTGATTTCTGCCTAAATTAAACCAACACATTCTCTCAGTTCTACCTTTGAAAGTTTACAGTGGTTCCCACTCACACTCTATCAGTCCAACCTCATTCCCCGAAAACTAAACTGATGCAATCAATGGTCTGAAAGCACTTCCCCCTACCCTCATCCCTTTACTTTACAAAACAGACCTTGAAATAGATGCATTCCTAAACCGCTTTTATCACACTAATTCTCTGCTTGAAAACTTTCCAGGACTCCCTCCCTGCTTACAGGCATCTGCATAAGATGCAATGCCATACTAGAGCAGAGACTGTGATGACAGATATCCAGGCTTATATTCTGACTGTCACTTTGTATTTATGATCATGCACAAGTACTAAAACTTCTTTAAGACCTAGCTTTCCCTTCTGTTAAGAACAATCTAATTCATTGTTCAGAAACTACTGAACACCTCCAGCGTCTTGGGTACGGGCACTAGAGATACAGCAGTTGGCAAAATACGCAAGACCCTCCCCGATGAAACTTAACATTGTAGTAATCCTAGACACTTCCCTCGAACAACTACAAACTAAATGAGACTATACATGTAAAACTTAGTACAGTACCTAACACATGACAGAAAGCCAATCAACCCCTATCAAATAAACAACAGAACTGGTCATATCTTTGGGAAGATAGACAGTAATAAATTATTTGAAAATTAAACTCAAGGAAATAAAAGCATACTATAGTTTCTCACAAAAATAACATTTTTAATTTATTAGAATATTGACTTTATTATTGCAGCTTTGTTGCTATTACAGCTTCCTCTAGTTGCTTTTCATTTAGTCACAGTACATATAATGGCCAAGAGCATGGATCCTGCCAGCAGAGGGCTTTGGCTTAATTTCTGGCTCCACGACTTGAACCTGGGCAAGGCACTTAACATTTCTGTGCCTCAGTTTCCTCATTTGTAAAACACAAATAGTAAAAGCATCATTAAGAGACTTCCTATGAATATTAACTGAGTTAATAAATATAAAACACATAGAACAATATCTGGCACATTTGAATAAATATTATGTACGCATTATTCACACTGATTATTTGACGTCAGGTCTGGGCCTGATAATTCACAGATAAATGAAGTGTTTACCAAAAATTGTTGTGGAAGGCAAAATCAAATGAGTATAAATTAAATATGCTCTACAGGCCGGGCACAGTGGCTCACGCCTGTAATCCCAGCACTTTGGGAGGCCAAGGCGGGTGGATCACGAGGTCAGGAGATTGAGACCATTCCGGCTAACATGGTGAAACCCCATCTCTATTAAATACAAAAAAATTAGCCGAGCATGGTGGCAGGTGCCTGTAGTCCCAGCTACTGGGGAGGCTGAGGCAGGAGAATGGCGTGAATCCAGGAGGCAGAGCTTGTGGTGAGCCGAGATCACGCCACTGCACTCTAGCCTGGGCAACAGAGCGAGACTCCGTCTCAAAAAAAACAATAAATAAACAAATAAATATGCTCTACAAATTTAAATTTGAAATACCTTATAAAAGCTGGATATCACTAAGTTGGTATTCTATGAAGGATAGATTTTAAAAGTATAACGCTACCATCATGTACTTTGAAGAACTTACAATGAGAAAGGAAAATGGGCATAAATGCATGTTTCTAAGACACTGAATCATTTTAGATGGACTTTAACAGTAAAGATAAACTTTTATGTTATCAGACCATAAAAACCTTATGTAATAACTACCTAGTTATATGACAATAGTATTTAGTTACATATTACTATCTTACATAGTTTGTCCAGAACATTTTCAGTTAAGAAAATATGAACATAGTACAACAGAAAAACCTGAATAAATCTAAAGACCAAAAGAAAAAAAAAAAAAAAGATTACAACCACAAAAGAGAGATACTAGTAAAGTACATTTACACGCAAATATATGCACAATTACAGTATATAATACTTCATACTAATGAAATTCTCATTAAAAAATAATAATTCTAAAAATGGGTGTCATTTGCCTTTCTTTTTTAAAATGTTATCATTAGACTGCCAAGTTTAGGTAAACAGTAAAATAAAACAGTAAATGTATTGGAAAAACACATAAAAATAATATCAAAGTAAAAGTAAATGTCTCAAATTTCATATTAATTTAGCAAATACAGTAGAAATGTTAGGATAAAGAATATTAACCAGAAGCATGTATACATATACCACGTATCTTTTTCAAAGCACTTTACAAGCACTTGCTAACTGGATTCACAGAAATACACAGTGGGTCTTGACAGATGATTTGTTCTGCACCTTAGGGTTCCTTAAATTATGAGGCTAAGCAAGTAACAGTTAAAATCAGGGCTTGATTTGTGTTTCCTAAATCATATATAGTTTGGTGTGCTGTTTTTACTTCTTTATTCTGCCTCTCTAACTCATCTATAAAGACAACACTGTAACTGAATTCACACTCGTACTCTCTGGAGTTTGCTAAGCAATGGCAGAAAGGCTCTTTTACCCAGGTATAGAGTGACGACTGCGTATCAGAGATGAAGTGAGAAACTAGGCAGTCCCAGGAGATTAGTATGTTGACACAGCAAGTACTAAGTCCAAAAACCAGACTCTACCTGTGATTTACCGGAAAATGACAGGAATAAATCACATTATTTTTTGAGTTTCAGTTTCTATAAACATTGGAAAAAGTTGTGAAGAAGAAGACTAGGTGAAAATTTTTATTCTTAAAAGAAAGAGTCCTAATAACTAAAGAAAAGTGAGTAACTTTATGACTATAGATGAAACATATACATTTTATTTTAATTAATTACGTAAATTTTTTTGAGACAAGGTGTCACTCGGTGGCCCAAGTTGGATTACAGTGGCATGATCATAGCTCACTTGAAGCCTTGAACTCCTGTGTCATGTAATTCTCCTGCCTCAGCCTCCCGAGTAGCTGGGACTACAGGCCCATGCCAAGATGCCCTGCTTTTTTTTTTTTTTTCTTCGCCCCTCTAGAGATGGGAATCTCACTTTGTTGCTCAGGCTGGTCTCGAACGCCTGGCCTCATGCAATCCTTCGGTCTTAGCCTCCCAAAATGCTGGGATTATGGGTTGTGAGCCACCACACCCAGCTCCACATCCATATTTGAGAATCCTAAATTCAACTTTAATAAAACTAAGCTCTTTTTCATATTCTTGGCCTGGCATGGTGGCTCATGACTATAATCCTAGCACTTTGGGAGGCCAAGGCAAGAGGATCACTTGAGCCCGAGAGTTCAAGACCAGCCTGGGTAACATAGTAAAGACCCCACATCTATTTTAAAAAAATAAAAATGAGTTATTTTTCATATTCCTAAATATCAGAAAATTCAGTGACATTTTAAATGTTATTTAACTATATTCAAGTAACCTACTAAGTATATAACTAAAAGCATTAAGAAAGAAATATTCCAATTTTGCTGTTGGCATGTTATTAAAGCAACCATAAAATCCCACCAAGTTTAGTCAGACACCTCTAATCTAAAATTCATTTTAATTGCTACATTTTTTTATAACGATATTAGTAATTTAGTTAGATATAGAACATATTTTAGTATAAGAAATGTAATTTTGTGTTTTATATATACTTTATTTGCAAATTTAAAAAACTTTTTAAAAAACTAACAAAAGTCTCTTAGTGAGGAAGAAAAGTTTTTCATTTAGCTTACCTAATTACACTTACGAGAAACAACGTAACTACACATTAGCTACACCAATGAAAAGCAATCCTGCAATCATTTTTAAAAATCCAATTTCAGAAAGGCTACTGTAAATAAAACAACATAGTTCAGACTTTTTTTCCTTGTTACATATGTATAGGAATCAGAACAAAAGAAAAATTTGTTCAATGTATCCAAAAGAAACATGAAACATTTTTAAGGGAAGAAGCTTTATCTCATTAAGATAGCAAGTCTCACTAATATTTAGAGAGCAAGATTTCCTTCCTTCCTTTATATTGTGAATTATGAAAACATCATGTTCTAAATAAAGTCTACTAAATGTACTTTAGTAAGCATTATGTTCTATAATTAGGTTCTATTTTGAGATTCCAGATAAATTATTTATATTTTTAAAACAATAAAGTTAATTTTTAAATGAGAGAGTAAAGAAAAACCCAACAAATATATGTTAATTAGCTAGATTTAGCCATTCCACAATGCATACATATTTCAAAACATGTTGTACATAATATATGCAATTTTTGTCAATTGAATAAATTAATTTTGGGTGGGCACGGTGGTTCACACCTGCAATCCTAGCACTTTGGAAGGCTGAGGTAGGTGAATCACTTGAGCTAAGGACTTCAAGACCAGCCTGGGCAACAAGGCAAAACCCAGTCTCTACAAAAATACAAAAATTAGCCAGGTGTGGTGCGTGACTGTAGTCTCAGCTACTTGGGGGGAGGATCACTTGAACCCAGGGGGTAGAGGTTGCAGTGAGCTGAGATTGCGCCAATGTACTCCAGCCTGGCAATAGAGCGAGACTCCGTCTCAAAAAAAAAAAAAAAAAAAAAGGCAGCGGTGACTCACGCTGAATCCCAGCACTTCGGAGGCCGAAAGCCGGCGGATCACGAGGTCAAGGAGCTCGAGACCATCATGGCTCAACCGGGAAACATCCCTCTCTATCTAAAATCAGCCGGTGCGCCGGGCCGGGTGGCCAAGCCCTGTAATCTCAGCACTTTGGGAGGCCGAGGAGG